ATATCATCCGATCAGGCCGCTTGGGACGACTAATTTTCGACCGGGACGGGCGGCATCATCGATCTTCACTCTACATGCTCCGCCGTCAATATCGCCTAGCCTGGCAACGGCGGAGGGGACATTTGTGCCTTCATCCTCTCGTCAATATCCCGCTGGTATTGCGCCCATGCCGGGGCACGCACCGGCACCTTACAACCCTTCTCATCCAGAATCCGCCTTCCCATCGATGACCTATGCCGGTGGTTACAACTACCCATCCCAGCAAGGACAGGTGGGAACTTCTGGATATTACACTTCCAACCCCATCTTTCCTCCTCGTCCATCGTCCTTGCCGGCTGATCAGCTGCCACCCCTCCAGACGCAGACGCCATCCAGTCTTCAGCTACCTCCCATCTTGCCAGCCCCTTCGGCCCCGATCGACCCGGCGATTGTGCAGCAGCTTCCTCAACAAACTCAACCATTTTCCCGAGGAGAACAGGGAAGCAGAAATGATGGCACACAAGAACCAGATCCGAAACGACCGAAGATGGATATACAGGGCATCTTAGGTCCCCGAAACGATTGAGGTGGCCGTCTTCTGCTGGGGACGAGGAGAGTCATGCCAGCACGCACATCACCTTTGGCCGCACATATGCTACAAGATCTTTTCATTTGTTGAACGAAGCAACGAGAGCCTGGGGTAAAATCTGGAGAATAATCTTCTGTTTTTACCCATTCAGAATTCTGTACAACAATCTTAATTAGGCACAAAATGGTCTGTGCTGGACACAAGACAGATTGTACCTTCCTAACGGACGCGAGAGCATGAGCGACGGCAGAGAAATTTACAGTTCCTCGTCGGAAAGGGGACAATTCTACGAACCAGAAGACAAAGCGTGGCTGCGGTCCGAGCCACGGGAGTCGATTTGGACTTTTGCGCAACGAATCTCATACGAGACCTTTCGATACCCCAATTATACAAGTGGTCAACAGCACAGTATAGAAATACATGAAATTGGTGGGCATCGGAGCATATAGCCTTGTGCGTCGTGACGCCCGGTCGATGGGTCTCTTGACCTTGCAGCTCCTTTCCATGCAACAGGGATGACTGCGAGCTTTTTCTTTGTGGCAAGGGTTGTCATATATGCATAATCATCCAAGAAGCATTCGCGACACGGCACCAACCTCAATCCGGATATCTTAAGGACACGAAAAAAAAAAAGGGAAGTCGGCTGAAGCATATGAACAGCAATTTGGAGATGAAGGCTCTCTGACGGGAATATGACGCGAGACGAGATTTTGGTTTTGGGGGCCGATTTTACGCATGCATTTGTGGCGACGGGTACAACGATAATATGGGGCATTTTCACGACTCCCGAATATGCGGCGCGGAGACTTCCTCCTTGCGGAGCAATGGATAGAGTCGCTGGGAATAGGGCCGAGGCATGCAGCGCCCATGGATCGAATATTGTAACGGGCTCCCAGTTGGGTATATGGAAATGGTTGCTGGAATAAGACATACCAGTCGAGACGGCTCGGGCTCCCTGGTCCACACATGAAACACAATGGGGCCGAGAAGGACAGCGACACGGCATGGGGAATTTGAAAAAGATCTACTACATTTCATACGTACGGCGGAGGGCAGGGCAGAGCGGAGCAGGGCGAGGCGAGGCCAGGCGAGGCGGTTTCTTGTAGAAATAGCAGTACAATGCAAAGCGACGGCCCCTGGTTGGGCAAGGCTTTTTTTTTTTTGAACAAACAAACAGTTTTCAAGCCTTTTCTACGAACCCGTTCGGGTTTGTATCATACCGTGTCAGATCGGATCGGTGTTGGTGGACGGTGTGTGTATTCAGCGGAGTATGTACTGTATAGGTAGTAACCTACAGACCTCTGCGTGCTTGGAGCGTCGCGGCAAACCCAAGCTGACTTGCTCACTTGCTCACTACCTAGAAGTAGGTACATATCTAGTTATACACCTAGGAGGGAGGTAGGTGGGTAGGTAGGTAGGTATATAGCTTGCTAGCTAACTAGCCAGTCGCGAGAAGACCAGCGGCCAAAGCCTCCAGGTCCTCCTGTGTCTGCGCTGCTGCCTTCTCCTTCTTCCCCTTCGGCTTGTTGTTGTCATTCTTCGTGTCGTCGTCATGGTCATCGTCTTCGAACCATTTCTTCTGACGCTTGCGTTTGGGTTGGGATGGTGGGGATGGTTCGTGGTCTTCATCAGCGTCACTGTCACGGTGGTGGTGGTGGTGGTTCTTTTCCAGAGGCGCATCATCTTCAGCTTTGTCTTCGAACTCATCCTCGTATGGGACGAGTTGGATACCGTATCCTCCTCCCTCTTCGTCTTCGTCATCGCCAACGTCCCCTTCCCTACCATTGTTGTTACCTCGCTGCTGTCTTTCCCTCTCTTTTCTTTTCTCCTTCTTCTCCCTCCTCTTGCCCCGCGCAATCTCCTTGTCCATAACATCAGCCTCTTTCGCCCTCTCGGTCTCTCTCTCCAAAAACACCCTCCTCTCCTCCTCTGCCGCTGTGAACTCGGCCTCGTCCTTGTACGCTTTCTTGTCCTTGGGCGTGTCGCTGTCAGAGTCGAAAGTCAGGTGAGATCCTCTCCCGCGGTATTTGAGGAGTTTCTTCTTCGAGGCCAGAAGCTTCTCGCGTCGGTGCGAGTCGATTGTTAGGATCGGGGCGTTTGGGTTGGAGGAGAGCTGGATGCTCTTCAGTTCGAGGGAAGAATTGGAGTTTGGTTTTTGTTTCGTCTTCTTCAATGAAGAGGCATTTCTTGACGAGACCGAGTCGGTGCCACTGTCCTGATCGAGACCTGAGTCGCCGGCTTCGAAGCGGCGTTTGACCGAGAGAAAATCGTCCACCTCGTCATTGGCGGCGGTGGTATTGACTGCTGCTTCGTTGTTATCATTATCCTCCTCGTCGTCTTCAATCAATTTCGTGTAGTGCTCTGCCAGGACATCCTGGTTACGCCGTTCGAACATGCGATCATACTTCGTCCTGACTCCACCGTTCCGTTGTTTTTGTTTGGATCGTGGCTCGCCTTCGGCATCACTCTCGTCGCTGCTCGGCTCTAGCGCAGCCAGGAGTTGTCTCGGGGCGTTCTTCCTCGCTTTCGCGTCCTCTCCTTTGACGAATTTTACGCGAGGTGCACCAGGAAGGCCCAGGCTCGCCGCAAAAGCCTCCAGATCGAGTTTTTTCAGATTGAACGTCTCTTTATCCTTCTGGATATGTACACTACGCACATAGCTTACGAAGGCTTTCTGTCCCAAGTACTTCAATTCAGGGTCTTTGAAACACATGTTTTGCAATTGATTCCGGATAGTCTGTTGCATTTTCTTCTGACGGACGCTGATCTTCTCGAGGCTGACTTTCTTTTTCTCCAGCGCGTTCAACATGCCTTCTTCTTCACTTGGGTCAAGGAATAACACAGCCCGGCCATCGTGCTCGAACCGTGCTGTTCGTCCCACGCGGTGAATATACGTGTCAGCGTCTTCGGGACAGTCGACTTGGACGACCCAGTCTACAGCAGGGAAGTCCAATCCTCGGGCAGCCACATCCGTCGAGAACAAGCAGACGTGTTTACTGTTTGCGTATTTTGTGGTGATCTCCACCCGTGCTGTCTGTTTTTGTCGTCCATGGAGGTGAAGCAAAGGAACACCGGGTTGCAGGTGCCGAAAGGCTTCGTACACAAAGCGCACCTGCTTGCCGCTGCTGAGGAAGACCAGGATTTTCTTTTTGACGTTTGCGCGAATGAAGGACCATAAGGTATCGAGCTTTTCTGGCAGCGGAGTGACCACATAGTTCTGCTGCAGCGAGGATGGCGTGGCGCTGTCGGCTGCTTCGTGGACGGAGACGAATTCCGGCTCTTTCAAATTCAATCTTGCAAGATCGGAGACTTTCTTGGTCTGAGTGGCGCTGAACATGAGAGTCTGCCTGTTCGGAGGGAGGTGCTCGAGCAGGGCGTCAATGGTCTGCTTGAACCCCATGTCCATAATTCTGTCCGCCTCGTCCAACACCAGCATCTGGAGATTTCCGATGTCAAACTCCGCCGTCTGATCCATATGCTGTAGCATTCTTCCCGGTGTGGCAACCAGAATGTTCATACGTCCGAGTCGTTCTCTCTCATCTTGTAGATTCTTCCCACCAATGACCAAGCCAGCAGAGAAGGTATGGTTGCGTCCGATTTTCCGGAGAACTTCGAAGATCTGGATGGCTAGTTCTCGAGTGGGGGAGAGTATGAGTGCTCCCAAGCCATCGTAGTCCGTCCATCTTTTGCGGTACAGGTTCTCTAGAACAGGGACCAGAAATGCCAGTGTCTTGCCCGAACCAGTCTTTGCAGCGCCCAGGATATCCGCACCCTGCAGTGCTAGCGGGATCGTGCTCTTCTGGATGGTAGTCAAGGTTTTGAAGTGTGAAGTTGCGAGCCCATCTTGCGTTGCTTGACACAGCGGGAGGTCAACGAAGGTCTCTGGCGGAGTGGAAGATTTGGCATCGAAGCTGGCAACTCTCTGGGCGAGAGCTTCAAGGTCTTCCTCTTCTCTCTTGCGCTTGAGCACTCTAGGCCTCTGAAAATCTCTCTTTGGCGCTTTCAGCCCTCTCCGATGCCCCTGCGGTCCCATCGCCACGATACAAACGGTGCCTGTGACAATGGTGTGCGAATGGTTCGCGACTGTTTCTCCAGATTGGCTGCGGCTCGAAATTATTTTTGTGATCATGTGATAAGGCGGCGAGTGCGGGTTATCGATAAGCGGGAAAACGTCGGCAAGCCTCGTCGGCACCACTCCCTGATGGAGCCGACGCGAAGAGCCTCGAGAGCCTCTTGGACAACGTCTGCCCTGCACCTTTCCGCCCCAAATTCTGAGGTCCTACCCAGTACAGTCACAGTTACGCTCGATCGTCTCACATTGTTGTGCTAAGTTTTCTGCTCTCCTCTCATCACTCGCTTCTGGCACAGACATTGTCCCCCAGAAGGTGAAGACCTTGACAGTCATTGGTAAGCTACATACTATCAGCCCGCCATGGCTAATGATGAGGCCGATGCTCTCGATGTACTTGAAAAGGAAGCCAAGGAATATGACAAGGTGTGCTCACTCGACCTGGATAATGAACGATTGGCTAACAGTGTTCCCAGGATGCTGAAATCGACCGCATTCTCAAAGCGTTTAAACTCGATGCGTAAGTTTTTATTTGGCACGTCCTGGTCCGCTTCGACTCGCTAACAGTTTTGTAGCTACGCGGTGCTAGACCTCCAGCCTGGAGTCCCTGAATCGGACATCAAGATCGTGTATCGGAAGAAGTCCCTACTAATCCATCCGGACAAGACCAAGAATCCTTTGGCTCCTGAGGCGTTTGATCGGCTCAAGAAGGCACAGACCGCATTACTGGATGAGAAACAGCGCCAGCATCTTGATGAATGCATTGCAGATGCAAGGCAACTGCTGATCCGACAGCACAAATACACGGTGGACTCTGAGGAATTGAAAACAGACGAATTCAAACAGGAATGGCGGAAGAAGACGGTGGAAGTACTGGTGGAAGCAGAGGCCCGTAGGCGGCGACAGATGAAGGCGAAAATGCAAGAAGAGGGTCGTGAGAAGGCGAAAGAGGATGCGCAATTGGAGGAGAGAAAACGGAAACGAGACCATGAAAAGGAATGGGAGGAGACCCGAGAGCAGCGAATAGGAAGTTGGCGCGACTTCCAGAAGGGTGTCAAGAAGGGCGAGGAGCAGAAAAAGAAAAAGAAGATGAAGGTCCTGGGTTGATGCCATTACTCAATCATGGCATGTTTGTTTGTTTGTTTGCGCGCAATATGATGAACCGGTTGGCCCTCGGAAGGAATGATGGCTACCTGGCAAGTGATAGACACCTATACCCGGGATTTCGGACGCAATATAAGGGACTTGCACCCACGCATGCCAGCTCCTATTCTCCCAGCAAAAAAACCCGGTAGTCATCAGATTTACGGACTTTGTCAAAGCTAATGCATCTCAGCAGGTGCATCTCGTTGCAATCCATTTGTCTTTCTGAGTGGCACAAGCAGGGCCGCCGTGTGACCTGGTTGCCTTCTCAGGCTGACGGCTCATCTTCCGGCAGGCTTGTTACACTGCACTGGATTGCGCGGTCCCTTGAGGAAGCCTCGTCAACATCTCTCGCCCTATCACGATGCAATTTGAATCGAACAGAATGCCAGCGCCTTCAGCTGTGCCCCGGTGTCTTTTCCGAGCGATGGCGCTATCTCACGGTCACCGCGAGATCACTACTTTAGCCCAGCCTTTGCCAAAAAAAAAAAAAAAAAAAAGGCACACTCCATGGCCCGGGAGCATGTCGTGTGGGAAAGCTGGAGAAAACGCGACGATGATATTCTTATATCCTTTACGCCTTCATTCCTCTTTGTGCTGCAGCACTGTGTTTACAAGATTTCTAGATGTTGGCGAACTACATACTCTCGATAAACTGGGAACTGCTTACAGATGTCAAACGTCTCTGGCTACAGATAGAATAGAGACTGGAACAGACACATTTTGAAGTGCAGAAAAGAACGTGGATGAAGTTGCTGATATTCTGGAAGGCGTTAGAATATGACTTACTGTCATTGTCCTAGTAATGTGTTCCGCGCAGCCTTGTCAGCCTTGATCCGGCTGGTGGTGGGGGGCTAAGATGATCTGGCGGATCAATGGAAAAAAGTGACTTGCACCATTCTTCCGGCTTCGGTCGGCGACGAGACGTGTCAGCCTTGGGTAAAGTCGTATCTCGGCAGCGGGAGAATAACTAAGAGTGGGAGTACCGAGTATTATTGAGAAGCCTCGTCTCGGGCGTGTTCCCCCCCCCCCCCACACTGGTCACTTGCGGCCCCGACCTGCCCGATGTCATCTTTCTCCGATTTTCTGCGTTTCTCTCGGGTCCCAAGGCACCGCAACCGCACTTCGCTCTCTGGCTCTTCTTATTCGTACGACTCTCTCTCTCTCTGTCATCCTCCCTCGTCCATGTCGTCGCCATTATGAGCACTACGTCGCTGCCGCCCAATGCCCCCATGGCCAATGGAACCCTCGCCGCGGTCAATGGAGAAGCTGATGTATCCTCCTCTTCGCCCTCCTTCCCCGCCAACATTCCCGCCTCCCACTCGTTACAGGATGTCTGTGCTCTGCTCCATGCGCAGGTGTCTTCGTTCCTTTCGGCGGTGCCTGAAGATGATGTGACCAGGAGAACTCAAGAGCAGGCGAGAATATCCATGCGGGTTATAGAAAAGGCGTTGGATGAATACGAGTGAGTCAACAACCCGCTGGTGGTCCTCGACCTTTCCCCGAGACCCAAAAGATCTGGCGGGGGACTGACTGGACTGTACAGATTCGAGACTCTTTCTCTCTCTTATAACGGCGGGAAAGATTGCCTGGTTCTCCTCATCTTATATCTCGCCGTCATCCACACCCATTTCACGCAGCCCAGAAACAGGCGGAAAGAGTTCCCCAAATCCATTCCCTCCATCTACGCAAAGCCCCCCGATCCTTTCCCCGCCGTATCCGAGTTTGTTGATTATTCTGCGCGCCTCTACCACCTCGACCTAACCCATATATCCACAAACCCTGGTCCGGGAAAGAAACAGAAATCGCATTCCAACCCTCCCGTCTCGCCCCCTCTGGAAGCATTAGGACCAGACGGTCTCTCCCTCACGCGGAACACCAACCACATTTCCAAGTCTCTAGACCAGCCAATCATCTCCTTCCGCGATGCCTTTGCCCTTTACCTCTCTTCCAACCCGCACATAAAAGCCATCTTTGTCGGCACTCGTCGCACCGACCCGCACGGTTCTCACTTGACACACTTCGACCCGACTGATCACAATTGGCCGCCGTTCATGCGCATCCACCCGGTTATTGATTGGCATCTTTCAGAAATCTGGTGCTTTTTGCGCTCGCCCTACCTCAAAGACGTGGGCCCGTGTTTGGACGGTGATGGCACGAGCGCCCGTCACGAATCAAGGTGTGAGGCGCCATTGAGATACTGTGAAATGTACGACGCGGGCTACACGAGTCTTGGGGGCGTGAATGACACAGTGAGGAATCCGAAGTTGCGGTACATTGATGAACAGGGCAGGGAATGTTACAAGCCCGCGTACGAAATGACAGCGGATGCCGGGGAGAGGTTGGGAAGGGAGTGAGCAAGGAAATAAGCACGAAAATCGTCCAAGCTGTGCTTTTCGGCAGGCGCAGCTGTCTTGGAATGCGCTCATGCTCCCTTTTGAGAAGCTGTCATTCGGGGGAGTGAAGACACCCAGGAGGCCGCACTGCGCTGCGATGCGATGTTTGAAAGGGACAAAAACGGTGGTCCCTACCACCTATCTACATGCACGCCGACTCCACGGAATTGCATCTAATCTCACTAACCGATTATAGAACAACTCGGGGGGACCAAGCGATTTAGAAGAAGAGAAAAGCAAGAAAAGACAGGAATCGTTCAATGTAGGTATTAGTATTATTAGCATCAGTACTGGTAATACAATATTGCAAGCGTCTTCCATCTTCACGACGGCGATTGACTGCTCAAATTCCCACTCACGAAGACGACCAACGCGACTGCATATGCTGCACAAGCACTAAAGATCGCTGACCTGCGTGCGTCGGACAGCAGAGCTACCCATATTGCGAACGCCACGGTGTAGCCTGCCACTATCCCAAGGCGTTTCGTCAAGCTGTGGACATAGAACATGTTGTAAATAGCCCCAAAGAACATGCCGGCAGCAACCCCGATGTGAATGGATGCGACCGCAACATTGGAGGCGGTATTCTGATAGAGACCGTACGTTTGGGTACGAATGCGATGCGTCGGGCTCCTGCCGGCGCGGGAAGAGGAAGGGAAAATGTTCCTTGGCGGAAAAAGTGGTGAGCTGGTCGTCATCGCGGTTTGAATCCCAAGGACATCAAGTCGTGTCGATCCGAATATAGCTCTTCACCGAGGCCGGCGAGCCGCGGAAACGGCCTTTCGTGGTCTCTGTTGTAGAAACAGTCTGGGAAGGCAGTGTGGACCTGCCCTGCCTTGGCCTGCCGAGAGGGACGCTGAAGAGCCAGCACCTGCGCTGGTGGCATTGCGCAGGACCGCTTCTTCAGGTCACCGAAACTTTGTCAAGACCGCGTGTCCGCCTCGGTCTGAAAGGTTTCATCGACGCAGCTTACGATCCTCTTTGATCCTCGATCTCGACTGCAGTGGGATGGATCCGTCGAACCCAGGCGCCTTGTTTGATCCGGGCGTCGTCGACCCAAGAGATTTGTCGACGACACAGATATCTGGAGCGGCTCTGGCCCGGCTCGGAACATTCTATGTTGTGGATGAGTTGGGGACACGATATCATCGTTCGGCTGAAGAGTGCCCCCTGCAACGGTCGCGCTTGGAACACGCACAAGTCTGCCTTCGTATACACCAAGCCGTATATGATACCAAAAAGGGCCTCTGCACCATCTTCAGCAGGGAAGAGCAAAAGGAGAATGGAAGACACGAGTGAGTGCTCCCCCTCTGCTGAAACTTCGTCAACACCGCTACAGGATGCTAACAAGCGTGTTCTTCCAGGATCACCGTGCTTGCGACGCCGTCGGTCGGGAGTATTCTCGGTCTTGGGCCAACTAAACGAGCAGCCTCGGTAACGAGGGAAGACATCCATGGCGACCCGCAAACTTTATCGCTCCTACATCTATCTCCGTTAGCAATGGATGACGGGGATATTATGTACTATTCGTGAATCTGTCTACAAGGACAAAGACAATATGCAAGACAATGAACAAATAATAGCCACCGAAGGCCTGTTTGAGCGCTCGCTTACTTCAGTACCTGTATACCCCAAGTAAAAATATAATATCTGAGAAGTTTAGGCGGCTGTTGGTGAAACCCCGTACCAACCTGGGCCGCTCTTAATCTATACATCCGAATGTAGCGTACTGTGCTTGTAATACCATAAAGAGGCATCAAACGAGCCATGTGTAGCGAAAAACTTTTCGACCACAAAAACATTAACAAGGTGTAGCTTCGAGGCCACGGGTCCAGATGAGTCTCATGCAAATATCGCAGAGTTCATGCGCCTCAGCTTCCTCGTCACTGAGATCGCCAGCTTTCTCTCTTTCATAGGATTGACACCAGGTTTGCTCGTAAAGAGGGCACTGGAACATGCTAACTTTGCTGTCCAAAACGGTTGTGTGGCTGTAGGCCCATTGACACCATGGAGGCCGTCAAACTCATGGCAGAACCACAACCTTTCCCCCGGAGCCACTGTGGTAAATTGACGGCTTAAACTGGGTTGGCTTTCAAGGTCTCACCAAGGCCATGCTGGTTGGTACGGTGGAGTCCGTCCCCCTTCCAGACATCCATGCCCGCTCTTCCGTCCAGGTTGGGACCGGAGGATTTTGTGTACTATCATTGTCTCGGCAGAAAGAAACCGAGCAGGCATTCTGCTTGTGACCATCTCACGTCCAGAAAAAAAGGAATAACGCATAGACCAGAATTGGTCACCAACTCCTCAAAGTTGGCACAAAAGCAGACCCCGAGGTTTCCCTCGAGAATTAACCGATTCCCAACAGCCATTTGCTGCGTTCGTAAACATAGAAACTTGTGGCGACCATGGGCACGACCTTGATATACCCAATGGTAAGACCAACAAAAAACCCTCTCCAGCCTCTTTCGAGCCATATCCGACGTGCTGTTTCGGCAATAGTCAACCTATGACCATCGCCAATAGCGCCGCCGACTTGCATTCTTCGCCGAATCACTTCGAGGGGGTAAGAGGAGGTCTGAGAAACTAAGCCGGCTATGGCGCCCGAAGTAAGCTCCGCCGGGGCGTTTAGTTGCGCGCGACGGTAGACCTTAGTATTTGACCGACCTTCCTCAGGCGGAGGAATGGCAGCCGTGGATGTCGATCGCAACACTGTATATGGCGCCAGGATGGGGTGTCTGAATATGTCGCCTATCGTATCATGGGTCAAGAACGACATTCCAGCGTATGGCAACATCCCCAGTAAGGTCGGAGAGAACCCCCTGTAGAAGTTGACAAGCCCAGACCTTGGCACAGCTCTTTGGGCTGCACTCGTGGCAGCTGCGACTGGATTCTGGCCGACGAGGTTCTCTGGTTGCGGAGGCTGTTCATGGTAAATCTGTCGACAGATTCTAGTCAAGGACGAACGTGAATCGCGCTTAGTTTCGAAAGCGAGCCGCACCCGGATGACTTCGAGAGGGTAGGTGAAGAAGACCGACGTGATACCCGCCAGCGATCCAGATATGAAACGACGAAAGGGCGTTTCATGGACTTTGCTGGGGATGATGACCGCTCTTATCTGCTCGTACGCGAGGAACTTGATCCCGGCATATGGGAAGACTCTGAGAAGAGTGGCTGAGTGTCCCCGAAACAGCCCGCGGAGCCCTTCTTGGTTATTTATGTCCCGCATCGCTTTCACCACGCCAAACCAGCTGCCCGTGTATTTTGCGAACTGAGGGTTGGAAGCTTGGAAGAGGATCTTCACCCGGTCAAGAGGGCCGACGACAGTTTTGGCCTACAACATAAGTCAGCACCGTTGTCGCAGGGGTCGTGTGTCCGCCGTCTGCGTACCGCACATCCTGCCAATCCACCTGCCAACCCAGACCGTAGGATGTACTCAAGGCTGCGCTTATCCAATGGCTTCTGCGTGTGGGACACAGGTCTATTCAGTGTTATCGAGGCATCGTTGTCGGGGAACAGTCGTCGGTCAGGACCCGGTGGTGACTCCTCGAGCAACCTCGAGGCGCCTCGGCTGTCCATCGCTGCTTGTTCGACGGATGGTAGTGGTATTGCTGCATGGCCTAGAATAGAGGTAGAAGGCATTCACAGGCCACTAGAATACATCCAGACTGCAGACTCTGGGGGGGGGGGGGGGGGGGCGCACACAGCAGAGAACAATGCCACCGAGAAGGCTGAGGGGAACCTTAGATTTTGTGACGCCGAGGATGGTGCGATGGGCGATGGGCACATGTACGGAGTAATAATAAGGGAGGAGTGACGGGGGATGATGGGGGGTTTTGGGGGGGAGAAGGCGACACTCCAGTGGCCGGAGGTTCGAGGTTCGAGGTTCGAGGTTCGAGGTTGGAGGTGCCAGGTCCCGCTTCCGATGCCGGGTCATTGACACAAGACTCTAAGACTCGCCGCAATCTCGGCGGTTTTCGCCTCTCGGATCTCGAACAATGGGGGATTACATACAGTACCTCCAGTATCCATCGGCCATTGAGAATCGCTCATACGGCACACAATCTACCATTCTTTATTATTATTATTATTATTATTATTATTATTATACAGGGCAATTTCTGTAAAGCAACGCTGTTCAACAAGGAGCTGCGTCAATAAGGACCTCGATGTCGCTCATGGAGACACACCAAACACCAAGGACAGACTTGCCCGAGACGACTAAGCTGCTTTGATAGCAGGGCCGCTTATTCACGGGAATGTCGCACAGAGGGGTCTCTCGGCGGTAGGAGCCCAAAAAAAGAAAAAAAAAAAACACGGAAAAGAAAACGAAGCAGGGTCTTTCTCATGCTGCGTGACAACTACTGGTCCATCTCCAGCGAGGTTTTCCCTGATACTGGGTACTCCAATCCTACCGAGGGGCTTCAGCCTTGAATTCATTCTCCTGCTTATCAATGGCCGGTGCGCTTTGCAGCACGGGTGACAGGCAAGGTACATGTGTTCCTGGCCAAATCGTCTCGTGCCTGGGCACAAACGAAGTACCCTGCTCAGAACTCCTTGTCCGTGAATGCAGACTTCTTTTGACCTTTTCTGGGCTCCTTGACCGCGCTCGTGCGGTGATGTGTGAGAAAGCGTCGGAGATCGTGTTGGTCCCAAGCCAGATGCTGTCGTTGCGCCGACGGCCTTCGGCTTCCCACCAGTGAGAATTCTGTTTTGCTGAAGGCTCTCTCTTCACTCCTCCCTCTGAAAGAGATGTACTTTGCGTCTCTGAGCCCTGACGTTGTAGAAATCCCTTGCTTCGCCGTCGCAGGAAAGGAATGGAGAATTTTGAACTGGACTCAACTCTCCTCCACGGCTTTTCCGTCCAAGAAAAGAGCATGCTGTCAATTCCAGCCTGCAGACTCAGCATGATAGTCTGCACCAAAGATAACCAGAAGATAGGATGTTGGACGTAGTAATTGCTGTAATTCAGAGCATGGGATGCAAACGGAAAGCTCCACATGATAATGTAGACAAGAGGGTAAATGAACAAATACCGCAGCTGCTTCCGGATTGCCAATCTGGTCCTTTTGAGAGGGTCGCCGAGTCTACTGGGAATTGGCGCCGCCGTCGCTGGGCAGACGACGGACGTTTCACTGGCCTCAGCCTTTGCAGGGGACGGAGGTTGCGACACCATTGAGCTACTCTGGCGCTCAGATGCAGCAGATGGTGATGGAACGCCTTGCACCGTAGTATTGGCTGGGGGAACTTGGGTATCACCGGACCACTCACTCCCTCGCGCTAGCATATTCCTCCCTTCACTTTCTTGACAAGGGTCGCGAACAGTGCTGTGGAGCGGTCTCTGGGTAATAAAGCTCATTTCGTCCCAGGGTTGACGTTCTTCAGCCGCCAGAATTACTCCAGGAGATCGACTCTGATTCTGAAACATCGAGGCTTGGGGGGCCGGGGTCGATGACTGGTTGGTCGATCTTCCCTCAATATTAGCGGACTTGGTCGAGAGATCAGATCTTTGTCTCATTTCAGACTCATCGGATGAATCCGCTTCGCCGAGGTTGTCGAACCCCCGGAACTTGATGTGGACGTAGATGTAAATCCAGATATACATGATCAAAATGACACTTATGATTAGATATCTGGGGACCCATGAGAGTGCCAGTCGATACCAGAATGGCCTTTTGGGGAGATAACAAAAAGTACCGGCTGTGACATATGCGTCCTTGTTGTCAATGAAGGCTAATGTCGCGGCTAACAGTGGCGGACCGAGCCACATGATGTAGATCCAATGCCGGTATCGATATAATCCCCCTTCTCCCAGAGTGTTATTGGGTCGGACAATGTAGAGGATCGAATGCAGGGCAATGATGAGAATGGCCATGTCGGACGACTCGACCGCAAGTGCGAGCAGAAATCCACTAGTCTGGCAAAACTTCGAGCTGCTGTTGACCGGACCTCTGGCGAAGACCACGATTGGAAAGACAAAATACCAAATCGCTTTGGACGTGTCGCTGATGATGAGGTACAAAACCAGGCGATGCCGGAAGCTCCTTCGCATGATTAGGAACCATCGCAAGGTGATCAGGACCACAACTAGACTGACACAGGCGCATGACAACGCGGCAATCAGAATAGCTCGGTTTTGGGCATTGCTTATCGAACCGCTGGGAACTGTGGCAGCGTCGCCAGTGTTGATAGGACTGTCTCGCCATGCCAAAACGTGATAAGAGTGGATTGTGATATTTGGATCGAGGATGTCTGGTGCTCGCTCCTGTGGGAAATGTCGGATCATGGGCGGATTTGTTGTAATATCACCAAAAACCCAGCATCACTCATACATGTTGTACCTAGAAATCGCAAGACCAAGCAGAAATATCGATCTTGTGGAAGCGCTGTGAAATTGGGTGATTGCAGTGCCCCGTCTTGAGAGGACAAGTAGACAAAGGGAAGGGAGCCGAGAAACAGGAAATAAATAAGTCAAGGACAAATGCTGCGCAGGTCCTACATTGTGCGTGCAAGAGCGATATTAACCCACCTCCAGGTATGTTGCATTTGGTAACTCCACTTGACCAAGCAAGGGGTGGCAGGCCGAAACATAGGCCAATGGATAGAAGCTTGTCATGCAGGAGCTCGGTCTTGCTCATCGCGAGTGCAATGTCAATTCAGTGATCTATGCGAGATCGGTATTGGTGGTCTGTGTTGAGTTTGTTTGGGAGAGGAAGCAAGAAAGAGGGAAAATATGAAGTATCGCTCAAGCCCCTTTTTATATGTTCCGAAAAAGGACTAGTGTGGTCGGACAGGAATTTCACCATAACTCGCCTTTGAGACTTGTCCAACTCGCACCATCCTTGACCCCCATTCCCGGAAGGCATTGGCTTCCTGTGCTCCAAAGTATTTCAGCATGGTAAACACCAAGCGCTTCCATATCCCAACTTGTTGATGTCTCCTTTGGAGCTCGATCATGTCGGGGATCCTCTACCGCAACCACACTGCTACTGTCATCTTGATCGATATTCCTCAATCCATCCGCGATGGCCAACAAGTTCCCTACACCCTCAGGTCAACTCCGGCTCTCGAAATGCCGTATCCCAGCTCGGAACCGAAGGGTTTGAGGCGAGAGGCTATGCTCAACAGGATCGCCGTCGACGAGCAGCTCTATCATGGGTCCGTGCAAAGGGATATTTGTGCCGCACTGATCGAGATCCGGACACATTTGCATGGTCAAGGCGTGGCTTGGTGCCACTTGCGCAGCGATTTGACCTCTCACACTGACTCGACGGCTCGCTTAGCAACCCAAACAAGCAATTCAAATGTGAGCGCCAGTCCTTCCTCAAGGGACGGTGCGGTACCTGTGGTTTTATCGACTACACAAACACGCAACAAGTTTGGCTCTCTTGAAAATCTGCAAGGTAACATTGTCTGCAACTTTCGGTCGGAGACTGCTATAGCTGAGGTTGGCGACGTTGGTGACTTTATTGTTCCCCCAGGATCTGCATTCCTTTGGGCGAGTATCGAACAAGGACTTGCCGCTTTTCTTATAGCCCGTCGAGAAATCTCGCCGAGAAATAGGACCTTTGATCTCATTCTGATGGACCCCCCCTGGTCCAACCGGTCAGTTCGCAACTCTCATGCTTATAGGACATCGGAAGCTCAGGATCAGGATCCATTTCCGCAGGCATTGCGCGTGGTGGAGGATTTTCTTGCCCCGCAAGGACTACTTGCCATCTGGATTACTAACAAGTCTTCTATCCGCGCGAGAGTATTGCAGACTCTGCAAGCACTAGACCTGCGTTTACGGGAAGAATGGGTGTGGATCAAGTCGACCGCTCAAGGGGTTCCCGTCAGCCAAATTGATGGAATCTGGCGGAGGCCGTATGAGGTCCTGCTGTTATTTCGGAAAGGTCGATCTCCTGAAGACCCCAAACGAAGGGTCATCGCTGCCGTTCCGGACGTGCATTCGCGAAAACCCTGTCTGAAGATGTTATTGGAAGAACATCTTCCTTCAAAGTACAGCGCCCTGGAACTATTTGCTAGAAATCTGACAGCCGGCTGGTGGTCGTGGGGCGATGAGGTATTGAAGTTCCAACACGAAAGCCAATGGGATGGTTATGAGAGATCTGAAGTAGAGGTCTAGAACACCTTTGTGTCGCGGCTCTTCAAATTGTGGGCAAGCGAAACCGATCGGAACAAGGAGATGCCAGCCTTGCGGCGGAAGCAACGAGGCTGCCTTCCGCAAGGCTGTGGACTTCCGCCAATGAAAATCTCCAGGTGCCTGAATCTCCCCGCCATTGACGCAATTGGCCATTGCCTGTCTCCCCATTTTTATATCCCTCGCGAGCCTCACCCATCCTCTTTCCTCTCCTTCACTTTTCCTGAGACAGGGAGATTTTACAAACCCGGACAAAATGACGGAAGCGGCCCAGAAAAAGATGTTCGTCCCTCTTGGTAAGTGATCCTTCGAGTCTACTATGACCCAAATCCGTAACCAAGCCCCACTAACTGCTCCATATCAAGAGAACAATCCAGAGGTGATGACCAACCTAGTCCACGAACTCGGCCTGTCCCAGTCCCTCCAATTCCACGACGTGTACTCCCTCACCGAACCATCTCTCCTGGCCTTCCTCCCTCGCCCGGCCATCGCCCTGCTCCTCGTCTTCCCCGTCACCAGCACGTACGAGAAGTTCCGAGCTGAAGAGGATTCGTTGCGCGAGGAATATACCGGCTTTGGCGACCAAGAGCCCGTGGTGTGGTTCAAGCAAACTATCGGCAACGCATGTGGCCTGATCGGGTTATTACATGCCATCAGCAACGGCGAGGCAAGATCCAACATTGTGGAAGGCAGCGATCTGGAGAAACTGCTCAAGGAAGCCATCCCATTGAAACCCGCCGCGCGTGCAGACCTTCTCTACAACAGCCCCACACTCGAAGCGGCGCACGCAACGGCCGCAGCCAAGGGCGACACGGAAGCTCCCGAAGCCGAAGCGAACGTTGACCTACATTTCGTGGCGTTCATCAAAGATAGAGGCGGATATCTGTGGGAGATGGACGGGTCGCGGAAGGGGCCGTTGAAAAGAGGCTTCCTGGGTCCTGAGGATGATGTGTTGAGCGAGAAGGGCCAGGAGCTAGGGGTGAAGGCCTTCCTGAAGAGGGAGGAAGAGGCAGGCGGTGGGGAGTTGAGGTTCAGCGTTCTCATGCTAGGACCGAGTTTTGAGTAACCTCGACGAACCCCCAGCGCCGGGCTGGACCGTCTGGGCGGCATATTCTCGGGCATGTTGGTGGCTTGAAAATGCAGCATATCGCAGGTGTTGTGCACACATTGACTGGGGCAACAGATTCACAGATAAAGGAGGACGGGACATAATAGCATAGGCTAGCCAACAGCCATGAAACGACTTTCACGACAATGAGACAATGCAGTCAGCGCTATGTGGCTGGTTCCGATTGAACCCGTCGGCCTTGCTTCATTGAAACCTGCTTAGGCTTCATGCAGGTCCAAGTTTTTCTTGACCTGGGATCTTTTCTCCCTCTTTTATGCTTTTAATATAGCCTTTCCTATCCCGCCTGTCCTTCTCCACGTCCGTATCTCACTCATGAGCCGGCTCCAGTCCCGACTATGCTCCTTTCCTGCTCTTGCTGCAGCCTGGCCACCGCGGCCTCCGCCTCAACTTTGGCCTTCTCTGCCCTTTGTGCCCGTCTCGTGTTCCGCACATCCCACAAACCCTCTAGATCCATCTCGACCCGCTTCTCCTCCGTGAACATCTGCACCACGATGCGCGGCGAGTCTGTCCGCGACCCGAACCCGACGTATTCCTCTGCAGGATTTTGATATTCGTCCTCTTCATCTTCTGCAAGTGTCTCCTGCATCTTTCTCGTCATGGCGCCACCAGATGAGGAGGCGTGGTGTCCCTCAGCGACCCCAAACCCCGTCTGATCCCCTCCTTCATCCTCCTTCACTTCTGGCAACACAGCCTCATCCACCAGGCCCATGTTGACACAGATCCACCCCGTAGTAATTCCATCGTCGGCTTCTCTCATGGCAACCGTATTTCCCACACTCTGGGCCAACTTCATCTTTCTCGCCTTCCTCCTTAGCTTCAACTTCAACTCGTTCCTCCCGAGTAGCCCGTCCGCGTATGGCCTCAATTTATACTCCTTCCTCACCCAGCGGCAGAAACGGTCGGCGGAGACGTTCAAGTGCTTGACGGACCGCGCAGTGCCGATGATCATGAGGAGGTTGGAGCCCAATGCGGGCGGCGGGTCGAGGCGCCGGAGGTCTAGAAGCGTGAGGTTGTCGAGGCCAATTTGGGTCGAGAGGTGCGTGAGGACAGGCGAGAGGATGGGCGGTGGATCTTGTGGCAAGGGCGGGATTTCTTGCAGAGCGAGCCAGGGCGATACAGGCGCGGGCGGAGTGGGATCTTCGATCTGGAGGTACCACGGAACCGCAGCTGAGGACGCAGGTGGGGGTTCTGATGAAGGGGGTTCTGACGAAGCCTGTACGCTGGAGTGGCACAAAGGTGCAAAGCGCATAAAACTCCTAGTCGATTGGCATAACGGTGCGGAAAGTCGTGAAGGAACAGGAGTAGAGGCTTTTACTGGGATTGATATCCCAGCGAGAGAAGTGAAGGCTTGAAGGATTGAGAATCGACATGACCTGCACAGGACCATCGACCGATGCATTCTGGAAAGTTGAGCCAGAGGATCCGAAATGGTCGACAGACTTGATGGAACAGGAAGCACACAGCCCGGATGCAAATACTATTCTCTTAGAGGAAGCGGACTGAAGGGAACGCTTTTCGGTCCAACAAGGCGCATGTGACACGACCAGACACGTCGACACCTCAACTTCAGCGCTCGCGAACGAACTTCAATCAACCGTTTCGCCCTCGAGTGCACTGCAATTTTAGTGCTGCTCTCGAGTGGATGGCAGTGGCTCTTCGGGATAATATTAATCCTTATCCGGCTCCCCCCAGTCCAAGGCGCCTGAATTCATCTTCGTCAGCCTTGCGATAAGTTGACGTCCTAACAAAGTGCTTTACCATGAATACCTCGCACAAAAGCTCAGAGAAGGAGTCCGGAGTGTCTCAACAAAGGCCCTCACCGGCGTATTCAGTCTCATGCTTCATTAGACAAATGTCAATCTTCTCCTTTTCTCTGAAGACGCTCGGTTGAACTTATGACTGATATTCCCACACCGTCCCATTGCCAACCTTGCCTCCTAGCTTTAACATAGCATTGTAAACCCGAAGCGTGATGGCCCAGGAAGGGATCATCACCTTCGACCTTCACAATGTCGCCAGGACAATCCTGAAAATGCGGATCTTGGCTGTGTGAATACGTAGCGACTTTTACGCCTCGACTTTGGCATGGATGTGCGGGCTATTGTTTCCCAGTTTCTCGGCTTTCTCAGCTCCTGGAGCGCTCACGCAAGGTGAGAGCGCTGGGTGGAGTACCATGGTCCTCTGCTCGTTATGGGGACCGGTATTGTTACTTCTCAGCATATCGATATACGCTCCAGATCAAAAAGGTTCCTGTTTTTCACAGCTGCTCCGGCTCTACCGATTTGACAGTATTAATCTACACTTTTCCGCCTTTGCCAAAGCAGAAGTTCAATGTCGGGCGCTGCCTCCTCCGGCAAGACTCTCCACGACATCGAACTCTCACCTCGATTTGAACTCTCTATCGCTTTTGCTCAGGACACGTCACTAATAGCTGCTTCTGATTTCTTCACTGTTTACTGGCCCTCTTGAAGCTCCATTTAATTACAATCTATAAAGCACCTGTTCATATCTATCGACCCTGGTCTTGTCGAGCCTTTTACCCACCTCTCGTCGAGCACATCTCCTTGGAGTTGCCTCCAAAAGCATGAAGAACAACACTTCATCCGCTCGGTGCACTATGGCTGCTCCCATTTCGACACCGGCTACCTTGATAGAGTCCACATCGGCAACCAGAGTCAAGTTAGAATCAGCTTCCGCTCAGTGTACCATGACTACTTCTCTTTCAGCCGCGACTACTTTAGCGGGATCCACGTCGGCAACCAGAGTCAAGTCAGAAACAGCTTCCGCCCCAACTTCTAAACGTAGATCGCGCTACATTCAGCGCCGGCTCGAGAGGAAACACCAAGAGAAAGAGGCCACTCGCAATAAACGGAAAAGGGCAAGAAAGGAGCTTGCTGATCACCGTGATCGCAAAATCAGGTTACGCCAAACTCAGGAAAGCGAGGAGCAGACTCTTCTAGCAGAGAAGAAGCGTCTTCAGGACATAGACAAGGAGGTCAAGGAAGCTCAGGCTAAGTACCAGTCGGAGAAAAAAATAGTCGATGCCATGCAAAAGTCCATTAATCAGATAAAGCGGGAAATTGCCAAGACAGAGGGATCTATCAGTGATTGTGAGGCCGATTTACAGTGGCTGGAGAAAGAGCTGGAAAGCGGACTGGAAAGCGAGACCGCCGAAGTCACTCGCCAAGCTGACATACTGGACATGAACTCTGCAGAAATCGAAGCTCTGGCGACCTATGCGGCCAACAACAGCGCCTTTGGGAACAATATTGCCAGAGCCGCTCAGGATACAGCAACTCCAGCCATGATCAGAGATATCAGAAGCGAGATGTATGACATAATGACAGGGGTAACTCCGGATGAGTTCAGAGAGTTAATGGAGAGGGTCCTGTCTCTAAAGGAAGCATTATTGAGTGAGGATATGGCCGAGTATACCGATGGCGACGAAGATGGCAACGAAGGTGGTTTCGAAACTGGAGACGGCAAAGAAAGTGGCAGCGACACTGTTGATCCGGAGGCAAGCGACGAGCATGATGATATGATCATCACATCCCGTCGGCATGCGAGCCGGTCATTGAGCCAGCCACGTCGCAACGAGGAAATAGGCCCGAGTATCTCGTACAACGAGCGCGACATCGAGAAGCAGTCCTTGCCGCAGGAGAACGAACGGCCGCCTCGTCGATTACTATCTTTGAAAGCCAAGCCAGAAGAGAGCCTTGCCGAACACATTGTGGAGCGCGGGGCGACGGACGAAGCAGCATCCAGAGCGAAAGAATGTGAAGTTTTTATTTCTTTGAAGAAGAACCCCGTGGGGGAGACCAACAAGAAACAACCCAAGACCACAAATCTAGAGCTCAAGGGGTTGAGCACCTTCGCCAGCACAGCCTCTGAGCAGACCTGCACACCGCCATTGCGCAACGACGAACGCCACTCCGCAGGCAAGAAACGGAAAATGATCCTGTCCGAAGTCCTGGATCTCATGTCCAAGAGAACAGAATGCTGAGAACAGTACGGTGACAACCAGACAGCGAGCTTTCAAGTGTGGGGAAGCGGACGGAACGAACATTGGAACTCGGATTTTTGAATGAATATGATCCAGTGGCTGGCTTGCTACAAAGGAAATCAAAAGTCGAAACGCAAGTCTGAAAGCCCGGGGGGAATGGTTGCCTGGTACCTATATCTGGCGAACTGGTATTCGACGGATCGGGAGGGACGAGCAAGCAGGCAATGCCGCGGAATTTCATATTTTGGCACGTCGTGGATAGATTAGGATGGGACAAGATTGGATCCTGATGGATCCAAGTGGATAAGACGATGGACGAACCAACGGATGGATGATGCCAGCTAGCCAACCAGACATCTAGCCAGCCAGCCAAAGGCCCAAAGCAGAGACGAATACTCTGAGTGTTCATGCATTGAATCCGAGAATCGATCGCAGCAACGCATAGCCATCTGCCGACGTTCATAGGTAGGCCATGTAGAACCGGCTCACAACCGCCGCTCACACACGCAAACCACACAAACTCATACGTGCCAGATTCACCATCTGTTGTCTCGTACGTAACACACGACGCCCAGCCCCAGCCAGTCACTCAGACCCCCATAGACCCCATGGGGAGCAAGAAGTTGTTGTCGAATTCGTTGTATGTGCCAACCCACCCAGGATGCATGCTCCACTGGCGAGCCTACCTAAGCGGAGCGACACACATACACAATTTCCCCATTCATTGCCTTGCTGAGCATCGAGATTCATTAAAGCGCGGGCGGATGCTTGGATAGTGACTTATTCGACCTAGTGGCCAATATCACGGCTCCGTCGTCATCAACACATCGCCGCCGCCGCCGCTGCCGCCAGATGGAAAGGCTGGGTGGTCTGTTGCTGCTGTAGACGCTTCCGCCGGCGGTGTTGCGTTCGAAAACTCAACACCTGCTTCTTCACCATTTCCTGCGGCACTTGTACTTGGGTTCATGGGTGGTTCACCGACCTGCGCTGCTCTGGCACCAGTATCATCGCCCCCGGCCTCCATCGAAGTGGGGTCGTCGATGGTGTCGGCATCGCTGTCCCTATTTCCCCTCTCAAGGGGCTCATCGCCCGCCACCGCTGCCATCGAATCCTCATCGCCTGCTTCTTCCTCCTCCTCCTCCTCCTCCTCCTCCTCCTCAGTACTGCCTCCCATCTCCTCCCTCCGCTGGCTAATCTTGTCAAAGATCCACTGGCAGACCTGTTTCTTGTGCTTCACCATGATCTGATTCAACACCTCTTCCTCACTCCTCACAAGCCGTCCATATCGCTTACTCACCCTGCCTCCTTCCTTTTCCTTCTTCCACAGACTATGCTTCGCGCTGACAAACACGAGCGAGTTTTCGCGATACCACTGACTTACCCAATGGTTCCCACCGGGATTGCTTATGGGGCGAATCGGCTGCGTGGAAATGAAACACACGATCCCAACTAGGTAAGGGTAGACACGTTCGTTCTCTGACACCAACTTCGCGATGGCATGAAACGCGTGGCCTGCACCCATGAGGACGATTCCCCAGGGGAAGTCGTACGGTTCAATGTAGTTTTCCCAGAGGTAGCAGGCAAGTTTCTCCCCTTCTTTTCTTGCAAGGTCGGTCGTTGTGGAAGCATACTCGATATCCGTTGGCTCTCCATATTCGGATTTCATGGCGACATCGTCGGGAAGGGTGATGAACTCGGGCATGTTGATATCTATGACACCCATGCCCATGGAAACGGCCCACTGGACGTACGACTGTGTGCCGTCAACCTTTGTAGATGTGAGCAGGTTGGAATGGTTCATTTGTCTGAGCGGAGGGCAGAGGGGAAAGAACGAGAAGTGAAGAGGGTGCAACGGGAGAATGAGACATACGAGCCATGTATCATGGGGCTTTGTTTGTGTGGATAAGCCATTGCTGGAGCTGAGAAGATCAGGTCTACAGAAGGTCTTGTCAGCATCCTGTTTCAGATCCTCACCGCGCAAACTTACGAGTCATGGAATATGATCATCAAAGCCTTCTTGCTCTCGTAGTTAGGTCTGTCTCCAATATCAGCAGGAAGGTCTGGAGTCTACGTAGGAGACTGGGGCTCACGTTGCGAGGACTTGCTGGTCGAATGATTTTGACACCGTGTCGCGGTAGATATGCAGTTGGGTAAATTTATAAGAATCATAGAGATGCATAGCCTGGTATTGGCGAAGGATGTCTATATCGAGGAGGGAGGAGTCAGCTTGTTCGCAAAGAAGTATGTCACAAGAGGAAGAAAGGCTTCTCGAGGCTTGTTCTTACCATGCAATCTCTCGCCACCAAAAATACCACTGACAGGGTCCTTAGGATAAATACTCCTCCAATACTTTGATTGTACATTTCGAACCTTGGCCACAGTATCCACCCCACTCTGAGTGGCAGCCGTAGCTTGTAGGCGATCAGGTGGCTCTCCCATCAAGGTGCGCGTAACTGCGAGGGCAGACTTCGAGATAGCGCTGAAGTTGTACCCCCCTTCCAAGCACACGGCAATCCTCCCTCCGGCAAGAGACATGAGCATGTGCGTCATGTGTGCGTAGCAGGGGGGTGTCACGAAACAACCACCCAACTCATCTCCAGCTGCGGCGTCGAAGCCCGCGGCGATGATGACAAAGTCCGGGTCAAACTCATTGGCGATGGGCATGACGACGTTTTGGAATGCGTACATGTAGTCACCGTCGCCCATGCCTTTCGAAGGCCAGGGAATATTGACGTTTCTTTCGAGGGCATAAGTGCTCGCAAAGACAGACTGAGTAGGGGTGTATGAACTTACTTTCCCTCACCAGCACCAGTGCCACAGTGATACATGTCACCTTGAGGACCTTCAGGGTAGAATTTACCATTCATATAAACATGCAAGGAGATGTAGAGAACGTTAGGGTCGTCGTAGAAGACTTGTTGGCAGCCATTCCCTAACACACATCAGTCTGAGCATCCACGTCTGAAAATGAAATACGGAGTGGCTAACCATGATGGACATCCCTTAAGTTCTTTAGCGTTAGTTTATAGATGCAACTCTAGCGGACGGAAGGCAACTGACCAGTCCAAAATCATAATTTTCCTGCAGTCCTCCCCAAAGTCTTTCTGGCAGACTCTGGAGGCAACGGAGACATTATTGAAAAGACAAAACCCCATGGCCTTTCCAATCTCGGCATGATGGCCAGGGGGCCGGATGACGGCAATTGCGTTCTTGACCTTTCGGGACATTACCGCTCGGCATGTCTCAATCGCTGCCCCTGTGGACAGTTTTGCAGAGAAGAATGATAGCTGGTTGAAGTAGATGGAATCCATCTCGCGTAGCTCTGAAAGGTCTATAAGCTCTTCGTCGCTCATGGCTGCAACAAATTTCACGATAATTAGCTCGGGCTCTCCAGACGCTGAAGCTCGTTTTCGCAAGAGTGACTTACACGCGGTACTTTTGACCATCTCATATTCGTACTTCGCGTGAACCAGAAGACACTCATCCTCCGTGGCTTCGCGAGCATGAATTCGATACAAGGGCATCTCCACAATTGGTGGGTGCTTCTTGTCATCAACCAACCCAGCTTCACAGAGCTCTTTGTAGATGTAGTATATCCGTCTTGGGTCTTCGGGATGCACACTTTCTCTGGTTGTTGCTGACACTTCAGCGTGATATCGCATGCGCTCATCGTAACATAGGCCCGTGGGAAGCTGGGAGATTGGCAGACCACGTCTGGACGGGAGCACAGGTTCAACTGCTTCAGAAGAGGTGTCGGATAATAAGCTGTCTTCGTAGTCTTCTTCCGACGGGCTCTCGATCTTCAACCGGTGGTCGATATCCGCGGAAACATCTGGAGTTTCTCTCATAGATGTGTCCCCTGAGAGATAGTTTGGCTCTTGCACGCGCGGAATAGGATTCGGAAACCGCGCGCCATCTGAAGAATGATAGAGTCCTTCCTGGTCTGGGGGCGGTATTTGAGCCATATCGGAAAGGATAATTGACTGGAAGAGTTCAAACACTGCCTTAAGCTTAGAAAGCAAGCAAGAGACTAGCTAGAGAAACTGCATAATGCTTGAAAAGCCACCCCAGCGAATGAAATTGTGTCGAGCTGCTTTTGGACCAAGAACGTTCTTTCTAAGCCACCTATGAATAGACTAGTCAGTCAAAGAGGTACGTTTTCGTATGCAATAAGGCGATAGCATGAGAGGATATCATAATAGAGGATGGGTATATCACGCCGATCTTGGCTAGCAGGACAAGTCAAGCAACACGTACCAAGGCCCGGTCTTGAGCGACTGTATTCTCAGAGCGTAGCTTCTTAAGCTTTTGATGAAAGTTCTGTCGATGAGGATATAAAGTCATGAGATCCCAGGCAGGTACGTGTATGACCCAGAAGGCCGCCCCTTGAAGTTGTCACGTTTGCTAGTAGGAATGGAATAGATTGCACTTGGAACATTTTAGAGGAAGCCCAGCCATGGAACGCCAAGTGTCTGTTCACGTGATTTTCAAAGAAAGGCAGAGGTCACGTGTTCAGGCTGCAAAACCACTCGTTGCAGGGCAGAGGAATCTGGACCGTCACAATATGCTCGGCTTCTTGCTGTCAATACAGAGAGGCACGTATTTTCCTATTTGAGCTAGGCCATAGGAAGGATAGGTATCGGTGCTTTCAAGCTAATCATGTCACCAGGTGAGACTTGAGTCTATGTTGCGCTTTGTCTCGTCTTTCCCCAGGCGTTCTTTATACCTCACGCGGCACTTTCCGAACCCTCGTTTGGAACAAATTTACCGGCGTCTGCAGAAGAGTCGGTGCCATTAGGATTTTGTCGTCTAGGCCTTCCCTGCATCAACCTTGGCCATGTACGCTATATTTCAATGTCAGTTTACCACATCCCGAATTTTCCCGATCGGATAAGGCACTCACCCAAAAGATCAACAACACGTCGGGAATATCCCCACTCATTGTCATACCAGGAAACGAGCTTGACAAAGTGGTCATTGAGGGCGATACCGGCCTTGGCATCGAAAATGGAAGAGTGGGGGTCACCGTTCAAGTCACTGGAGACGAGGTCATCCTCAGAATATGCCATGATACCTGCTTTCTGTTAGACACGCCCTGAACGAAAATGGCCGGGTAGAACTCTTTTCGGCCTACCTTTGAGATTTGTGGCACAGGCGTCCTTGATGGCTTGCTTGATTTCGTCGTAGGATGCGGGCTTCTCGAGGACACAAGTGAGATCCACCACGGACACGTTGGCGGTAGGCACACGCATGGACATGCCAGTGAGTTTGCCATTGAGGGATGGGATGACTTTGCCAACAGCTTTGGCGGCACCAGTGCTGCTGGGAATGATGTTCTGAGCCGCGGCACGGCCACCTCGCCAGTCCTTACTCGAAGGTCCATCGACGGTCTTCTGGGTAGCGGTGTACGAATGAATGGTGGTCATCAGGCCTTCTTTCATGCCAAATTTGTCGTTTATGACCTTGGCGAGAGGTGCAAGGCAGTTGGTTGTGCAGGAAGCGTTGGAGATGACGGGAATGCCGGACTTGTATGATTCGTGGTTGACACCCATGACGAACATGGGAGCATCAGCGGAGGGAGCAGAGATGACAACCTTCTTCGCGCCCCCTTTCAAATGGGCAGAAGCCTTCTCTGTGGTTGTGAAGACACCGGTCGACTCAACGATATATTGGGCGCCGGTCTCGGACCAAGGGATCTCGGCGGGATCTCTCTTCATGTAGAATGTGACTTTCTTGCCATTGACGATCAGAGCATCACCCTGGACCTCGATTGTGCCCTTGAAGATGCCGTGAATGCTGTCATATTTGAGCATGTATGCCTGCGGGATGTTAATATGGGCGCTGGAGATCTGGTAGGACAACGCAGGGTACGTACAGCGTACTTAGGCTCAATAAAGGGATCGTTGACAGCGACAACGTGAACATCGTCATGCTCGACCCTAGAGATCCGCAGTTAGAGGAAGAGGAACTTTCGGAGTCCGATGAAAGGGGTTGGCAAGAGACTCACGCATTTCTGAAGACCTGACTTGCTGTTAGCTATTTCCGACCGTGACAGTGCTGGCTGCGACTTACGATTCTGCCAATACGGCCAAAGCCGTTGATTCCGACGAGAGTAGCCATGATATTGTCGAGGTTGGTAGACTGCTGAATGGAAGAAGCTCTCTCTCAAGTCAGTCTCTGGAGGAAATCCCAATGGCAGCTTTCGACGGAAGGGAAACCGGGTGGGCAGCAAAGCACTGGAGGGAGAGACCGAGAGCAACTCACATGGAATTTAAATGAATATTCGGATATCCGGATTCCAAGTCGTCGGCAAGAGTAAACTGATTAACTCGAAGAGAGGAACAAAGTGGTGTGACGGGAGGATGAGGAAAGCTTTTTGTTTTGTCCCTGCGAGAGTAGTTGAGTGAGTGAGGACAGGGCAAGGACAGGGCAAGGACAGGGGAGACGGGCGCAGAATGGTGGGGCAGTGTTGACGTTGAGGGGCAAAGAGTCCAAAGGCAGCTGCCCGCTTGCCCGCCAAATCTTCTTGGCCGACGACAGCTGGAGCGGCCTTCCGGGGGGGCAGCCACCAGAGCCAACGAAAATGGCAGCGATAACTTACCTTAAATTCTCAATGCTATATTCGCCGAAAATACGATAAAGTAGTCGGCGGATCTCTGGGTTGGAGGGCTATTGTAGACGATATCTGTTCTTTGTTCGACCATGCTGCTTCTCAATCCCGAGTAGTCACCCCGATCTTCTACCGTCTCCGATTCTTATACTGCAGTCTGTCCCTCCCTCAGGCCTGCTCAGCCGGATCACAGGATCTCCAGCGAGACAGCTTCCGTGGCATATGCGCAAGGCATGACTCAACATACTGCTGATTATCACATATCTCGTCTGATGGAGAAAAAGCAGCAACAACCAACATGGCTCGTTCCATCCAATCGCCTGTCTTGGCTGTTCTGGCAGTGCGGCACGCGGTTCGGATCATCCAGTTGATCCGCAAATGCCTCCGTCGCAGCCGCGCTCTTTTCCCAGAGTATCATCGGTCAGCATCACTGGAACAAGGGGGAGGGGGGAGCTTCAAGATTTTTGGAGCCTGGCGCATCGTCCAGCACAAGGCATATATTCACGAGATCAGAAAACAGCGCATACGCAATAGATGGCCACCAAACATCCTTGCAGGCAGTGAGTATTTTTCTTCGAAGGCCTTGTTTTTTTTTTTGTTTTTTTTTTAGCAGAACCAAAAGCGTATCTATTCCCTCAGCCCCGTGGCGTGCGCCTTGGTTTTATCCCCGTTCAACTGTTGCCGCTACTCCTCCTTCGCTCCGCCCCGCCCGGCGCGCTCGGCGGCTTCAATGCTAGCTTTATCAGTCTTTGTCTCGCCCTGCCCCATGCCCATCATGCCCCCGGACGCTTTCCACGGTCTCTTCAGGTCGCCCACCGCAGGCTTGCCAAAGACGTGGACCTTGACCAAGTTCGACTCCAGGGCGCCCTTCACGGGAATGATGGATTGGATGAGGAGTGGGTTGGTGTACTTGAGGTACAAGTGCATGAATGCCATCATGCCGATGCCCATCAGCTGGCCCTTGTAGGCGGCCGACAGCTGGTTCTGATCATACTCTTGGATCGTGGTGGTGACGAGCTTGGGTTCTTCGCCAGAGCCCATGGGCGCAGGCTCGACGTATTTCAGTGTGGTGAGGTCTACAGGTTGTCATCAGCCCACATCTTTTGCAAGGGACGTCCTTTTCCTGTGCATACCTCGCTTTGCTTTGATCTTCATGCCGATATAGTAGTAGAGGCCGAAGACGACCAGATTCGACACGACGTACAGGATCCGTACCCCCATGAGAACCTGAGGATCGTCAAAGGGTATCCGCTTCGAGACCTGCATCATCCCAAGGATGATCACCAGGTTGGTGCTGCAAACAGTCAGTCACGAGCCCCAGCCATTGCAACCGAGTGGGAAATCTGTACATTTGAGGATTCATGAAATTCATGGTGAATGGTGCGGGAGCAGACGCGTGGAGCAGATGGAATTAATGACGGATCACGACCACGGCTCTTCGTGAGTTGAGGGAGCGGAGCGGAATCTCAAATGGAGGGTCCTCTGGAAAAGACAAACGGACAGATTGCTATATCTCAATTTCGTCCGCCAAGCGATTTGGAGAAGGGAGAAAATGAAGGGCTCGGTGGGTGGCGGGAAGCGCAAGACGCAATTTGGCCCGCCACTCAGATTTGAGCCGCGCATCTACATAGGCACGTGAGCAGGGCCTGGCGATCCTGGAACTCGTCGAGGTTGTCACCGAGTTGTCCATCCTAGGCATGATTCATGGCAGATCTCCTCCTGTCTCGTTTCTTGCGAACCACACATGCTGCGCCTGAGTGACTCAAGCTGACCAAATTCGTGCCCTTTGACTCGTAACAGTCCACCTCCGACCATCGCTATGAAATGGAATGGGTCACATTTCATCTCAGCCAGGACACCACCACGGCGCGGTCTCTCAACCGATCCTGCTGGAGCAGAGCAGTTATTTTGCTTGCCACGGAATTGAGGCAGGCTATCCTAGCTGTTTCTCGTGCCGACTTTTGAAAATGCTCTGATAATGGCACAGCCACTGGGACCTTCGGTCGGGTGGTCGAAGAATTTTATCTCCCAAGCAAGGCCTGCCGCTCAATGGCCATTTTCCATCTTCACCTCTCCGTCGCCCAAGATCTTTACTCCCACCGTCCCCTCCGGCCCAGGCAAAGGGCCCCCACCAGGCATAACACTCGCTATATTCCCCTCCTCGTCGACAAACTCAAACCTATATCGTGACAGGTAGTGTGGAATGGCGCTCAACTGCGGCCCATAGCGTGCGGTATTATCGTACAGCTCGAATAGCGGGACGGCCAGCAGTTTCATGTTTTTGGGCACGCTGAGCTCCTTATTCGGTGGGAGATGTATGAGGTAGAGTTTCTTGAGTTCTTTGGGACGCGAGACATGCGCTGGCAGGAATGGGTAAAGAAAGGTTTCGTGGTTGGGACGCCACCTTGAATTGTGTTAGGAGTATCATCACCGATAGAAGTCCTGGGACAGGAGGTACCAACCATTGCGCGAGACAATCTCCCACTTCCCACTCCATGTCCCCTTCCTTGGGATTTGAGGGTGCTAGTCTCTCGTTCAGCCGCATCTTGAAGCCTTCGATCTCGTCCGCATCATGAGGAAGATAGTCTCCCGGCCTGTTCCAAGTGGTTCCTCATCAGTAGTCAAGTCGATCAATTGTTATGGCACCAGAGGTTTGCGCAAAGACATACAGCTTGAAGAATGCATTTGCAATCTGCAGCATCAGCACATGCGGGTGATTGTGTTCATGACAGACCAGAATGCCCTCACATGTCCGTCTCATGCCATATTTCTCGTAGTGTTCTTCCAATCTCTTCAATCTGGCCACGACAGAAGGGTCTTCTTCCGGTTGGGTCTCTTTGGTCCCAAACGTGTAGTTTGAGAGAGGATATAATCTGATGGTCGGTGGTTGGTTGGCTGTGAATGGAGGTGGCAGAATAGGTCTTTCGGCAGGTTAGGTCTCAATACTTCAACAGCTAGAACCGGGCTCGTACGGGTAGGAAGATTTCAATGTGGTTGTGGTGAGTGTGGACATGGTGAGTACATCGATTTAGCAACGAGTTGGGGATGAGAGGGTTTTCAAAGTGATCAGGCAATCAAGATGTTAACGAAGATGAACTATTTGGAGTGCAGACCGAATCGCAGAATGCTTGCAAGACTAGGAATGTCTTGCGTTAACTAGAAATGAGGTTTTCGGTGGTGTTGCATGTGCGTGCAAGTTGCACCGATTTCGCGACGCGCCCGCACACAGGCCGAGATCCCCTGGAGGTGAAATTTCAGCCTTGTCACCCCGTCAAATCCATCAGTTCGGTTGGGAAGCCGCCGTGGGTGGGATCGAGGCAGAGGAATCAAGGTCTTGCAATGTCTGGATCTTGTATTTGAAGTGTATCTTGAGATCTATGTCTACTTTTACAGATACATGGAGACTTTGCCAACAACGCCTTCGCTGTGTTTTGTTGCCAGAACCATGGCAAAAGCGATGCCTACTCCTGAATCCTCATCCCAGAAGCAAGGTTGCGACCTCTTCCAGCCTCACAGTTTTGACTCAAGGTCCTCAAAGGCCTGCAAGTCTTCAACGGGGACAGGTCCCTTGGTCACCTCCAGGCCAGCTCGCCACATAGCGACATCTTTGATAATGACAGGAGTCGGTATTTGTGCAGCCACCTGAACAATGTTCTTTGGCGACTCGACCGGTTTGATCTTCAGTGCAGTTTGCATTTGTGGGATAGCTGCTCTCATCTGTCCAAGAACTTCGTCGGTCTTCGACGGCGGGACCGAATTCCCGACGTATTCACTAAGGGCATTCGAGACTTGGGGTAAGCTTGCATGGTCAACTTTCTCAAATTGAAGGTTCAATTTGGGTTCGTCAACCTCAATGCCCAGAGATCGCAGCGCTTGCCCAATTAGCCCCACAAACTGGCCCTTCTGTTCCGCTGGCGAAATCTCTGGCATCGTGCTTGAAGCTTGGGCCTCGAGATGAATCGACAACTTTCTCCGCATGGGCGACTCTGGATCAATATACTGCGCATAGAATTGCCTCATGTCATCCTTGGTGAGCTGTCGAATAACCGCGACGTCTCGATCAACTTGGTAGAAATTGAGATATTCTCCGCTGATGTACGCCCACAGACGGCCTGTCTCAAAGTCGAGGTTTTTGAGCTTTTCCAATCGTTTGTTAACAAGGCTGCGTTTGTGGCCCTCAAATTCTTCGTCGGACATCGACTCTAGATCCGACTTGAACTTAAGCAAGAAGGCATTGATCCGCGTTTCGAGGTATTCCGGATCTCGCTCGCTCTGAATCAGTACCCTATAGCCCATCGTGACGGCTGCAGGTCGTATCCCACTCCATACGACGTATCCAAGCTGTTCCTTGGTTCTCAGTTGATCGAAAGCGGGTTCATCCGTCATCTGACTGAATAGCTGCGCTTTCGCTCGCAGATCTAGGTCCATGACATGGCCGATGTCCAGATAATATTCGATTGCATGGTTGATATTGGCGGGATCGCTCAACACCTGTTTGTAAACGAAATTGCTTGCTTCCGGTAGGATGACATTTCTTCGCAACAACCATTCCGATGGAGGAAATGCACGTGATTTCAGTGTTGACTCGATCAGATTGCCAATTTTCTTGGCTTCTTCTTTGTACAGATTTCCATGTGCCAGCACCTCAATATGTGCCTGTTGGAGCAATTCTGGAACAAATGTTCTGATATCGTCTACTGTGATATGCGGCAGTTCCTTGGCGTAGGAGTCGTTCATCCACGAGCGCTCATTCAACAGCCATCTGGTGTAGTCGCCAATCTGATAATACGGCTGCTGATAGGCCCAATTCTTATATTTCCTGGCCATGCGCTCTTTGATAATCTCAAATCGATCCGTTCTGATGTCAATGGTTCGGATCGTAGCCAAGATCTTCTCCAAGAGGACTGCCATCTTGTCGTTGTAACCATGCGCGCTAATGTCAAAGCCAAGCGTGTTTGCTCCGATAGCATAAGAGAGGCCAGAAATCTCGGCGTCATAAGAGTAACTTGACAGAGCATCCTTGACAAGGTTGATGAAGAGGTTCGTCTTGACGTAGTTCGCAGCATTCGCAGTAGTAACGCTGTTTCGAATTTTGATGTACAAGTTGGCCTTGGGCACCCAGAAGGTGTCATCCTTTTTCCACCATAGGCGGACGTTGTCATCATTTCGAAGTAATTTTGGTGCCTTTGCGGGTACCTTGACGTCCACCTTTTCCACATCTAACTTCGTAGGGATGAATTCGTTCTTGTGAGGCAGATGTAGTTCCGCTATCCTGTCTGACTCCAGATCAGACAATGCCTTTCGGACATCGGAGAGAACGTCTGTGGGTATCCTTTCGACTTTGTACTCTGTCCCGTACCATTTCTCTTTCTGGTTCCAGTCACCGGGGTATTCCTGAGACACAAGCATGAGTCTGAAATTGTCCTCGCGCAGGTATTGCATTGCTTGTGCAATGGCTTGAGCGTCGAACTTTCTGAACTTGCTGGTACTGCTGAGCAGCCAGTTGCGGGGTAGTCCAGGCTTCTGCAACACGCAGCTTGTGGCGCTTGTAAATCGGCTTGCAGGAGACTTCTGACGGAACCTGAAATCCACCTCCGCCATGTTTTTCATCTCCTCGTGCATCCATTCAACCGGTGGGGTCCCCTTCATCATCCCAATGTACTGGAAGACAATCTTGACAATCTCATGGTAGTTTTTCAGCCCGTCAGGTGTCAACCCGATCTCGATCTCAAAGAAGGCAGAGCCTGGGCAAACAGGATGATAGCCAGCGGATAGGGTTTGAGCCAGACCTCTCTCTTTGAGATAAGCCAATATGCTGCCAGGACCTTCGTGTCCAATCAAATGACTGATGTACCGGGCAGGCTGGGTCTCGAACATGTCTTCTTCATCTTGCCAAGGGAAACTTATCTCCAAAGAACGTGACTCCATGACCGGCTTTGCATAGATTTCGATCGACAATTGGTCTTTGCTCAGCATCTCAACATCATCCCAGCGGTTCGGAGGTAAGTCTTTATTCTTGACTTCGGAAAAGAGCTGCACGACCCAGCCTTCTAGTTCATCGAGGGACTCACGACCCAGAACGACGAGCTTCATCCTGTTTGCGGAGTAATGCCGTTCATAGAAGCGGATGAATTCATCACGGATCTTCACTCCTCGTTTTTCAGGCTCATCCCTCAAGGTTTGAAGATTGCCCGTGGAAAAATGATGGAATGGATGTTTAGGATTTGAGAGCGATTTTGTCAATTGCGATAGCCGCCATCCGTCACTTTGTAGGTTCTTCTTGTTCTCCGAGTCCACTGCTCTCAGCTCCCTGTCCAAAGTGTTCTCCAGAAATAGTGGCTTTACGAAGAATTGTGCAAATCGGTCCAATGCGCCGTAAAGAGGACCTCTCGACGAACCATTCATTGTGATTTCGGTAGTACCATTCGCCACGCCATTGGTGAGACCATTGGTAAGCTTGTCGTTCGACTCGTGCTGGGCGGCACATTCAAAGAAGTAATTTGTCTGCGTAGCTGCTGTGTATGCATTTGAATGCCCGGAGTTCGAGGAGAGATAGGAACTGTATTCGTTTTCTATGGGGTACTGTTTGGTCGGTTAGCAGCCAAAACAAGAGAGATAAGTGAAGATGTGAGCGTACTTTCTCGGTGCCCATGAAGAGTAGATGCTCAACGGCATGAGCCATACCCGGCATGGCCTCTTCATCTGAGAAGTTCCCAACATTGACGTTGAGACTTGCGCTGGCTTTGTCGGTCTGTGCATCGTGAACAAGCAGGGCCTCGAGCTTGTTAGGAAGCTCGATGACTCGGTAGGATCTGTCGTCAAGGTCTGGTTTCTCCAAATCGTCTGTTATGCGTCTGACTGAGGTCATGACTGTTGCGAAGGACCGAATGGTAGAGGGTTGTGAAAATCGAACAGTCGCGGCCAGAGGCTTAGATGATGGCCGAGGGCGGAATGAGAACGAGATTCGAAAGGGGATGAACGTCAAAGATGCCAGGCGGATGGAACGGCTCATATAGAATAACTGCCCGTTTGTAATGATCCAGGCAGGCACAAGGAATGCGTCACAGTTGAACAAAGGCCAGGGATCAAGTAATCATGGCGAATCCAAAGGTCGGTGGTGCTTCGACGGAGCAAACATATCAAACACAAGTGCCTGCGCCTGCGGCTTCCCGCCTCTGGCCGTCGACGCTCCACCTGCAGCCTCGTGCCAAGCAAAATTGAGGACCTTGACCAATCCATGTTTCCCAACACAGTCTTATCCACCTTCACGTGGCCCTGCTCGGCATCAAGGGCAGGTAGAGGAGACTTGGATCGCTGAGAGTGCATGGTTATTATCAAAAAAGCCGAGGGGCGACCAGCTTAGTCACGCGTGCAATGAATGATGCATAGCAAAACACGAAATGCTGCAGTGTGGAAGGCTACAGCACAATACAACACAGCAACGGCCCAGTATCCCACCGCATCGTGATTGATGGCAGAACCCTTCGCGTAAGTCTGTGTTCCCTGAACAACCCTTTACGACGACATTGAAAGGTTGCACAGTGCCAGCATAATCATCATGCACACATGCCAGTTTCGACTACAATCAAACTGTTGGTGGGTGGAGCTCTCGTCGTTTGACCGCGTTAAACACGATGAATGCAATGACTGGCGGTGTACCAGTCAAGTTGCTACTGTAGCCTGAGCATCCATCTAGACCGCGAATCTCTACCTCGTAGAGAATGACGAGATTGGTTTTTTGCAACACTCAAAAGCTCATTCCTCGCGACTGTCGTAACTTCATGTTTTGTCTTGAGCAGAAAGGGGGAGGCTCAGGTGTCCTCGGTAGCTGAGAGTCAGGAGAGAGATCGGATGTGGGTTCAGTTGTCGACTGGCATCGCGAGAATGGGTTACCCACTCCGAAGTGCACCGTATCAGTATTTCCTGATAAATGGGTCGGTCATCGATGTTGCTCGACATTTGATTTACCCTCCAGCCACTCCACTATCTCCTTTAAGCTCTTAATAACCCCGCGTTTGCTTTGACAATCATTGCAAAGCGGAACGCCAAGTACGGAGGTTAGTTCACTGGCTGGCCGTCCTTTTCGAAGTATGATGTGCTGCCTCTGTGAGCCAGTTTCACGTTGGTAGGCCACCTGCCGAGGTCCTGAGTAAAGAAACATCACTGAGGATATCTAGTTAAGCCACACAGCGAGATTGTGTACCGAGTACTCGGTAATCCGTGTGTGGGGGCCCTTGAGGCTGAAACGCCCAGCCTCGGGGTATTGAAGGTGGCCACAGTACCCAGTAGGTAGCCGTTAGCCTCAGGAAGAAAGCTCTTGTGCCGACGTAAGCTTCAGCAAATGAACCGGCTGGTAGAAATCCAAGTCGACATTATTGACAAGTTCGTACGGTAATGGTGAATTGCCGCGACATAAACATCGGTCCCTGTGATATGGCATAAAAATACACAAAATAGGCACTTGAAGATAGTAGAGTAGTTTACTGGGTACTGAGCATCTTCTCGAAGGTCATGCACGTGGCACAGTTTCTTATGTAATAAAGTACGGAGAATTGCATATACTGTACCTATTGGGTACGAGGTACCTCGTATTCAGACTTGCAACACTTAGATCAGCCCCGAAAAATAGATGGGAGTGGAATTGATCCCGTCCAGCCCCTGGAATTTTTGTTTACCATGTCCAAGTTAGGTCTAGTGCCATGAGGTTGGCGTATCCACCGATGAAAATTTCGCCAATAGGAGTAGAGAAATGAGATTTGAAAGCTTGGCTCTAGCCGATAGAGCCTTTTTCAGCCCCCTTACAGCCCTGCCATCTAGATTTATCTTTACTGCCACCGATATTCTATTCCAATCCTTTCCCAATTTGCTTGCTAGCCACTCAATATCGCACGCTTCCTGCTCATCAATGGTGAATAGGATTATACTTCTTCACAATGGAGGCTGGGGCGAAGAGCTTGAAGGTCGTGCACCACGACTATATATCGCAGGATCGTTTAGAGGTTGGTGCGTTCTTCTTTCATCCATTCAACTCACTTCAACGGAGCAGCTCTGATCCTTGTTCATCTAACCAAGCATACTCTGTGCTCTGTATCTCGTACCCAGTACATCCTATCCCTTCATCTGGCATCTGCAGTGTCCCTTCTGCACCACCCATTTCGTGCCGTCATGCATTCTCGCACAAGATCCGTTGCTATCGCGGCAGCCGCTCTCTCTTCGTTGCCGTTGTCTTCGGCGCTTCCAAGGCCACAAGCCTCTCCAGCTCAAACAGACTGCTTGTCTCCCTGTATTGCGTCAACCTCACCTGACCACGCCGGCATCTGCAACCCGGATTCCGTCGCCGCTGTTCAATCTTGCGTCGTATCGACATGCCCGCCCGAATCCATCGCGACCGCGATCGGTATGATGGTCACACACTGCGCAGAGCAGCACGGTCCAGCGCAATATACAACTACTACGGCGGAAATTTGGAATGACTGGGCAAGCACAACATCCTCCCTCACAACCACGAGCTCGCCTTCAGCTCAATGGAGTGACTGGTCAAGCACAACATACTCCACAACCACGAGCTCCCCTTCAGCTCAGTGGAGTGACTGGGCAAGCACAACATCTTCCCTCACAACCACGAGCTCGCCTTCAGCTCAATGGATTGACTGGACAAGTACTAGCTCCAGCACAACTACTACGATAAGCACAACCACGAGCCAGACAACTGAGACATGGGTAGATTGGCTGATATCGACGTCAGCGGTTCCTGTCGCTCCTGCGACAACAAGCTCTGCGTGGCAAGACTGGACGAGCACAAGCATCACGACTTCCTCTACCAGTACGACTTCGTTGCCTTCGGCATGGGCTGATTGGACAAGCACAAGCGTCACGACTTCCTCCACCAGTACGACTTCGCTGCCTTCAGCATGGGCTGATTGGACAAGCACAAGCGTCACAACCTCCTCTACAACCTCATGCACTACGACTCCGACGCCTTCATCCTGGGCAGATTGGACAAGCACAAGCACCATGTCTTCGGGCGTAGTCCAGACCAGACTTACACCCTCCGCCAGCACCTATACAAAGACATGGACTTTTGGTGGCCCTTCGTCTGCTCCGGCGAGCAGCTCAAGCACCACGCCAGTCGCCCCCATCGCATCTACTTTTACTGGTGCTGGGAACAAACTTGCATCATCTGCTAGTATGATCCTTGCAGTCATGATCGTTGCCTTGCCCATGCTCTAGGGTGATAATGAGTGGGACCGGCATCGAGCGGAGACGAACCTGTGTCATGTTTTATTATCAAGGGGACGGCAGTTGGGGGAACATGGGAAAGGCGAAAGGTTCAACGGCACTTCATTGCTCTTCAGTTTCGGCAGTTCTTCGACGGCAAAATTCAGCTTACGACATACTTAATACTCGATTGCATGTTGGGTTATTCGATGCACAGACAGGTGATGTCTTTATTATGATCTTCCAGAAAGAAGGTCGCCCATGTTGCCTTCACTGGTTTCTAGATGGGAAAAAGGATGAGAATACGAAGGAGGAAGGAACGAAAGACGAATCTTTCGGACATAATATGAATTTGGATACGTATGAATTGAAATGAATGCAGACACGAAGCAAAAGTGGCTTCATGAAAGTACGATATAGTTAGCCAGCTGTACAAGATATTGGGGTAAAAGAATGTAAGGCACCTACCACTTTCACAGCCCTGACTTTGCTGCCAATATGGCATATCTTTTGTGGTCTCCTAACAAGTAGTTGGCCAGTAATAACACGGAGATTACTCCATGACGTAACTGGCAGTTTCGGTACATGCCTAGTTACATATGAGAGTAATCTGATACACGGCGACACAGGTATACGTACTGTAGAAGACCTTTTTCCCAGCAGGACAGACACCCGCTAAAACCCCATTTCGGGGCAAGCTCGGCATACTTGCTCCATCACGGCGGCTCCCCAAAGCCTTGTCGCTAGGTACCAGCCCATTGGAACGTCGTCTCTTCCTCGAATTTACTCCGTCCTTTCCCTCCAATCCCATCAATATCGTCTACTTCCAACTGAGAAAGTGGCTCGCTAGACCGTCAGATGAATCGAAATTACTACATCCACTCTCGCAAGCGCCCCCCCAAATGTCAAAGACAGTAACAGAGCGAGAAGAGATTTCGCCAATTACAGCCTGCCAATCTATTGCCGGCTCGAGATTCCGATTTCCTGGCAACATACGTGGAAACAGAAAGTGGTCATTGTTGGCGATCCCAAATTTTCTTCTCCAAATTTGAAGCTTCCATGGGCTTTGTACTTCTTCTTAGCTAGCGTACTCTTCGGCTCAAGGGCAACAAACTAGGCTTCGAGTGGGCTGAGGAAACCGGGCGAATCCCGGGTTGAAGACCTGGAAATGTCCTCAATATCAAACCCCACCATCCGCACAATGGCTGCTCAGCTTGCTAGGTACCAGGTTCTCCGTCAGTCTCGGCCTGCTTTTGCGGGGACAATCATCAAGCGGGCCGGACCAAGCAGAGCGCGCGAACTGGTCATCCCGGGGTCCACAATGACATAGACGGTTCCCCCCTTCCCAATATGGATACATCTCCTCCTGGTTACTGGTTGCGGGACGGCGCCGTCAGAGCGGAACCGCAAGTGGTGAAATGAGGGGAGGAAGAGATGAAGATGGAGAAGCCATGACCCACGAAGGACAAAGCCGAGTATAAAGACGAACAATGGCTCCCGGGGCCCCGTCAGTTGCGACTCGAAGTGGGCAGGAGCATCCCAGCCAGATCTCCCGAGTCTGTCACAAGAAGCCTACAAGCCAGCCCTATCTCTTTTGTTGTATATTCTCTCAGCAAAGGCCTCAATATCCCTCAGGACCACAAGATGCCGAATACCAAGATTGTCCATGTCCCTCACCTGGGCGGCATCGATGCCGCGTACCAGATGCCTCACCCCTACGACCCATCCAAGCCGACATTGATTCTCGTGAATAGCTTCACCACTTCATCTGAACTGTATCGGAAGCAGTACGCCAATAAGGCGCTGACAGACAAGATGAACCTTTTGGCCATCGAACTGCTCGGCCACGGGCAGACACGGACTAAGTCTGAGAATTTTACATATTGGGACACTGCAATCATGAACATTCAAGTCATGGAGGCGCTAGGAATTCCAAAAGCTTTTGTCCTAGGCACCAGTCAGGGCGGGTGGATTACGGTGCGGATGGCGCTGTTGGCACCCGACAAGGCATGTCTCCACGACCCGCCTGTCTCTACAAGGATATGCTGACACGTTCCTTATAGATCCAGGGCATTATCCCTCTCGGCACCTCGCTGGACTATGAGTCCGAGCGAACACGCAAGCTCGGCTGCTGGGACGGCGTTGCCGCCTGTACAGGCCCAATCGATATGTGGACGACCAAGACTCCTACACCTGATTTTCAACCAGACATCGCTTACTGCGACTACCTAATTGACATTGGCTTCGGAAAGAACTGTCCCCAAGAGACGCGAGATTTCTGGCGCAAGACCATCCAAGCGGATTATCAGGGTGACGACGGTCGCAGGCGGGCGAGGATGGCGGCGATCAATCTGCGGGAGCGAGACGGGCTGCATGGACGATTGTTTGATGTCGAGTGTCCGGTTATGTGGTTGCATGTGAGAACCCTGCCCGACCCATCATGTGGCACCCACTTCATGATATAATGTAGCATGCGACCAACATATGAGATGCTAACTTGGAAATCGTGTAGGGAACTGATGACGTTGTCTACAGTGTAGCCAATGCGGAGCAGGAAATCAAACTTTTCGTCAATTCCCCTTCGGCGTTGTTGGTTGTCGTGCCGGGCGGCGCTCATTTCTTATCCGCCTCTCATCCGAATGAGGTCGACAATGCACTGATCGCGTTTGTGGGGAAGTATGCTTGAACCCGGAAGTGAGACTCTTCGCGGGAAAATCGAGGTATACTCGCCAGCTTTTGATGGTACCGCGGTAGCGGAGAGCGCGTCGGGTAATAAGTCTCCGCCGTGCCTATCAGGCCTGCACAGGATAGGCAGTCTAGGTGGCTGAGTTATGCATATTACCTATCACTGCCAGAGTATAAACACTGTTGAAAACAAAAGCCCATCCACAACGATTCCAGAGACATCCAAGAAAGCATTTAATCAACGAAAGTATCGCGTACCGTGTCTAAAGATCAGAAGTATGGCCTGAAAATAGTCAGGTATAGGCCCACTGGGAAGTCAGCAATTAATTCCCGAGGCCATGCGAACAATCGTGTCACAGAATATTGAGTCGTGCGAAAATAGTAGTGGACTGTGGATATATCGTCGAATTGATAGAGGCCAGCCAGGCTCGTTGAACCAGAGAGGCCAGAAACGATGCGATTCCCTTACCACCTGGATGGTAGAAGTCCTTCATCTCCGATAGCGACTGGCTTCTACGGCAGCGCTGACGAATGATTCTTTGATGGAGTAGCTTCATGGAGTCTACATAATGTGTTGACGCCAGTGATAATCGAGTCTTCAGAATCACCACAGGGAGAATTAAGTACCCAGAATAGATTGAAAGACTAGCGTTGCACGGAGCTTCTGGCGTAAAAGCAGCGGCTAGTTTTGAAGGTGGTGTTTGCCAAGACACTAAAGCAGCAACTGCACAGTTCCTAGTTCCAACCTCCAAGCCCGGTAGATCTATTCGCCTGCCTGTCTATCGACGTCGTCCTTGCTGCCACAACTTGCAAGCTGCCACTACTCAGAAGTTCCTTGGTTTCGCAGCAGCCTCATATTATCTCTCCCTCTTTAAGCGTGTTGAAATCTCGAGTTTCAGAAGATGGAAGGTGGGTTTTTCTTGGCTCTACAGCATTCCATAACTAAAATCCGATCCAGGTCTGTTGTTCAACGTTAACGGGGGCTACCTGGAGGGTATAGTTCGTGGCTACCGCAATGCGCTCCTGACGAGCACGAACTATGGCAATGTATGTATCCTCACGGAACAGTTCAGACCGCCACATTAACAGAACCTAGCTCACGCAATGCGAAACCATCGAAGACGTCAAGACGCAGCTCGGTCCAGCTTACGGCGAGGCGCTCTCAAATCTTCCTCCAAATCCCTCCACATCAGCTCTGGCGAGTAAGACTACAGAGAAACTCGTCTCTGACTTCAGATACCTCCAAGGGCAGGCGACGGGATCGTTGGCCAAATTCATGGAATACCTTACTTACTCATACATGATTGACAATGTGGCCCTCCTCATTACTGGGACACTACACGAAAGAGACACCAAGGAATTGTTGGAGAGATGTCATCCACTGGGCTGGTTTGAGACAATGCCGGTTCTTTGTGTGGCCACAAATATCGAGGAGCTGTATAACTCAGTCCTCATCGAAACACCCCTCGCTCCATATTTCAAAGGAAGCTTGAGTCACCAGGATCTGGATGAGCTCAATATCGAGATTGTCCGAAACACCTTGTACAAGAACTATTTGGAGGACTTCTACAATTTCGTGAACACAGATCCCGATATGGCCATGACTCCGACTGGAGAAATCATGTCAGAAATCCTCGCATTTGAAGCCGATCGACGAGCTATCAACATTACCATCAACTCCTTTGGGACAGAGCTCACCAAGGAACAGAGGCAGAAGCTCTATCCTGAATTTGGGAAGCTACATCCAGAGGGAATGCTCATGCTCTCTAGAGCGGACGACCTGGAAGGTGTTGGACTTGCAGTCAGCGGTGTGGGTGACTACAAGCGATTCTTCGACGAGGTCGGATTCAACCAAAGCGGTGTGGGCGCTAGCAACATAGTTGGAGGAACGGGTGGTGACTCCAAGTCTCTGGAGGACATGTTCTATCAGAAGGAGATGGAGCTCTCCAAGATGGTTTTCACTCGACAGTTTACCCACGCAGTTATATATGCATGGGTGAAGCTACGAGAGCAGGTTGGTTGGAATCCCCGCTTGAGAGACAAGACTGCTCACCCTTTCTTAGGAAATCAGAAACATCACCTGGATTGCCGAATGCATTGCTCAAAATCAAAAGGAGAGAATAGGAAATTACATCAGTGTGTTCTAACATGGTTAGGGTCATTGTCACGTGAACAGCACGGCGTTCGGTAGAAGGGGGGTCTGCCTTCGCGGCCTACCAGCTTGATAGCTCCAGACCTAATGAACAACTTTTCCCAACAACTTTTCAAGACGACTTCCTTCTGCTTGTTTGGGAGATTTATCGATGCAGCGACTTGCAGGGGCCAGACACGTCTGCGTCGAGAGCTCCTGACCACCTTCCGCACCGACTGATCGGGTTGTGGCTGCCTGAGGAGAAATCATCAACAACTCAACATCAATTGAGCTGTTCATCTATCCTCTGAAATAACTTTTCGACAAACATTGTCGAGACGATCATCTACATCGACAATATCGTTGATTCATCTGCCTGATATTGCAGTCATTGATACCCTCACGTATCACACAACTTGTCTCCCAAGTTCGACCTCTCACTCGTTTGTTCGATCAATACCTTCGCACTAACGAAGCCATCGGGATCAAAATGTCGGAGTCCTGCGTCACAACAATATGCTTTCGAAAGACTCAAGACTTTGTGCCTGAACCGACTTCGTCATCCCTGACCTTCCTGGACAAGAGCGACCCTTTGCACGGTTGCACCAAGTCTGACTCAGGGGAACCTCCCCTCAAGAGGATAGATTCTGGTTTCTTCGAAGGAATTTGTCAAGCAGAAGAGTCAGCAGAGTCGGCACCCCTTGCCAAAGACGACGAGAGTTGTAGACCATTATCCTCAACGCCGAAACCACGGATTGACCATTGCATCATACCAAAGCGGTTACGGCATGCCATTCGACAAGACCTCTGTGACCCTAGAGCTTTATTTCATTCAGTCCGTCACGGCTATCTCCACACAGACGTTCGGTACGATAAACAAATCGCAGCTCTCTGTTCGCATGCGGCGGGTTCAAGTCAGAATATGGAGGTTGTCAAATATACAAGAGCGTTCCCCAATGACGTGTCCACGGAACCGAGGTTCAAGACATCCCAGCTCTATGGTCATGGTGCTTCCGACATAGAAGCCTACCTCTACCACTGGGCCACCGAAAGAGCCGCTATGCATCAACGACAAGCACGCACGAACGTCGGTAGAATGAAGGAAAAGCAATCCCAAGTGGAAGGAGGACTTATAGCTGGCTTGAGGAAACGTATCGACCGGCCGGCTGGGTACCCCGGGATCCTCCACTGCCGAGTGAACAAGCCGGCGCGCCCAGAGAAGACGTTGCTTTCCAGCTATTCAGATGCATTCAGAGCATGGGATACTGCTATGTCGCAATCTATACCGGGCTATGCTGGCGACTATGAGAAAAGGCATTGGTACATATCTCAATGGGATGGTCCAAGTGCTAAGTGATGGCTCGACTGTACTAACTGAAGAAGGCTGTGGCGTTTGTGTTTTAAGAGCAAACTAAACGTGGTCTTCTGTTCTTGACACGTCTCGGCTGGGGCGCAGTCAAGGACCAAGATCGCTTGATGTACAAGGGATGCCAGTTTTGTGACATTGATTCAATGATTATCGAGATATATTTGTCGCCTGCAACGAATACATGAAGTCGCTCATTTTAAGCCCAATACCGCTTTGATCTCGTATCAACAAGGCGTTAACAAAGAGATATCAATAAGACTGAAAATTTGGCAGCCCTCTTATTTTCCCTTTCACTTTCTTCTTTTCCTTTCTTTTCCATCTCTACTTTAAAGCCTCGTACGCAGGCCCGTTCATCGCGTCCTTCCCCGCCTTCATCTTGGCTGCCCTCTTCATCTCCTTCTTCTCCCTCTTATCCTCCTTCTTCTGTGCCTTCCTCGCCTTCTTCTCCTGTTTCTTCTCCTTGTCCTCCTGGGAGAAGTCGCTGCGCCCGCCCTGCAAGAACCTGCCGGGGTAGAAGACGTTCAGGACTAGCAGGGCGAAGAACATGGGCACGGCGTCGAAGACGTACGTGAACCACTCGTGCGTCACTGTGGGAGAGTTGGCGCCCGTGCCGAACTCGACGAGCCTGTAGATGTTGCGGATTATGATGAGCGCGAGCGTGATGTAGAGGAGGCGGAGGAGCGGCGTGGCGAGGGCGAGGTCCGGCATGGTAGTAGCAACGTCCGATATTGGGGAGTGGGAGTAGTTGAGCCGGAAGGAGGCGGATCGGGTTGGATCTGGCGACGACGACGGGGCCAGGACGGGTTGGTATTGCGCTTCAGTGTCGGCGTCGTAGTAGCCTGACTTGGTCGAGGTTCTCTGCTTCAGCTGCTTGACTTTGCGTTGAAAGCCAACGGCCAACGAGATGAAGACGACGAGGAAGAACAGCTGCACGCCGACGCCGCCCGTGTAGATATTCAACCCGGTCTTCTGGACAGAGGGGCTCACACCGGGTCCGGTCATCGTGCCGCCGACGGCTTGGATCAGGAAGGCCGTGATGTCGAAAGCGACGAACATTCGTGTGATGGCCCGCGCACGGATCTTGAACACACGGTCTTCACCTTTGGGCAGGAAGAAGTGGATCATCCTGCCCAGGAGCATGTAGATGTACGCATTGATCCAGAGCGGCGCGAGCAAGATCAGCAGGAGCTGCACCGTGTAGATCCCGCTCGACAGTTGGTTCTCGATGGAGAATATCCGGGCGACATAGCCGCCCGTTTCCCACAGGGCGCCCATGATGAGAACTATGGCGAAGGGTTTGCGGTAGACGATCGCCTGGACTATGTGCACAAAGGTCGTGAGGCCGAAGAGGGCTGTAAATAGAATTGCGGCGCCGAAGGACGGGCAGTAGGACCAGATGTCGTCGGGCCCAGAGCCGGCGTGGCACACGATGTTGGGCATTATTGTGGTTGCTTTTCCGGGTTGGGAGGGCTTCTTCCAGGGAACTGGTGGTGCTTAAACAGGATATGGAATGGCAGTTCTTGTGGTCTTGGAAAGAGTGGATATCTGAGGACTGTAGAGGAAGGTGAAGTTGGAAGTGTATAGCAGGATTGGAAATTGAATATGAAGACTTCAATGAGGCGGTCCATGGTTGATATAGACCACAAACCTTTGGGTGGGGGAATGCTGAAAATAGCTGCCTGGAAATTGACATTGGTACTTGACTGCAAACGATAACAAACAAGGCTGTGTGCCCCAGGGTACGGTTTCAGAGACTGGCGTATTTTTCACATACGAGACGTGAGTGAGTTTAGCTCATACGAGCTCCCCACCAGCCGCCGACCAGCTCTGGGAGCACTGGTGACAGAGGCGGTGGTTATGTGGATGAAGCCTGCATACGACTGGCGAGGGGCCAAACGGGGCTTAGATGTCGGCAGCATGAATTGGCGAAGGGGCTTTAGAGCATTGAGAACCGCACTAGTGCGCAAGGCTAGAATCTACAAGCCGTGATTGGCCAGGGCCTTCCTCGTATTGTCTAACCATTTTTAGTTAGCGCAGGTGGCCTTGTTTGGGGACACCGGCCCAACTAGGTGCGCAGCTAAGGGGCTTCAATGTTGTTCCTGGCCAGAGTCCTCCGTCCTCTTTCATGTTTACGCAAAGAGGGGTGGTCCTTAACTCAGCATTGGTGCCCTAGCCGTATGTGGCGCGAGTAGACACAGCAGGGCCGTAAATGAAGTCCCAGCTTGTTGCCTGTCCCCAATGCATAGGAGATCATTAGCAGCCGAGACCAAAAGGTCGGACTCCCTAGTCTCCAGGCAGTAGCCAAAAAGTGCTGGCGAGCTGGCGAGTTCTTTTGGCTGTGCTTCTTGGTTCAGCTTGGGGTCGAGTTGGCTTCTGACACAGGGCTGATTGGAAACTGAATATAACATCTCCCAAAACTCAACTCCTGGATGTTTTTCTGAGCCATGAGGAACAGGTCGAAAGTTGCAGAATATGATCAGAATTGGTAAGAACAAAGTCCGAACGGGATGCTTCACCTGCAAGTAAGTCAAGCCTGGACTTGCCAGATGGTTATCTGTTGCGCCATCACACCCTCCTAACGTGGACCACATCAGACGGCGACGAGTCAAATGCGACGAGGCACGACCCAGCTGCAATCGCTGCATCAAGGCTGGTAAGCCATGTGAAGGATACGCCAACGATCCGGGGTCCGGTCGAGCGAACGAACCCGTCAGATTTGTCGTCTACTCTCCCCACAATCCAATCCCCCTGTTGTCTGAGCATCCAGATCTCGATTGGTCGGAGCGGCGGGCATTGAGCTACTTCCAGGATCGCACAGCCCTGGAGCTTGCCGGCGCTTTCCAGCCAGACTTCTGGTTAGCGACTATTCTGCCACTCGCAAGGCAGGAGACCTCTGTCAGACATGCTCTCATTGCCTTGAGCAGCATGCATGAACACTTTGCCGGCGTCGATCATTTCTCGCCCACAGGAGGCGTCGATTTTGCCTTGAATCATTACGGCAAAGCTATGCGAGAGGTTGTGAAACTCAAGCAGTCCCAGCTGGACCGGCGCTTCGATTACGCCCTGGTCACGTGTGCTCTGTTCTCTGCCTTGGAGAGTATTCAAGGACAGTATCACGAGGCGTGCAACCATGCCGTCTCCGGAATCAGAATCCTTGCTGAAGAGCAACGAAGTCCTAGCGCCACTACGAAGCAGACAGGGATTCCTCGTGAAACCCTCACGCGGGTTTTCATCGCCATGGGGAGACAGATAATGGAGATCGGGGATCCCAATTTCCCGACTCCTAGACCGGAGTTGTACCGTACGAAGACCGCAATACCCATGCCGGATCAATTCACCTCGCACGAGCACGCCCTGCTGCACATGGAATTTCTCCTTGCAGACCTAGTCGAATACGCGTACCGAGCAGAGACGCTGGTCAATCAAGGACCCCTCTCAGACGACGTTGCTCTTTGCCTCCTGACAGAATTCCACGCCATCAAGATCCAATTTGGGAAATGGCAGGCTGCATTTGACGCGTTCTCTTCAGTTGACGCCAACGAATACTCGAGAGAGACACCCGAGTCCTCCAGCTCAACCGCTTCATCCCCGTCAGGAGAGCATTTCAGACAACCACGGAGTCCTGCTTTCCTTATTCTCAGAGCCTACCAAGCTCTCATGATAGCCTTCCTCGTACGAATCGAACGCAACGACGAAGCAGCGTTCAATGATTTTGGTCCACAATTCTGGACGGCTCTAGACGCCGTGGAGGAGTTTATCCAATGTACCTCCACTTTCGTCAATCCCGTGGATAGCTGGTATTCGTCGACAGGACGACCCTCCGACCCGACAACCTCAACCTCGACCTCGACCTCAAACCTGACCCCACAATCGTTCTCACAACCATCACACGTGGGGCAGTCCCGCACCGTGCGGCCGACGTTCTCCCTCGCACTCGGGATAGTGCCCACCCTCTTCCTCATCGCCTCCCGAACCTTCGACATCGCCTTGCGCGACAAAGCCCTCGCGCTCCTCCGTATGTGCAACCGGCGCGAGGGGCTTTGGGATTCCCGCCTCGCCGCGAGTCTGGTCGACCGGGTCATCGAGTTGAGGGATATGGCGAGACAGATGGGCGGCGGGCACCAACATCCCGTCGATGGTGACGTGGATGACCCTGTGACGCAGACGACAATGAGCCTGGGGGAAAGCCAAGAGACAAACAACAGTCCCCCAGCGGCCGGCGGAGGCAGCGGCGGAAACGGCGTGGAGTTCAAGTTACTGGACATCAAGTTCCTCCCGGGCAGGAGATGCATGTTTCGATACGCCTTTGTCACAATCCAGGGCAAGACGGAAGGAACCCCGATTCCCATGCTCAGCAGTGAGGTGCCAAACCATGTTCCCGGCGCAAAGGTGCATTCTGTGACGGAGTTTTGGGAGGAGTTGCATTGGGAAGGATAGCAGGCGGGCAATGGAGAAAAAGATACCCACAGGCACGGTCGTTCGCTGATGGCTTTAATTAATCCTACCAAATCAATCTTATAGCGCAACAGAGTCTTCGCGAGAAATCACACCGATTCGAGCTTGATTCAGCAGGGTCTGTGTCCGGCAACCTGGGCGCTTCTCTAAGAAACGTCTCTTGAAGTGCAAATCTCTCGAAGATGGAGTCCGTCCCTCCCTGTTGTCGAATATTAGGCAGCATTTTGCGCACACTTAGGTTTTTGAGTAAGCAGTTGGCCCATAAAGGCCACTGAGATATCCACACTTTCCTAGCTGATGCCACTCTGTGCTCTGAAGAATGCAGAATCCCCATCCATGAAATACGCCACCCGCCTGGTGAAGACCTCTCCAGCACTTGGTTCAAGGCACTTCGGTTGTGTATTTTCAAATGTTGTTTTGGTGTTTTTTTTTTTTTTTTTTTTTTTCGTGGGTTTGATTTTTCGTACGGCGATTGCAAAATTTGGTCTCGAAATGTTCAAACAGGCATATGGAGTGGCATTGCATGGGAATATCAACGACAGTCCGGCGGACCATCAGGACCGACTGATCATCAAACAGTAGCTCTGCTACCACCAAGCGTTTAAGGGCGTGACAACTAGCTTTGCAAGCGATTCCAAGCATGATCACTAGTCATACTGGAATAGCACACTGATGCTCTCACCATAATGTACCCTTCGAATTGCCTATTGGTAAAACTGGCGTGTTAATATTATTCGACTTCAGCTTACTTCATCAAAACTAGGCCTTGACTCACCTCGGCAAAGACGTGACCAACCTCGAGCACCTCCAGCTTGGGGCATTTCCGGACATGGTGAGACTGGTCCACGGTATTGGTGACGATAACTTTGTCCAGAGCACTGGCATTAATTCTTTCAATTGCGTCTCCGCTCAAAACGCCGTGAGTCACCAATGCATAGACTTTGCTGGCCCCTTCTTTCTTTAGAAGTTTCGCGGCTCTGGTGATCGTGTTGCTGGTGTCGGCTAGATCGTCGATGAGAATGGCTACCTTGGCAGTAACGTCGCCGACAAGCATCATAGTCGCATTCTGACGATCGGTAATCTTGGTGGGCCTACGCTCTTTGTGGATTAGTGCGAACTCGATTCCCAGAGAGTCGGCGATAGCGGTTGCTCGTTTGGCGCCTCCAGCGTCGGGACTAACGACGACTCCATTCCTGTAGTCTGGAATGTGCTGCTGGATGTATTTCTTCAGGATGGGACGCCCATAGAGATTGTCAACGGGAATGTCGAAGAAGCCCTGATATTGGGGATCGTGGAGATCCATCGTGATGATATGGTCTGCACCGGCGCAGGTTAAGAGATCTGCCACAAGAGTGCCTGCTTGGGCGACCCATTGTCGATAGCCTGGACGCGGTTTGAAATTATCTTGAGGATCGATCTTGGGCGGTGGAGCGAAATCATGATTTGCAACGCCGTTGGTGGCCGAGGCTGTGGAGTCTCCTCGCTTTCGTTGCACTGGAAAGTATTCCGATTTGGTTGATGAATGGGAGCTTGCGTCACGGTCACGGTAGTGGCTGAAGCGGGCCTGGTATGTAGGGCTGTTCTCGGCCTCATCAAGCTGTGACTTTGATGTTGCTTTGTGTAGAGGGTGTCCATTTGTGAGGCCCTGGCTCTCGGTCTTGTCCGGATGTGGAGTAGGCGGAATGCTGTCGAAGGTATAGCCATTCACATCAGGAACCAATTTATTAGACGTATTCGACGCCTTGACCAGAGGAGCACCGCTCTTGTTGTAGGGTATGTCGGACTGCCGAGAGTAAGGGAAGAGTGGAAGTACAGCGGTGACCTTTTTCGCGGAGGCAGTCTTGCACGCTGAAATGGCAATGAGAAGCTCAACAAAGTGGTCATTCACCTTGCCACCACCAGACTGTATGATATAGACATCTTTTCCTCTGACCGACTCGCCTATCTCAACTCTGGTCTCTCCGACTGAGAATTTTGAGAAGAGAGCTTGACCAGGGGCAATGCCGAGAATCTCGCAGATGGTTTCGGTCAAGGTTGGATGGGACGAGCCCCCGAACACGACAATATTCCTGACCATCTTGTTTCGATCGACGGAGGCAGACGGTAGTTTTGTCTGGTGTGTAAGGTGGGCTGGAGGATCTTGTATGGTATGAGAGGGGAGGGTCGGTAGGATGAGGCAGCACTCGAGAGGTGGGGATACTTGTAGTTGGCGCTAGACTATGCAGTCTGCTGTAGGCTGTGAAGCCATGGGGGTCAACCCGGTGGTTGACATGATACAAAGAAGGCAGTGAAACTACAGATGGAAAAGTTCAAAAAAATCAGAATGAGAGCAAATCGCAGTTGGTGGTTGTGCTAAGTTTGCTCTCCCCACGGAACTTTTTGTCTCGCCCCACTTTCCGCTTTGGATCCCAAAAGTGGTGTCAGTGGATTTTCCCGAGGTCGAAAGGTCGTCCAGCGCATTCCATACCCTCGAGACCCAAGACCAGTCAATGCCTGGGTCCAACTAACACGACATTGACGGGACGGACCTATTTGGCTTCCATGTCTGCTCCACAGACCGATGGCTATGCACCACCCATATATCTCGTCCAGTTCGCCTGTGCATTTTGGAGACTCCAAACGCCCCCGCCAGTCAACGCCGGGCCCTTTTGCCATGCCGACAATAGACGCCTGCCATCAATCACCTGTATCAACCTCGAGATCCAGCTGGACGTTGTTGCTAACCCCGTAGTCTTGGAGAGTGAGTTGATCCTTAAATGGTCTCTCGCCCTGTCGCTTAAGCAGGATCTCGTGAGGCTGTCTGCCAATCATCGAGGCAACTATAACTTTGAAGTCCTCTAGTATTTAGTTAGCAAGTGAAGAAACCAAAGAAAATGGTCTAGACTTACTTATTGGATCTGTGGGATAGCACGGAATGGCTTTCTTCGTGCCCAGCCGGTCGTTGACGTAGACAATAATCATCGGCTGCACAGGCGCTGCCGGCGCTGGCTTCTTCTCTTTCTTGTCGAGCTTATCCTTCTTCTTTTCTTCGTGGGATCCTGATTCCTCCCGATCTCGTCGCCTGTCGCGATCTCTGTCATCTCTCCTGGGAGAGCGCCTTCGAGAAGGTGGAGTTCTGGATCTCGACCGAGGTCGATAGTGATCTCTGTATCCTCGCTGCAGTCCTGAGTCGTGGTCTCGCCTCGAATCGTTGTCGTCTCGCCGTTTGTCCTTCCATCTGAACCCTGCGTCCTTGTGCCGCGGTCGATCCTCTCGCCTGTCTCTATCGCGTCGAGGAGACCTGCTGCGTCTGCGGTCTTCGCCCCTGGGCGATTCTCGCTCTTTCCGGTCAGTATTGGTGGTCGGAAGTGAGGGTGATGCAGTCTCACGCTGATCGTCGGCCATGACTCGGAGCCTAGGCAGCCTCTTATAGATGCAAGAGCGTGAGTGGAAAATTTGGTCGATGTGACTGAACTGCCTGCGGGACAACAAAGAACTTTGCGGAGTGGATGGCCCGCCATTAGGTAGGCCACCGGAAAAACCCCGGGGGTAACGGATAAATGCGGATAAACTAAACACTAGTGTTAGGGTTCTCAGATCGGTACATATCGGTACAGGTCTCCTCTAGACTGAAGTGCTCAGGTTATCATGAGGAAAGGACTGTTTCGCAAGGGCTGGCAGAATCGGGCCTTGTTAATCTACTGATTGAATGCCTTATCCACCCCTTTTGATCTGGGAATAGTTGCACGATTTTGAGGCCACCCATCCAGAGACTTGTCGACACAGTGACCACCTGCGTGATCAATGCTGAAATATCCTATTCAATAGTTGTCAGCAGCACCACAGGCCATGTCGGCTGTTCCGTAACACACCGCATCGCTGTCACTGGTACTCAACGGAAAAAGGAGCTGTTCGATCTTTTCCGGGTATGGCGGGTCGCTACATAGATGTCTGCTCGAACTCTGCGGAACTTTGGGAAAGATTAGGGAAATATAGGCAGAACTACCAAAAGGGCCTGCTTATCATTACTCCACGGAAGATGGCGGCTTGCCTCGTGTGTTTAGACTGTATACTCTCACTGCTGAGTCCTTTTGTGCAAGCCATGCTGCCCGGTGACAGAGGCATGTCGTCCAGTTTTGAAGATCATCAACTGACTGCAGTACCATTCTTTCTCTCCCGGACTCAAGCAATGGATGCGATACCAGTTGTACCTCTCACAACATCTGCTGATCAAAATCAAACCCAAAATCGTCCAAATCGACGCCCCAAGAAGCCCAAGAACTCAATTCCCGCTCCTCTGCCGCTGCCGTTCTAACCAGCGGTTCCCCGGCGAAATTTTGAAGCCGCACCGTCATCTCCGGCGCCGGTGGCAGCGGGTCTGGCCCGATGAGCCTCATCTTCAGCGCACCTATAGCTTCCCCTGTAGGATTCCTCCGCCCGAGATTTGCCTCGCCTTGCATCCGCGCGAAAGTATCCCACAGGATTGATGCACCAAGACGATTCGTCACGGTCAGCTCCGCCAGCGGCCAGTGACCACCAGCAGCGCCTGCGGTCTGCGCCTTTTCGACGAGCTTGCCAATCAGCCTTGCGGCCCTCGCAAGACCACGATGGTGTGGAAGGACTCGGAAGGTCGACTGCGCGTCGATCATGCCTTGGAATGCGCGTTCACCGTGTGCGGGGCTCAGCGGTTTGAGACAAATGAAGATGCGGAAGAGGAAGACTGCGGAGAAGAACAGGCCAGAGAAGAAGTGGCTGGGGAGGAATGGGAACCTCTCCGTGGGAGACTTGTCCTCGGGATCTCGTTGGAAGGCTATGTTCTTCATGTAGTTTATAAGAGTGGTTGCTGATTCCAACCCGCGGAGGAATAGAGTCTGTCTATTGATAACGTTTTGAGCATTCGCTAGAGAGCTCTCTTGTAAAGGTAGCAAAGCAGACATTGCGTAGAGATTCAGCTTTGCAACATGTAGGTGGATACCGAGTTCGGGGGTCCACTGAGCAAAGTATGTTTGCTCGACGTTATCGAGACGGCTGTCGAACATGTTTGTGAGAGATAGATGTGCTGCTGGATCCTCAACATCCTCAAGAGATACGGCATAGTTGCACATAATTTCGCAGATGGCAAGGCCAGCTTGACTTTCGCGCGACAGCCAGCAACTGAGTTGGTCGATGGCCTTCCTTACATACTTGAGCTGGTGGAAGGATGAGATAGGAGGCGCAAAGCCAAGGAAGATGGCTGTCCTGTTCACGATCTCAGCACGAGTCGAAAGGATGAAGAGGAGGAACGTACTGGGTTCCGACACTGAAGCACGCAAGCCAAGTCAGGCACCGGGTCTGGGCATCGACGTTTTCACACGGGTCTGCCCCGTTAGGGACAGTCTGTCTCTGTGCCAGCGGCTTATGGCAATTTAAGGCCATGCAACTGTTGACTGCCATGCCAATATAGACCCATGATGGATCGTGCAAAATCCGCCGTTTCGGAATGGGCCAGAGGCACAGGAGTAAGATGGCATGAACATTCTCCAACGATCGGATGGCCGTATTGGAAAGAGGCGCCAGTAGCACTTGGTGAGGGAAGAACAAGTCTTGATACAAATGGCTGTACTTATCATGATGTTGGGAGGCAATCAAGACCATCGTCCAGAAGAGTAAGGGCGAGTCCGCGACAAACCGAGCGAGTGATTGTATGGGCGCTATAAAGGCCACACGGGGTAAATAGTATCTCTCAAAGCTGCAAATAGATCAGAGGCGGGAGTCGTGAGATATTTACGGACACGAATAGCATACTGTTGGAATAATTCAACGGCGACCCCGGGAGGAATGGAAACACTTCCCAGCACAAAGTTGGCCGAGTGTTCCACCTCCATATCAGCCGACAGGACGAACGCGGAGCGAGCTCCTGACGGAGTGGTTGATGGACCGTTCGACTGCGGAGGACTCTGCTCGTCATGATTCTGCGAAGCTCGCACAATGTGAAGCTCGTTTACAATGTCTCGGGTGATACTGGGGCGTCTCGATGAGCATCCGTGGTAAATCTGATCGAAGGAGCGTTCGCCATACCGCCTGGTAGATACTCTCTTGAAGTTCTTCACAAAGCAGCAGTCCTTGTCGTTGCTTTTGCATCTCGAGCATGGATTCGGAGCCTTGACTCGAGCATCGCACGCCATCTTAGCCTGCCGGCAGGCTGTACAAGATCTGGGTCTTCCAACCATCTTGTCTATTCTCCAGAGAACTGTTCACAGCATTTGCGATCATATTGAGGTGGAATTGAACAGGTCAAACAGGTCAACGTTCGCCTTGTAGATGATGTTGCGGCTTTCGCAGTTTGGGTTCTTTAACGAAGTATGCCAAGGCGCTGGTGATTATGCATAAACCCGGTTTTACATTGGTTTGATTGGTGTACTTGTTACAAGTACAAGCACAAGTATCCAGTATATGAGAGTAGTCTTTGGCGCGTTTAGTCATTTTCCGCTCTCATCATGAGTAACAAGTACAAGTACCGAGTATTACGCCAAGTACGCTTTCCCCTGTGCCGTACCCAGTAGGTCTAGCGACTCACTGCGTTGTGTCGCAAGTTGCAACGTGCAAACCAACATATCCAAATCCCTTAGCATGCCTCCATAGTCTAGACTCTTTGGACATGAATCTGTCAACTTCAAACGAGCCGGTCACTGACTGGATTTCGGCGTCTATCCGGCCTTTCGGGGGCAGGCCCCCGGCTTTCTTTCTCCGACTCCCGTCTTCAGCATCTTGCGGGAGCCGCACTTTGCAGTCCACCGGTCTAAAACAATGACGCGGCTCGACTGAAAGTCCCTTGACGGTGGACGGAACGGTGGTACTAGATATGCGCGATCGGAACGTATAAAGCTGGCACTCAGAGTGCTATGTCTCCCCCTGGGCTGGTAATTTACAGCGTAGGTCAAAATGAAGGTTTCTTTGCTTGTCAGCGCTGCGGTCTTGAGAGCCACCTTAACATCTGCTCGTCCTCCGTCTCCCTTATCTCATTTCTTCACTTGGAACCCTCCTGGACCAGGCGATGGTATGATTGAGCTCAGAAAGAGCAACACGTTGGCCAGGATGCTAAACTATGGCAGTTCGTGGCCCGTGCCCTATGCTCAATACTTTAGCAAACCATGGCTTCCTACCACACAGCGGCAAAAACATCACTGAAAACGACACAGTCAACGCTTTGAATGCAGCTCTGAATGTCGATCGAAAACTCGGTGTTTTTCTATTTCAACACGCAATCACTACCAATCCAGCGCCAAATGCCACGGATTTCTCGCTCGACGACCTCAGCCGTCACAACATCTTGGAACATGATGCAAGCTTGAGGTGCGCTGACATTTCACCCAACTGATTCAATATCTCCCGCAATGCCCTTGAGTCTATGTCGAAGCTTCAACCCGCGATCTACCCACTGACTCGGCACATTACAGTCGTGGGGATTACTATTTCGGAGACGACCACACCTTCAACCAGACGATCTTCGACCAAACGAGATCATACTGGACAGTCCCAATTATCGACATCGAAACCGCGGCCAAAGCCCGTCTAGCTCGCGTAGACACTTCAAAAGCGACCAACCCGACTTTCAACCTCACCACAACTGGTACCTTGTTCAGCTTCGGAGAGACGGCTGCCTACATCATCGCTCTTGGCGACAGAGAGACGGGGACAGTACGGAGAGCGTGGGTGGAGTATCTTTTTGGTAAGAACCGAGTTACGGTCCAAGGTTTGGTTTGACGGCACAGATCAAAACTGACACGTGATTGGAGCAGAGAACGAACATCTCCCACTTGACCTGGGGTGGTCTAAACGGAAAAACCCAATATCGAAACATGACTTGGGTAGTATGTTGAAGAGAGTTGTCAATGCGACAGGAAGCTCTCCGGAAGATACTGCCTTGTTGATCAGACGAGGTGGGTTTCACGGCGGCATTTAGCTTGCACGAGATATTAGGGTAGAAGAGCCGAGCCCTGCGAAGTTGTTGTCATGAAAGGATGCGAAACTCAAGAGTACAGATAACGAGAATGATTGACATAGGCCGCTCTCACCATGTACATTCAGAAACCCCGTGTGGACGGTGAACAAGTGAATGTTCACGCTCCAGGCGGGAGTTAAATAGAAGCAGCAAACCTCCATCCTTACGTGCCCGCTTATGGCAACGCTACCGTGAGCTTGATATCTTCCTGTCAGCAGCACGAACGAACATCGAGGCAGATTCAAAAAGATCTGTACCACAGGTTGCTGAGCTTTCGAAATCTCTTCTGCTGACTGCCGTGTACGTCCAGCTTTGTTTTGATCATGAAGTTCTTCCACGTTGACAGGGAGGGAAGGCGGCCCACCCGGCGACCTGGCGAGCAAACCGTCCATCTTCTATTCAGACTGCTGGCAGAAGTGACAGTAGACATGAGCGATTCGCAATGGTAGTAGCACCGTAATTTTTCTTGCAGAAACCCCGTTGATGTGAGCATTGCCTTCCCTGCGGCTGGGAAAACACCGCAGACAGTTGTCTTCAGCCATCTCTGTTTCTGAGTGGAGCATGGAAGCGCACAGCCGGTTTGTTCTGACAAAGCCTGTCTGGTAATTAGGACTTTTTGTTTGTGAGTAATCTAGCTATATATGTAATACAATCTATGTGGAGAACTGTCCGGAATATTGTGAGTCTGCTCCACTTTTATATCCAGATGCGGAAGGAGCATATCTTGGCGAAGGCCGTTCGTCATTATTTTTGCCTCGTCGGATATGGCAAGACCTCTGGCTCCTAGACTACTCGTTCAAAGACATTGACCGCCTTCTAGTCAGAAATAGGGCAATCTTCGCGTCGGCAGAGTCTGGTGCCGAGGGAATTTCCTTGAATTCCCGCTCGTTGCACGAATCAGGGTTCTTGTCGTCGAGCGCGGAGAGGCAATGATATCGATCGGAGCAACACGTAAAGAAATGGTTGCCTCTGCTGGTCATACAACGGGCTGAAAAAGCACTTCTCGACATGGTATTTGGTGCAAGGTGTCCCATCTCGTCCGGTGCAGCGACTGTCCTGACGAAGACTAACCTCGCAGAAATTCACCTCTGTGTGGCCCACCTGGCTCCAGTGTCGTGTACGAAGTGAAGCTCGGCCGGAGAAAATAGTTGATATATGCTTGGAAATCAAGAATTGGTAATAGAGACGAAATGGATCCGAGAAAGGGTCTCCTTTAAGCCTTTCTGGAAGTCAGCTGCGTGCTTGCCGTTCCCCTTTCGAACCTACATACCGCTGGAAAGTGAATCAAATAAATCTCCTTCCCTCGTGAACTTGTTCGGAACAACTCCATGAGAAATTAAACTTCGTCCTTTGTGTTTCAGTGAACAGCAAAATTCTTATCATCATCACAGAAAATGGCGATTGAGACAGTTCTTCTGACGGGCGGCACCGGGAGCATTGGCGTGTGGGTGCTCGAACAACTGCTGAGCCAGGCCCACAAAGTTATTGCCGTGATTCGACCTCTGGCGAAATTTAAGAAGCATTTTGACGAGAAGTATGCCACTTACCTCACCAATGGATCGCTCGAGCTTGTCGAAGTGCCAGACTTGACAGTACCTGGTGTCTTTGATGAGCGCGCCTCCAGGGCTGATGTTATCATTCACGTTGCAACGCCCCTGACGACCTCCGGTTTCGAGAACACAATGATCCGAACGACATGGCTGATTGATGAAAACATTCTTAACGCGGCAAAGAAATCGCCGAAAGTCAAGCGCGTTGTCATATCAGGCTCTATCGTGTCGGTAGTCAAACTCCCAGAAGGGCTGTTCCAGACGTGGTAGCGACTGAAGAGGATTGGAATTCCATAACACACGAAGAAGGCTTGGTGGACTTACCTAAAGCCTATTCCTACTCCAAGACCAGCGCAGAGAAGCACGCGTGGGCGTGGATGAATAAAGAGAAGCCCAAATTTGACCTGGTCGTTCTCCTGATACCGTCAGTTATCGGCAAGAGCATCAACCCTGGCTTCAAACCCAACAAAGCGTCTCTTGGTGGCATGTCTAATGCGTACAGCTATTTCATTGACACCCCCCAGCTGAGTTATGTATTCAACCCTTGGATGTGAGTATCTGACCCGATGCACGTTTCTCTCTTCAGGCTCGAGACTAACACCTTCCAAGGGACGTCCAAGATGTGGCTGCCTTGCATATCCGGTCCGCAACGGACATCGACAACGTCCCTGGTAACGAACGATACTTGATAAAGGGCCCAGGTGTTCTGGACATGAACGAGTTGGCAAACAAGATAAGGGAGGAGTTTCATGAGCTGCGAGGTCGGGTGCCCGCACCAACAAGACAAGGCGAGGGCAATCTTGCACCTCTTACCACGTTCGACACCACCAAGGCCCAACGGATTTTCGGTCCGGAGTCGCAATTCCGCGACGGCTGGTCGTCGATGAAGGACACTATTGCAGATATTGCCCGGTTGGTGCCCAACCCGCCCACGACTTCACCATAAGTAGTTGACACGGAAACCGCGATCCGCACGGCTTTTGCATTGGAGCTGCCTGTAGATACTCCCCTCCTTATGTAGCTAGCCAGCGATCAATCAACATACACGTCATTACTTGAAACATACTCCAGGTGTCTAGAAGAGCCAGCTCTGGAAAGTAGCTTTGACCATAATGCAGAAAGGAGAGGCGACCAACGACTTTGACGTTCTTGGCCACGAAATTTACGGCTGATCACCAAGCGTTAATGACACTTATACGGTCGACCAAGTGGATCCCAGCGGCAACCGGCATCATGATTCTCCATTCCGAACACGACAGCTCGACGGTCTTGTTGCGGGACAGGCCTTGCATCCTTTCCCGCTCAATCCCATATCTCTACCCAAAATACAGACTATCCAGCTAATACCCTCTTCAGTGCCTCTGGTATAACCATGGGACCATGCTCACCGGTCCTAGCCAATATCTTTCCATCCACTTCCCCAGCCCGACAACCGTCAGCTTCACCGTTTCCACCAGACAACCGTATCCGCAAGCCTGGTCGACAACAAGAACCTCTTCCTATTCATACTTCCCCAATGTCCCTATTTTCACCCTCATCAAGCACGCGCTACGAATCCTTCTCACCTTGTGCATGCTCCTCATTAATCTGACGAAAGTCCAGACAGACGGCCAGCCCTCAAGACTTGACGCGTACGCGGATTTCGGGCTACAGCTCAGTTTGCTCGGCGGGACCATCAGAGCAATTGCCGAACGGACAGAATGGTGGGTCCTGGCACCGGTGAGCTTGGGGATTGTCTGGGCGTGCTTGAGGAGGGACTATGTCGGTACGGGTGCAGTCTCGTTTTGTCTGTGGTTCTCTCATCCCTTGTGGTTCTGCCCGAGGCTCTGCATCCAAATTAAAAAGCAACCCCTGCCTCGACATCGTCTGGGTCCGGGCAGCAATCACTGTCTTCAGGAAGGGCCAGTGATGCTGAATTGAGATTCTCTAACTGAACGTATAGAAGAATCCCTCTTAGTCCTCCAAGGTCTCGGAATCCAGACGTCCACGTCCTCTCGCTACTTCTTCACTGGCGCAACGACGACATTCATCCCGACCACGCAGATCCAGGATATTGTCATACATGAAGCCTTCAAAGGGCTTGAAGTGCGGTTCTACTTGGCGGTGATAGTCGAGGGGGCTACGGAGGTGGTGGTTGTCTTCCCTGTAGGCTTTCCCTTCTTGACGCCAACCAAATTGCTGTGCTTCCGGCAATCCCAGATACTGACAATTTTTTAACTCTGCAGACTCTCCTCCCACGGCGGGAGATTCTCGAGGAAGTCTGGCGAGGATCTCGGAAATGCTTGTATTCAGGCATCCGGTGAAACGAACACTCGATTCTACTCTACTTCAGCATTCGTCTCCTCAAACTCTTCCCTAGTTTTATCCCTCGCCTCCCGACTCTTCGCCCACTTCGCATTCAACACTTCCAACGTATCCATCCTTGGCTTCTTCATCACAGGGACATACCGTCCGCTGGTTCTTGCCCTGCTACTCCCATCAAAGACTTTCTGACTTCGCACTCGAAAATTTCGAGAACCGTCTCTTGTCGCTCCTCTCTGGAGAGAAGTGCCGTCCCCCTGAGAGATGGAAAGATCGAGCAAACTGCCTGTAAGGAGTTCTTTCATCTTGGCATCGCGCCATTGGGTCCAGAGTTCGTCTACCACGGCGCCGATCCCGAATTTCCCGTCATTCTTGGTGGAGTTGGTGGTGAGTGCAGGGACGGTGGCTTCATCGCCGGCATACAGCCAGTTCAAGGAGTCTTCCATCATTCCACCACTTCCGTTGTCGTTGTCGGGATATATGCAGTCCCACAGCACTAATGGCGCGTCATCGGCCATCTCATACATTGGTCGACCAGGATTCTTCTCAATATCAAGCAATTCATCGATAATGCTTGGTTCCTCAAGTCCCTGTCCGACAAGGAACAATATTGCCGCCATGCACCGCACCTGATGCCACAGGAAGGCGGTGCCGTGGACGCAGAAAGTGTATACTTTTGGGCCTCCTTGCAGGGGTGGCCCACTTCCATTTCGGAGTACAGAAGGACCGAATCCAGTTTGATTAAGACCTTCATGTTCTACAAACACTTTCCCGGTTTCGGGGAAGTCAAGCACGTCCGCGAAGGTTACCCTCCTCACGCAATTCGGCATCTGCTTGCTCGTATCAATTTTGCAGAAATTTCTGAAGTCGTGTACCCCAACGAGTTTCCTCGCAGCTTGCCTCATTTTCTCGATGTCAAGCCAGCCCTCCCTGACACTCGCCGGCCCCATTCCGTCAGTGCGTTGCATACCGAGTGGACCCGGGGTGGGGCAGAACGCAGGGTTGGTGAAGAAATATTTATACCGGCGCTCGCGACAGGAGAAGCGCGCATCGAATGTGGGTGGTGGAGAGGGGCACCAGGCAAGAACGCGGATATCGGGTGGGAGGATCGCGTTGAGAAGGGAGATGTACGGGAGTTCATCCTTGATAGGGTCGAACGGTTTTGCGTGGTAGTCCGTGGTGAGGTCGGCGGCATTGATGGATGGCATAGTATCCGCCTCGCCATTTTGCTGTTCCGCATCGCCGTTCTTATCGTCAGACTCTTCTGGCACAGGCTCTGGATTGGGTTGAAGCGGTCGATTACTCCTCACTCTAATCCCAATGACCTGGCCAAACGCAGACACGCCTCTATCCGTCCTCCCGCATTTACTATACTGATATCCTTCCCAGTTGAGATCTAATCGGACTTTGCCCTCTTCTCCCGGCTCTTTCGCACCTTTTACGTATTTCCACCTCCTCTGGTCCTCTCCCCAGACCACGTCATAGCTCTGATCCGTCCCCTCGGCCAGCTCGGGAGAAATCAGCCTTGCTTTCCTCAGCGCCTTCCATAGAACCTCTTCAATGGTCGGCTGCGGCGTCACATTGCCGTTTGCGTGCTCGTACCCGCCGTAGCGGCTGCCAATGTAGGCAAACTTCAAGGCGATGTGCCGGGTTGAGTAAAGAGAGGGATTGAATGCACGCGTGCGGCGCGGTGATCGCGATCTACTACTGCGGCGGACGACGACGGGAACGGGTTGCTGGGTTGCGGACGAGGGGAATGATGATGATGCTGGGACGACAGTAGTAGAAGCGGGAGAAGGCTTGTCATTGTTGTTGTTGTTCGTGCGCGTCGTCAACGAGGCCAGCAGCGTTGTCTGTTCGCGCAGTTGTCGCTCTAAAGTCGTGATGCGCGCGATTAGGTCTGTAGTGTTGTACCCCGTGTAGTCCATCTCCGTCTCCGTCACCGGTTTACTACCGGTTTCAGCAGCGCTTTCTTTCGCGGCCTGGTTCTGTGTGCTATTACTGGTGGCTGGCATTGCGAGGTGCGAGGAAAGTTGAATTGTGGACCAGCACCGCCGCCGCGCAGCAGTGGGAATAGCAAGAGCAATGGCGCGTCGGAGAGAATCAGTACTCCAGGTCTTGCGGCAGAGAAGCCTTGGTGGCACGAGCCCGCTCGTGAAGAATTCTTGCACAACGGCAGCAACAGAAGGCATCAAACATGAAGCGAAGGTGAAGCGCACAGAGCTTGCGCGTGCCGACGATGGTGATCAGCGGTCGGCTTTTTTGGGGGGTCTTCAGATAAAAAAAAAATTGGGAAGAACTTCGGGATGATGTCACCCGAGACGAGGCTACACCAGAGCCTTGTGCAACAGACAAAATGAGGAAGGCAACAGACTGATCATGTGCAGTTTGATTTTCGGTGATTCCACCCGATTCTTTTTATTCTTTTTTTTGTTTTCTCTTTTCTAACTTTTAGCAATCGCTATCAGCAGAGAAACGGACGACGTGTCGTCCTTAATCAACTCGCGTGCCGCACGGTCTCCAATACTGGGAGAGTAACCAACGGAATGGCAGTTCCCACACCTTGTTCCTTGCTTTGGTGCTGCTGGCGTGCAGCTTCAATCTCAAGCCGAATAAAACTCGTGGTCAGCAGTTTCCCCTAATCCACCGTGTCGTTTTCCTGTCGTGCTTCATGAAACTCCTGTTCTTCATCATCGTCGGGGCTTCCTTTGCTGGCGCTTGCGACTTCGCCGGCATTTCCCTGCGAGTCTTGAATCTCGATTTCATCCTCTGCATCATGCATTTCCTCGTCTTCATCTTCTGCCCCTTCGTTATCTTCTGCCGCGTCTTCACCTCCGTCCTCCGCATTCTCCCTGGATATTTCGTACTCCTCAAGCATGTGTTTCTTTTCATCATCCATATCTTCGAGCTCACTAAGCTCACTGCCCGAATCTTCTGCATCAGCTTCTTCGTCCGCGCTGTCTTGAATAGAGCCCCTCCTAGAGCTTGCTCTGCTTCCATCCAGGTCTTCGTCCTTGGTCTCGGCTAGGCGCTTGTTAATCGGTGCGTCTGTTCCCAGTTCCGCCTTTGAAGACACCTCCACAGCAATAACAGATGTTTTGGAAAGTATTGGGGTCTTGATTGGTGGCGGCTTCACAATGGCAGCTTCCGCTTTGCGCTGGATCTCACGCCGGGTGACTGTCTTCGTACGTCCGGGTCTAGCTCGCTCGCGCGGAACCTCGGGAATTTGTTGCCCACTTACGACCGGAAAATGGGTGGGCGAATTTTGCAGCCCAAGTCCAAAAGGTGCAGAGATTGACACTGACAATGGTCCGTCAGCAGCACCATCGCCCTGAGCGCGGAGCATATCGTTCAGACGAGCACGGTCGGCACCATCATCGCCACCAGTAGTGATATCCGTCGTCATGTTGATGAAGGTGCCTTGTGGGAGGGCAGCATGCTGTGGCTTGGGCTGTTCTTCTGGCGGCAATTGTTCGAGGAATTCTTTATAAAGACAAGCGTAAGAGTCGCCTATGAGATCGTCAATGACAGGTCCTTTCATTAGACTGTTGTTGAGACGTTTCAGGTCGATGGCGTCTCGCATGATGTCCAAATATACTGAGGTAGTATCGGGATCGTGCGCCCATTTCTCCATCATCTCTGACTTCTTGGTGAATTCCTCATAGTTCATGCCGTCGAATAATGCTCGTTCCCGACCTTCGGGTATTTTGCCATGTCGTCTCAGAAGCCGCACATAGGTTGTAGCCACCTCCTCCCAGACCTTGGTATGATCGAGAAAATCAGTCGTCTTCCTCCGAATCCGGCGGACCAGAGCGTCCAAGCTCGCACGGTCGTTGAGCTGCTCCAGAATGTGCACGAAGAAGGAGATGTATCGGCCAGTATAAACGTAATGACGTCCCGGCCGTTCAAACTCAGGCTTCCAAACCTGCATTGTCATGGTTTTGGTGAATATCTGTTGCGTAAACTGGTGCTTAGCGCCAAGAAGCGCCGCGAAATCCGTCCCTTCATCGTAAATGATATGCGCCGCACGGTCGGTGATTCGATGATGCCAATTGGACTTATCCGCATTTCCAAGCCTCTTTAAGATTTCCAGCATGTATCGCACCCAATCCACTCCTTCTTCATCCTCGGACAAATGCACACCTTGCGCATACCGAGATACCTGCAGATATTGGTGGGCTTGTGTGTGGGAGATTTTTTGGCTTCTCACCATCTTGTGAACAATAGATACAAGTTTGAAATGGGGCTCTAGGATTGGCTCATTGGTCTTCTCCTTCTTAGGGAGAGCCTCGACGGCCTCAATGATGGCATCCAGGACGGCTTCCGTAGAGACACGGCCCTGATTCTCCGGACTTTGGAACATCTTCCACAGACACTTCGCGCGTGTGTAGTGGGATGTCCATGACTTCGGTCGATCTGTCAGCCTCCTGCTGAGAAGATAAGCTGCAAAATGCCACAGGGCATACTGTCCTAGGGGCTTGTGATATGGTTGCTTGGACATTGCCATGTCAATGGTGCTGCTCATATGACGTACATGTTTGTCGGTCCTGAATGCTTCCATATTCAATGGGGGGCGAGAAGATGCATACAAAAGAGTGGCAAACTCGGTGAGCATGTCCTCAACCTTCTCTGTAGTTTCCAGTCGGTCATCAGCCGATCGCAGGGCTACTGCAGTAGCCATGATGTAGCAGTGAATCGCTTGACGCTCGAGCAGAGCAATATCGCCCCTTGATTCATTGAGTTTGGTGGAATTCCAGATCAGGTCGTCTTCAATCTTGGCCTCATAGACCTGTGCCAACCGATACCAAGTCTCCCATTTCTCAATGTTGTGATCCAAGTCCTGACGGAAGAAGATCGCAGCAAGATCCAGGTCGTCGGTGGGAGTTGGGTTGACTCGTTTGATAGACTTATATTTCGAAAGCGTGAGATGTCCGAGCATGAAGTACCAACCACTGTTTGCCGCGACCTGCGTGTCCGCTTGCACAATACGTGTCGGTAGATCACCGATACCTCGGATGCACCGATACAAGTCAGTTGCGTTGATAATTGACTTCAGATATGAAGAAATGATGCGCTTGTTTTGCTGGAGCGGTGGTGGACTTTTAATCACCCCTAGAGCTTGCTGCATCTTGTCAATTGTGCCTTTGAGCTCGCTTTTGTTCAGATCCTTGACGTTAAATCGCTTAGCATATTTCATGATCGTCGGGATCAAGGACCAAGCTGTCTTCTTATCCAAGTTTTCCGGCGGACAGCCGTGGTCGGCATCTCCAATACCATTGGCAAAGCGAAGCTGATAGAGATCGAAGAAGACCTGGGCAATCTCGGCGGTATAGTCCTGCTCCGTAGCGAGACTCCCCAATTCGGATTTGACCAGCTTTACAAAGGACTTGTTGGCGTGTTTGCAGTATTGCCGGAGACCGAAGGAGTTGTGGACCGCGCACAGGTATTCGGCTAAGTCGTCTGCTGCCCGAGGGTGGAGAACCGGGTCCTGGACAGTCCCCTCTTTAAGAAGCATATATTGTAGAGTCCATACTCGAACAAGCATCTCTCTAAGCCGGTCCTTGCTCTTCTCATACAACTTTGTCGAAGTCGCAGCTTTGAGCTGAGGCCCCGTAGACTGACCAACGCGTATTGAGTCTTCATAGATGACAAATCCGCAGAGGAGCTTCACAAGCCTTGAGACTGCTTCCAATGACGAACGAAGATGGGCGGCGTCAACACATTCAAACGGGCTAGAATCGTTGAGGACTTTGGTCAACAGTCTGATCATCACCTCGTCTGCATCATGTAACCATTTGAGCATCGAAATTTGCCGGCTACTTGATTCTGCTTCCAGATGGCGCTTAGTAGACAATTCCTTAACAATCGTCTCAATCGCTCTGAGGAGACAAGACACGATTTTGGGAGTATATGAAATAGCCGTGTAAGCGTTTTGAAGACGTCTCCAAAGGTACAACTTGAGTGCCGCGTCTCCGGACTCAAGAAATTGGATGAGCTCCTCAGCCTGCATTGAGTGTCGAAAATCAGAGTTCCCACTTTCAGATTTAGAGGCTGGCTCTAGAATAGGTTCCAACTTCTCGATGACCGCCACGGGTTCACTGTTATCATCGTCGAAAACACTTGTGAAGAAATCCCGCGTACTGAGAGCTGATAGCTCTCGATCAATGGCTGCCACAGAGATCACAGACATCGCAGTATTGTTTGGAAGAAAGACTGGCTCAGCATTGGTCTTCTCTAATAAGACTTTCAGTTCCCCGAGTAAGGATACAATATGTCCTTTGTCGGCATTGTCGTCCAGTCTGACGTGGGCAACTGATGTCCAGATATAGCGCAGAATCAGGGGATCGCTCCTACCAAGAGCAGTTGAGTTGAGATAGAGCTGCATGAATTCACTGGCCAGACCAGACCACCTCTTCAAGCGGTCTGCGTAGCTGATTTGACTTGTATGATCACAGTCACCACCTAGATCGGTGAACGTAGCGGTGGTATCAAGAAATATTTCGAAAAGAGTCTCGACGAGCTCGACAACTGAATGTACATCCGAATCAATTCCATTGACCCGCTCGAGACTCAATTTGGAAAGGTACGAAAGGCGTCGGTGCAAGAGCTCCCATAAATACTCTTCCATTATGCACGCCAACTCAGCCACCAGATGTTTCATATCGACGGTCCATTTCTCACTTAAATATGGAGATGGACAACGCTTACTCCTCTTGCTGGAGCTAGTACAGACTGAAAACAGCCAGTAGGTTGCCGCGTCGTAGATATTTGTTGGCTCAGCATTGAGCAGAGCAATTAAGGAGCTCAATATGGATTTGTCGGAGCCCTTGGGGCGCTCAATCTCCTTTGGAATGGCAGGTTTGAGGTGTTGCAGGAACAATGCCATGCCAGTCGCTTTCTCAGGAAAATCTTGGTTGCCATGACCATTGACGATGGCATAGCCCTTGTCATCTGACCAGTTCATCAAGATCGAGCGAAGGTCTGCAGAGAGTTGTAGGTCTTCCTTGCAACGTTCGGAATCTTCTCCATCGACGGTGCCAGTCCAAAAAGCTTGCTTGGCTTGCTCTGGTGACAGGTACAGCTTCATGCCGAGCTTAATGAGAAGGGGGTTTGCCGCATCGAGTGCAACTTGGTCCGCCTGCTCGAACACAGCGAGTTGGTCCAGGAAGTACTGAGGATCCTCATGTGAGGCTTCATCCTCCTGGGCCGTAAGGTCAGCCATTGATTCCCTCGCTCGCAATCTTTTGCTTTTTGCTCGTCCTTCAGTTTCATCGTTCCCAGCAGCTGTTGTAGACCGCTTTCGCGATGGTGCTGCAACAGTACGTTGCACTTCGATTGTATCTCCATCCGGGAGAACTCCTATTTTCTCATTTTCTTGTTGTCTTGCTCCGCCCGGCTCAGCCACATCATGGTCTCGCGGCGATTCCTTTTCAGCTGGTGACTCGATCCGGGTTTCCGTCTCGGCTGGAGGTTGGACAGGACTTTGCGACGCTTCGTCCTGGCGGGAGCCGGACGTCCGGCCTTCTTTGCCAGTATTATCAGAAACCGCAGCCATTTCGACATCGTGGTCAGTCGAGTTCAGGTCTCGCAGCTCTATTCTTATTATAGTAGCACTGCCAAGAGAGGAGGCGCCACTTTGAACGCTCTGAATGATCTTGGAAATCTCTTTGCCCAGGGAATAGAGGTCAGGCGAGGCTGGCTGTAGAAGAATTTGACCCACCGCGAAGCTCAGAGGACGATATCTGTCGTCAAAATATTCGAGAACTTCTGTATGCTTCGGCAAGAATCGGTAAGGGTCATTAGATTTCTTCAACACACTTAGAAGCCTGTCCTTAGGTCGTGCGTCTGAGCTTTGAAGACGACTAAGGTCATCTTGTACCAGGTCGATTACCTCTTCAAGTTCACCAGCTGCGAAAGCTTCATCAAGACCTGACAAGTCGATGGTTTGTTCACCATCCTCATCCTCACCAGCTAGGACACTTTCTAAGCAGAACCGTGCTATTCGCTGGGTAGACAGGACATCCGCTACACGGGCAGCTTTCTTCCAAGAGTCTAGATCGGTGTCATCGCGCTCAAGCGCTTGCCCAAATTGTCCGAGGCTTTCCTTGCAGGACTCGGCGTAGTACTGACAAAGCTCGGACCGGGAGAGCCTCTGGTCTGGGAGTCGATGGCGGGCAACATCTAGAAGAAACTGACCCCTGTTCTTGAAGGCGAGATAAATAAGCTGAGGAACTGAACTTGCGGAGGATTCGGCGGCGCTACTGGGGAGAAGGGAGAGGGCACCGGCATCGGCCTGCGCGGCGGCTATTGTCGCCTCATTGTCAAGTTCGTCATGTTGAAAGTCCGAGACCACGTCTGGGTATTTGAAGACTTCGGATTTGAGCAATTCATCGTAAGCATCCTTGGCTTCTTGAAAGTACTCGGGGCCTTGAGAATGAAGTTTCAGGGCATTTTGATAAAGTTTAAAGGCCTCTTCAAGCTGGATCTCTCTCGTGTCATCGATCTCCTCTTCAAACGTGTCTTCGGGTTCGACGTTGAGAGCGGTAAAGGCCGACATGATGGCTCTGATGCTAGAAGTTGTCTCCCTCTGTTGACATCGATTTGCGACAACTCAGCTGTTGTTGGTTGATAGTCATCTTAGATCCAACACAGGCGCCGACGCCTTCCTCAAGAACCCAGGCGCAACGATCCGGATGATTAACAATGTCACGCACAGAAGGTCAGTAATTTTCCTGGGAGCACGGTGAAAATGTCGTGAGATGGTAGTCAGGACGATGTTGACGATGTCTCGTTTGCCTTCAACGCGTCCAAATGCCGAACTTAACGCGAGGCGAAAGTCGCACGTCCAATTCGGGAAAGCTTGCCGAAGATGCACTCAATTGATCCTTCAAGCATCTCCCAAGCATGAACGAGACACGTAGCATCCATTCCCTTGTGGTGATATGAGCTTTGTGGCTTTTGCTTGACAGTGCTCGTCAGGGTCCATATCGGCTCTATCCTGACCAGGGACTTCAATTTAAAAAGGGTTTGCAGATTGTCTCCTGAAGTCAGCTTTATCCATCTGTTCTCAATTCAATTGTTCAATCCGCCCATCAAGGGTGCGCTGTCATGGTTGCGCCGGCGGTGCCTGAGTCAGTCCCCCCCTCTGGATGCTGTTTCTTTGCTGTTGGCATGCCTAACGAATTGGTTGCAGAATCATTGAAGATGATGAAATCGGACTCGCTGTTGACGCCCGCACAGAAAGTCTACCAGGACTTCGCGAATTGGGACCTCCCGATCTTGTTCACCTCGTCAAGCAGAGTGTCAAAGCTGGCAACAAGCAAACTGGCGTTTACCATCATGTCACCGGCGTCGACGCATCCTCCTCTGCAAGCTTGGCCGCGTACGTCAATACCTTGACATTCAATCCTGTCGACAGATCGCACAAGGTGGTTTCAGGGCTCTACTGCTGCTACAATGCTTTTTCGCATCTAGACATGCGGGTGGAGGTCAAAATCCCGGGCAGCGTGGAGAGTTACTGTGTGGACGAAAGGGGGGACAGAAGAGTCGCGACAGAGAATCTCTGGCTAGAGACATTTCTCTGCGCGGTGTTGCGGGCATATTCGTATTCAGACAATGGCAGCGGTGACACGATAAAGAAGATCATTGGCGTCAGAAGATTCAATCCGATCATTAACACCGAGTTGGAGCACCGATTCTTCGAAGCTGCCGAGAGACTGTTTTTCAGTGGCCGTCAACTTGGCTCGGACCCGGAAATTCAGATCCCCAATGTGGTCTCAAACCATCTTACAGCAGGACTCTTGAAATACATACGAACAACGGGACGATTTGCGTCAGGCATCAATTTGTTCGAGAAGCTACGGACAAAGGACGTGGAAGTATCGTCGTTGCTGGCCCGGGTACTGCTGGATGGAGACGAAGAGATCCAAGCCGTCCGTCTGCTGCATGATTCATTACAGGATGTGCCTATGGATTACGCACTTCTTGACTGTCAAGCCGCCTTCTGCCAGAGCAAAGGCGAGGGCGAAATGGCTTTGGAATTAGCCAAGCAAGGAGTCACAGCAGCTCCCAGTGAATTCAGCACCTGGGCTCGATTGGCAGAGGTTTATGTTGACCTAGAGCAGTGGGATCTGGCTCTGCTTACCTTGAACTCCTGCCCCATGTTCTCATACCAGGATAAGGATTCACCTAGGATGCCTGAACCAAGTCGCGTGCTCCTGCCGATCTTACCAGAGAGCGCACTAGACGAGATCGACGAGGGACAGCCCAGGCAAGGAGAGCCATATGATCAAGTTCATGTTTCGTTACGAAAACTGCAGGCAGCCACGTATCAGGGGACCTTTTTGAAGGCATACAGCTTGCTAACACGAATCGCTGCAGCTATCGGATGGGACACATTACTGAAGACGCGCAGTCAGGTCTTTGTGATGGAAGAAGAGTACCGGTCCGAAAAGCAGCACCAGGTGACTCCGAAGATACCCACTAGCAAGAATGCTAGCACAATCGCCCTGTCCGGGACACCGAATGGCTACTCGAAAAGAAAGGAAAATGGAGCAGATGAAGACGACGAATCGGACGACGCCTCTGATGTAGAAGAGCCAAAGAAGCTCGACGAGGAGAAGATTCTTGATGAATCTTCCTCTACTGCGCCCACTCTAAACGGCGGCGTTGACGGAAAAAACGAGAACGCAGAGATCAAGGCGCACCGATCAATGGAGAAACCAGTGCCGACGATTGCAGCGGAGGAAGTCAAGTCGGGCAGTGATGAGCCAGACACGTCTCATACACATTATCCACAATTCCAGAACAAACGCCTGTGTGAGAGGTGGCTCGACAATCTCTTCATGGTGCTGTATGAAGACCTCCGGATCTACACGATATGGCGAACGGAAATGGGACAATACCGCCAACAACAAATGCAGTACAAGAAATCAGCAGCGGAGTGGGAGATCCTGGGAGACCTTGCTGAGCGGCTGCATCATACAAACGAGGCATTGGAAGCATATCAGCAATGTTTGAACATCCGGTTCTCACCCAAGGCTATGAGAGGTATCCTGCGAATGTACGAGAAGAAAGGTGACACGAGGAACATACTGGCATGCCTAATTCGACTGACCACCTGGCAATACCGGTGGTACTCAGAGGTGAGGAAACTTACTGCAGCGATCGAGTTTCAATCCTTACGCTGACTTGACATGACCAGTTTTCGCCCGAACTCTTCTACTCGATACGGAAGCTCATTGAGGAGGAAGGGGCTGTCAAGATCCGCTCCATCGTACAAAGCACCAACCTCCCACAACATGTCCTAGATCTGACTCACGAATATTGTCGCTTGTGTGTCACTTTTAGGAGCAGTGGCACGGATGGATGAATGATGGATGGGTTATGGGCTCAATCAACCATGTCAGGTAAATCGTCTTTGTACATGAGAGGAGGGAGGGGGGGGTGGGGGTGGATCGGATATTCTTTGCGTTGTTGCTCCTGAGCGACTTCCCGGCGGCGGCGTCTCGTCAGACTCAGATGGAGAGGCTATCAGGTAGAATGAAGACCACAAGCCTAGCCCGGGCGGCGTGTGTCTACGGTCTATAAAAAGAAATTGATGTCGAACATGGTTGGGCACCCTCAACACCGCCTTCCCGTTAACTGGTGTGAATTCTTGCGCGTAGCCGTCGAATGCGTCTCCGAAGCATTCTAGAACGGTCAATCACTTGCCTTTGCAGTGCAAATCAACCACTTGATCATTGCCAGATCATTGTTCTCTGACATAGACCATCAACCTCCCTCCCAAAACAACAGCTTCCTCTGCTCCAAACCAGAGATTTGGTCCCATATCTGTTGCTCGATCGCACCGACTTCTCACAGCCTGTATCTCCAAAAGCATTTTGTTGCCGAACTCCCGTTCCTGCGGCCTTGAGGCGGAACGACAGGAGCCAGGCACTGAGGAGGCTGTGAATAAGTCCCACCTGTGACTGATCACTCAACTTCAGCCATCATGACTAGCCAGAAGCGCATTACCAAGGTGAGAGAAGAGCGCTTGACAAAAACTATACAGGCTTGTGCATACAATTAACGTTGCACGTCAGGAATTGGGCGATCTCACCAAGTCTCCCCTTGCCGGAATCACGGTCGCTCTGGCGGATGAAGCAGACCTCTTCCAGTGGAAGGTAACCATGGAAGGACCAGCTGGATCGCCATATGCTGTATGTCTATCTCGATTCTTTCCCACGCAACTCCGTTTTGGCCCTGGCGCAGGATCTTGGGTCTTGTCCACAATAAGGCTGTCTGGTCTGCTACTTCAGACATCGAAGACCGCAAGTCAAACAAACAGGGAAACAAACGGGGAACCTTTACTGACCTGTCTCCACCCTTTTTTCCATGTCCAGGGCTACCTCTTCAACCTCTCCTTGACCCTCCCGCCCAACTACCCCTTCAAACCGCCAACGGTGACCTTCACCACCAAGATCTACCACCCAAACATCTCCAACGACTCTCCACCAAACTCTGGCACCATGTGCTTGGGCATGTTGAGGGAGGCAGAGTGGAAGCCCAGCACCAGAATCGCCGCGGTGTTGGAGTTTGCTCGCCAATTGTTGAAAGGTACGTTGACACTGGAATGTTGCACTTTGCGACCCCCTTAAATTATCCACCTCCCGTTCCTCTACTTGCAGGGCCTTTTGGCCAAGCATTTCCCATGTGTTTTTATCAATCACCTGTTGCCCTTGCCACGGATGTACGAGCCTGCCTGAGTCGGGTTGTTGAGCTGGCTCGTGACGGCAGCGGCGTCAAATGGATGTTCAATTTCGATTCACCAGTACTAACCCGCTCTTATTTTTCTTTTGCTTTTAGAACCAAACCCAGAGGACGCTGTCGAGGGCAAGATCGCCGACCAGTATCGCAATGACCGCGCCGCGTATGAGAGGGAGGCCCGGGAGTGGGTCAAGCGCTATGCGACGGCGAAGAAATGAACCCTTCCACGGTCGTGACTACCGAGTTACCTTTTTACTCGCAGTCCATTTCGGCAGAAGGGGGTACCGTTTTTTCTCGCAGGAATTGCGGAAAATCATGACTGCCAGTCTGGGATAGGGGTCATGTGGAAATGATTGATGTGACCAACGGAACATGTCGACGGGACACACACGACGCGATCTGACACGGCGGGCATGGTGATTGTATGGATAGTTACGAGGCAAGCAAGCGCGATGATCAATGATCGAAGAAAGAGCTAGCGGGCATGCATGCACACGGCACGGACGCATCAATGGCGATATTATCAAGGGCACAAAAGGCCACCTTTTAAAGCTCAAGCAGACGAGCAGCCAATTCTGATGCGGAAGGCAACGCCGTCTCTAGCATACAACAATGAAAGACAAACTACTCCTCATTTTGGTCTTTGTTCTCCTCGGCGACGTCGTCCATCTCGTCATCCCAGTCCTCCATGTCATCGCTATCCCATTCTTCCTCGTCTGCTTCCTCATCGTCATCTTCATCGCCTTCACCACCGTCACCCTTGCCTGCATTGATTTTGGCATTCTTCTTGGCCAACTTCTTCCTCTCCACATTCTCCTTCTGCTCTTTCCGCCTTGATTCTTTCTCCTGCCGCTTCTTCTCCCATTTCTCCTCTAAGGCCTTCTCCTCCTCGCGGGTCTTGGTCACAAATTCGTTCCACATGACCCGTCCCTCGCAAATGCCTTCTTCCACTTTGACCATGCGGAGACGCATGCGGGGACCGAGTTCGACAAGTTTGACGGCTCTTTTTTCTACGTTGGAAGATCCGCCGTTTTCCCCAGACTCTTTCATCGTCGTGTCCTGATCTTTTTCTCTATTTTGCTGTTGCTTTTGTTTCTGCTGCTGTCTTTGTTGCTCTCGCCTGCTCAAGACGCGCTGAGTGGTGGTTTCTAGAACTTCAATCTCAGCATCGGTATCCAGTTCGGTCTCACTGGCGGACGTGTAACCCCCGGCTGATGGGTCCAGGATATAGTCTGCTACATCCTCCAGTTTGCCCAGGTTCGGCAGCGCTCCCGATTTTTTCTCTCGTAGACGCTGTTCGCTTGGATCAAACCTGCGGACTCGTTTTGAGACATCTGTTCGGCGGGTTGTGATTGCATAGTGGCGGAGGTTGATTATATATGTACCATCAGATTGAGGCTCGCGGTTTAATAGCAGAATCCGTCGTATTGAACTGAGTGGAGTAGTCTGCGGGGATATGGGAGGAAATATGGATTGGAATACAGTGGTAGTGAGAGATTCGAGCTGTTTCTTGATAGGGTCGGCTTTGGAATCTTCGGTTGCTTGAGAGGTGAAATTGTTCATGACCAACAACGGTGCATTCAAATATTCCTTCCCCCCTCCGCGAGGATGTTTCTGGGCCTTCGCTATGTCTTTGCATAAGGCGTAACGGTCGACTCGGAAAGTGAGGGTTGGTCCGCGAGGGGTAAGTGCAATTCTGAGGTGGACATTGCCGGATTGTGAGCGGGAGAAGAGGAAGAGGTGCGTTACACCTAGAGGTCCAGCCATAGCGGTGTAGTCTTTTAACTTGTTCGCTCGTCGTTCCTGAGTAAAGATGTTAGCATTGAGTTCTTGAGGCCGGTCTACCGAGTCTGCTCACTCTCAGCCTACTTGCAGTATCTGGCTCCATCACTGCTCGAAAATCTCTCGCCAGTTGTGTCACACTGGACCCGACGTCGCCTGCGCCCATGCGGATAACCATACTCTTGGGCCGTCGATTAGTCTGTCCTGGCTTTCCGGGGGCATTGTCGTCGGGCACATGAGTCCTCTTCTTTTTCCTTGCTTTGGCCATGGTCTTGCTCTTGGTCCCAAATTGTTGACGAGGAGCAATGCGGGCTGGCAGAGTTAAAATGGGGATATTTCGAGAGAGGAGCAAAGTCCGAGACAACTTTTTCTTATCGATAAGAAACACAGCGGTGAAGCATTGAGCCACCATGCGCAATTCTCTCGTCGGCGAGTTCGGTCATTTCGGTATAACGCTTGCGAAACTTGAGGTTTCAAGCTCTGTGCATTTCCGAGACAGATCCATATGGAAACGACATGGCAAATCTACTGTAAGCATGCTCTCCAGAGAGTGTGGATTTGCCGGGCAGTCAGAATTACAGATGGACCTGCCTGGTGGCCCCTTTACCACCTCTCCAAGACTGCTCTTACACGATCTGTCCATCACATGCAGGTTTGTTAGGCAGAAGACGTGGAGGAAAGGAGTCTCTATCGAAACGACAATCATGTGCAGCGCTCGGAAGGTGGCCACGATAATTCAGCAAACCTTAGCAGTGCTATTCTCGACAAACTGACCGAACTCATCAACATAATTCCCTGCGATCCTACCTGTCACTTGCAGCCAACAGGAAAATCAGACATGGCAGGGCGAGGTCTCGCATAGTGGAACATTTCGAAGAAGGCTCACTAGGCTTGACAATGGCTTCCTGGAGACCACTCGCCAGTTATTGAAAGACTACGGGCTCGGCTCAAATCAAGCCTGCTATTGCACACAAGCCGAAGTCGTGAGCAGTGTATGGCCCAAATCTGATCTTAGCTGGAAGAGATGACTGCATGAGGTCTATGCAAGCCTTCGAACAACTCCAATGTTTGTGGACTCACGAGAGAAGCCAGCATGCATATAGAAGACGGCGATGGTTCGTTTTGGATTGATTACAACATCGCCGATACCTCTCCCCCGGCACTGAAAGCATTTGGAGCACTTCCGTGTGGCCTACCAATTTATGCTCTCGGTGAGTCACGCCCCGTGTGCCTCGCATCTACCTCCAACAGCTGCGCCTGACTTGTCAGCGGCCACATTCCAAGGTGTGCCCTGTGTGCCCCTTTTTGCTCAAGCCCTTCAGCCTAGTGAGCCATTTCCAGTGGGAGACCGGGATCCCCGCATTGACTTGGGCTAGCTGGTCTGCGCCTCTCACCAATGACGTTGAAGACCCCTGACCAACTTCCGCAAGGCTGAGTCTCATCCTCCCATGTGGACGCCAATAGTGAGTCACTAGTTGGGATGGAAGGGTAACGTATAAATCCTCTCGAGGTCTATCTAAGGGTTTCTCGAGAATACCGTACAGAATCGACTCCCTTTCCCAGGAGCTCAAAGGCACCACCCATCGATCCCCCAGCACCAACTACTTACCCTTTTTTTTTAAGCCCGAACGCCTGTTCAGGAGACGAACCGAGAACAGCATACCACAATGCCACGCGGCCCTCAGGACTCCATCTATGCTGAGACGTACAAAGATCTGCGGTCTCAGAGACGCATCAGAAACCGACTCTCAAAGCAATCCGCCAAATATTATGGATATCGTGGCGTGCATTCCAGCTGGGTCGACCAACAATATCTCTCTGTAACCAGATCCCCTCAACCCTATTTCTATCCAAACCTCAACGTATTCGCGAGCTGCGCTCCACTAGTCATAGACGCCACTGACATGAAGGTGTCAACGTGGACAAAGCGTGACATGTGGCTGGACCGAGACGTCGACATCTGGCCGCTTGACAGAAGGCACCATAAGGGAAGGAGAATAAGGGAGAAGTACTGCTGGAAGTGGAACGAGCTGGAGATGGGCAGAAGGATGAGACAAAAAGCCAGGTATCTTGATCTTGCGGTTGAAGATGGTGAATCGCTCGCAGCGGACGATGGTGTTGGCACTGTTTATTGGGAGCTGGATGACCTCTGGCGTGAGGAGGTCGATGAAATCTTTAATGATAGGGGCGAGCGGCCGCCTCTCTTTGTTGATCTCGACGGTGAACGTCGCTTTGAAGGGATTTCCAACGAGTCCAGTCTTGACGAGGCTGACGGTTCCTGGGAGAGGGAACTCATCGAGTCTTATTGCGACACTGGAGACGGGGATGACTTCAGCATCATCTCGGAGCAAGAAATAATCGATGCCATGTCGTCAACCTCGATGGAGGATGATTATGAAATGGTATGAGAGTCTTTAATATCACAGGCCGATCATGGTGGGATTGGGGCTCTGCACAGTCCTCACTAACCGACGGCTATTGCTCCTTTCTCGGACAGACGGGACGTCATATTGAGTTTGGTGCAGAGATGGCTGATGCCAAAAGGCTCTCCTCAGCAACATCAACCAATACCATTAATCGCAAAACTCAGTCGACTAGAAATGTCACAAGCTGACTCATTCGCCTCGCGAATGTCTAGTGACAACTTTTCTTCTATGGTAATGACAGTGAGATCTAGAAGTATGCCTCCTCATGGTCAACAGAGAACAAAACCTTTCGGCTTCCCTCCTCGCTCGCGACTCTAATCATCTAGACCGGTTGGTTTCTCGTCTGGCAGTCTCTCACATAGATTCAACGTCCTTGTGCTTGCCATCGGCAGCCACATGGACCTTTGTTCTCCCTTCCAACACCGGAGATGCGCCCTCGCTCGACGTGACGCTATCGGTGCTGCCCTTGACGCCATAGATGACGCCCTGTTCGATCTCGTCAAGGGTGCGGCCTTTGGTTTCGGGGATCAACAATGTGCATAGGGCGGTAAGAGACATGATCCCCGCAAGGATACCGAGAACAGCAGGCAGTCCAATAGCGTCCGTGAGCGACCCAAAAGAAAAGGCAGTCACCACGGCGCCCGCCTTCCCCGAAGCTGCTGCGATACCATGCGCTGTCCCCCGGACTCGGGTCGGGAAGACCTCAACTGGCATTAGGAAGGTTGTACAGTTTGGTCCCATGTTGAGGAACAATTGGGACAGTGTGAACAGCGTCACCAATCCGGCGGTTGAACTATGATTGGACACGCCTGCCCAGATGGCATACAGGACAGCAACGACAACACTGCAGTAGAATTGTTGCTTCACTCTGCCGATCCAGTCGGGCAGGAATATTCCGATGTAGTAACCTGGAAGATATCCCTTTCCCCAAGGTCAACATATAATTCTCACCCAACGGAGAGGGTCCGTCTTACCGCAGCCGCTACGATGATATTGCCAACAGCAGTATTCCAGAGGGTGTGCCATGGGGTGGGTCCCTTGCCATAACCAATTCTCGACAGTACAATGCTCTGGTTGAGGTTGACTCCGTAGAAAGCAATGTCGCTTAACCTTCGTCAGTATATGGTAACCTGGGTGTGAAGAATGGTTGGCTCACAAGAGAAACCAGCACATGCTGACGGCGAATAGGACTTTTGCGTGCTTCCATTGCGAGAAATATACCTTGAAATCTCGGAATTGCTCACGAAGACCTCGTTTGCCGTCCCTCTTAAGAGACGTCTCCTCGGCAACATCTGTCGTGATTAGCGGATACCTTACAAGAGGCGAACGGTGTACTCACATTGTCGATAGGGCTTACTTTCAGGCATAGTCAAACGGAAATAGAGCGTGATGATGAGGGGAATAAGCCCTATGCCGAACAATAACCTCCACACCCATTGGAGGTGGTATATGTTGTCGTTGACAGACGACTTGAAGGCCGCCAGAAGGACAAGGTAAACTATGCCAACAGTCATACCCCCAAAACCAATAGAGGCGAAGACTGCGAGCACAAGCTTAGCCCGAGAGCGCAGAGGATTATGTTCGGCGGACAAAGCTGAGGTCATTGGATAGTCTGCGGCAGGTAAGATGTGCGTACTGTCAAAATGCTCTTCTTCACTGCTTACCTCCACCGATCCCAATGCCCGTCACCACCCGAAACACAGACATCCACGCAATAACATCGTGGTGCGAGAAGCCCTTCCATGGCATCAAGACAACCAAGAAGGTACCAAGTATTGTCACCATGAGCTCTTTGCCGTAGATGCTATGACGGCCCAGGGCATCGCCGAAGATTCCGAAACCAATCTGGCCCACAATCATGCCCATAGAGAGCGATGCTTTGATGGTGTCCGCCGGGACTGTAGGAACCGTGTTCTTCTCATCTTGGAAGTAGAGATATCCGAGCATGGGGACAGCTGCAAGGATCAGCGAATGGTAGACATAAGTTGGAAAAGGGGGAAGGACCAAGCCCAATGCTCAGGTTCAGGTACCCATCACCAAACAAACCAACACCCGCGACCACCAGAAATTTCAGAAAGGAGAAGCTGGACGCTGTGTTGAACATGATGAGAATGACGGGAAATGACCGAGATAGCTTGAGTTAGGGATTGGGGTTGGTGGTTATTTCCCAGCTCAACCTTGTTGCCATCGCTGCAAATATACATCTTTTCAAGCACCCCTACCGGACTGAAGACTTCGCACGGATCTCGGGCCAAGACCGCGCTCGCTGTATATACTTCGAGACCTGTTTCTCTATCATAGACGTTATCTGACATGATTTAGAAGCTGCATAACGAATTGATGGACACCGGTCAACCACGTGCAAATGTGCTTTGAAAAGACAATCTCACACGGTATCAATGAGGTCTGAACATGCCCCGTTGACTTCTTCCCGGCACCTGGGATGAAGACCGCAAGGCCAGCGAAGAATCCTGCAAAAATTCGACCCTTGTCCGGCCTTAGAGGCAAAGAACAGGGCAGCCACCCGCCGACTGGGCCGAGTTGCAAAGAAAAAGGAGAGCGTTGAGATGAGCGGGAACCGGCTGGCCATCAATCCCGCCACGTGGACACAGGTGAGGCAGGAAGAATTGAATGTAAAGACAGTGTTTGTGATCACTGCTCTATGAGTATGTTGATGAAATTATTGTAATGCCAATACATAAGAGGTAATGCCCCATCCGTACCGCCAAAGAGCGGGACCCAATCACGTCAGCATGTTCCCGCGCCGCCATTGGTCGGAGACGCACGACATCAACCCGCCGGCGATCGAGGCGACGTTCCTTCTTCTCTCCTTGTCACAACTGCAACTGTCTGCAAGCACCAGCTGTGACCATGGCGACGAGCCCCAGCGACCCCGGCTCATCGGCCGTGCAGGCTCTTCGAGACTCTTTTGGCGACCGCAAGCCTATCGACATCAGCCGGAAAATCACCGCATGCGTGTCTTGTCGGAAACAGAAGATCAAATGCCATATGGGAGATGGCGCTCCACCCTGCACCAGATGTAAGAAACGAGGGCTGTCATGTGTCGTCAATCGGAGTTTGCAAATGCTGCTTGAAAGCGACGTAGCGTGAGTCCAAATTACATACCCCTCCACAAGCCCATGGGACAGCCGAGCATGTGCCAGTCCCGCGTCAATGGATGCAATAACACCGAGGCTGTCGTTCTGCAGCATGCTCGACATTGCCGGCAAGAGCAGTTGTGAACCCCCATGGACGGGACTGGCACCGCTTTTTCTCCGTCAATTTGGTGCAAGCTTGCGCGAGCAAGGCTGACGCCCAGCAGATGGAAAGCCAACGTCGAAGAGAAATTGCGCATGCTGGAAGATTCTGTCGGTCGGCTCAACCAGCAGTGCGGTGGCATCCAAAACGCCACCGCCTATGCTCCTCCGAAGACTCCTGTTGCGCAACTTCCAACCCAACCGGATGCCATCATGACCACCCAACAGCCTCAGCCGACGGAGCCAGGCTGGGAAGTCGTGATGGATCTGAACAGAGGGCCGGGAGTGGTACCGGCGTCTTGTGTGTCGGAAGTATCAGATGCCTCGCCAGGGGTTGCTCGTCAGAACTTGGCTGACAGCTTCGACCTCATTGATCAAGGCATCATTACGCTTGACGATGCCGAAGCGTTCTTCCGACTGTATGCGCGCCGCCTCGATCACTTCTTGTACAGGATTTTGGCCGAGCATGATTCTCTGGCCAGCGTTCGGAAAAGCTCACCACTCTTGACGGCTGCCATCTGCGCCGTGGGAGCCCTTCATACCCCATCCAATTTATATCACGCTTGCTATCAGCACTTTGTCAGTTTGGCATGCTCGAAGATGTTTTCCAAGAAAAACAATCATGATGACGTCCGCGCGTTTTGCATTGGTGCTTTCTGGTTAAGTGACATTTCGTGGACGCTCGTTGGGGCAGGCAAGTGACCGCATGCTGCCAACGTCCCAAGAACCCTGTGCTGACCCCTGGTGCCATGGACAGCTGCTCGTCTTGCGGGCGAACTGAACCTCCACCGCTGTATACCCAAAGCTCCGCACACAAAACGGGCCTGTTATCTGCGCACTCGGTTATACTATCTCGTATTTGTTTGCGACCACCATTTCTCAATCTGCTACGGGAGACCTCCTTTAACAAGGGATTTCACCACAATCACTCCTCCAAGTCAGTTTCTCCAATCCGAGTTTGCAACCGAGGATGATGCTCGCCTTGTCAGCCAGGTAGAAATCTGGACAATCAGCACGCGCGTCTTCGATCAATTTAGCCTAGACCCCGAAGCACATCTGTCGGATCAATTGATCCCTCAACTCCGCCGATTGAGTATTGCTTTGGACACTTGGCGAGCTGACTGGAATGAGCGATTTCATTTCAATGAGTGCGTGGGCAACTACCCTCGTAAGGGAGTAGGGCTGCATTATCACTTTGCGAAGTTGTTTCTCTGCTCTCATGCCTTCAGAAGGGCGCCCGTCGCCGGAGGTGAACATCTCCAGCTGGATCCTGACCTAGAGGAATTCGCGACAAGTGCGGTACATTCAGCAACCTCGATCCTGCAAGTTATCGCGGCAGATCAGGAGATCCAGTCATACCTGCACGGACTTCCGGCATACTTTGATACAATGATCGCCTTCGCCTTTGTCTTCCTCCTGAAAATTACTATCAAGAATCCTGCCAACCTCCGAGTTGACAAGGCCGGAATCGCCGAGACTTTGGATGTCCTGGCGACCGTCTTGAATAATATAGCAACTAAAATGCACCCGCGCCATTTGTTGACTAGTATTGCGAGCAGTGCACGAAAGCTGTTGGATCGGTTTTCCGGCCAGGAAGTGGCTCCAGTGCAGTCCCAGGCCGTGCCAGGTCCACCGGCCCCTTTCGACCCAGCCAACCAGTGGCTCAGCCCTACAGACGCCCTGTTCCTTGAGAATTATGACTTTCTGTATTCGCCAAGCGGTGACCTGAATTTTGACCCAGAGCTTGGATTTTCCCATCACCAGTAACCAACCACACTGTGTTGCAGACACCCTCTCACAGATTAAGAGCCAGATCGAAGGCATCGAAATTCCTCCACTCTCGGTCTTCAACTGTACCGGTAATAGCAAGAGATCTTAGTAGAGGGATTGGTTGCTCGGAAAGGCCTCCGTGAGAGCGAAGCCGATGGTCCCGTAAATTGTCGAGCACATGTTCTTCCTTCCGACTTCCGAGAACGGCATTCTCTTTGGAGACCAGCACAATATCTCCTTCGCGGTCGAGAGGCATCTCGAATATTTGAGCTGCTGTTGTTCCGTCAAGAGCTAGCTCGATTTGAGGGAAGGCTCGACAGTATGTCAGTGCGTCTTCGATGTTAATGTCTGGTCGATTCAAGTACACTCGCACAAAAGAGCCGAGTGCGCCGTGGTGGCGAACGAAGGGATCTGTGATTGGGCAAATGACCCTAGAGGAGCCTCCTCCAAACTTGCGATCCAGCTCCTCTTCGACAAAGAGAACATTTGGTGTGCCGTCATCTTTGCACTTGTCGCTCATTCCGTGGTCTCCAGTAACGACGACAGAAGCGCCCAGTTGAACCAACCGTCCAATGCATTCATCAACAGTTGACATGAAAGCATTTGCTTCCTTGCTTCCAGGAGCATATTTGTGCTGGACATAATCCGACAGTGTCAGGTAGAACAAGTCCGCCCGATTTTCCTCGAGCAGCTTGATGCCCGCTTCAAGCACAAACAAAGATAGGTCTCCTGAGTATTGGTCAGGAGTGGGAATGCCCAGCCACCTCTCAACATCAGAGATGCCATTTTCCGTGAGGGAACACTTGTTAGCGTATTGGGCTGAAAAACAGATGTCTCCTCGCGAACAATTCAAGCCGTGATTGATGATTGCCCTCAGCTTGTCTTTCGCTGTTATCGCAGCCACACGGACGCCACGCTTCGACATCTGCTCCAGGATGGTCGACCCCCAAAGCAATGTGTCATCGACAATCATTTCCTCCTTTCGAGTGGTCCGGTCCAGGAAGAAGTTCCCCGAGATGCCGTGTAAAGACGTCGGTGCCCCGGTGATGATGGAGACGTTGTTGGGATTAGTGAATGCTGGCATGGCACATTTTGCGGTTGCAGCGAAGCCTGATTGGACGAACTTGGCCATATTAGGAATGCTGCCATCGGAGACTCCTTGTTCGAGGTACTCGGGATCAAAGCCGTCAATACAGATCACCACAGTGGGTCTTTCGGGAAGCTTGTATTTTCTTCCGTGCAGCTCAAAGACAGATCGCGACTCTCCAGAGTACATCCTCGAGATTAGCCTTGCGTCTCTGGGGAGTACGGGAGTTATGGCTTATGACACTCACCGAGCAGGCTTTTGGTCGCCATTCGTTCGTAATATTCGAGCGGAAGTGTCACCATGTTGGGCACCTTGGCCATGTCGTCCCAACGTCGAACAGCCAGTTTGGCCTCTAGAAGAGGATCCTTCTGGGCTTCGATGACTTCCTGTTGAGTGAAGGTACCGCCCTGCTCTTGGTTTCAGCCTTGAGACCAGAAGCGTACTGGTCTTGGTGATTGTGCGCTGACATCTGAGGAACACGTACCTGGAATTTCAAAGTTGTCTTACTTGACCGACTTAAGCCGTTGTAATAATCTTTATCCACGGCCGTCAGGTATCGTTTTGCCATGACATGCGCGCCGACCAGTTGGCAGATCGATTCGCTAAACCCAAGGCCTCGGAGGTACTTCTCGCCCAAGATCTCGTGGCTCTCGCGTCCAACGAAGACTCCGTCTGCAGCGATCATGGCGGGCATTTTCTCCGCTGCAGGGATGAATCGACCGACATCGTGGAGCAAAGCGCCTAGCACGGTGTCATCGTCTGCGCTTGCTTGTACTGCAAGCTGACCGGCCTGCAGGGTGTGCTCAAGCTGGGATACGTGCTCGCCCAGGTAGTCGCCCTTCCCTTGGACGGCTATGAACTGAAAGAGTTCTTTGACGCAATCGCGGGCGTGGCGCTCGACGGAGGGGAGCATTTTGGTGCTTTCTGTCTGTCTGTTCGGCGCTCAAATTCGTGGTGTCGAATTCATGGACAATCTGATTCGACTGATATTCAGATAGGGTTTGAAAGTTGAAAAATTTATGGTGTTTTGAGTTGGGTTTGTCCTCAATTTGGAGGTCATCTGTCTCCTTGTACACTCTGTCCGACGCACTCAAATCGAAGAGCGGGTCGGCAGGTCACCGATGACTGCCTGCCACACCGGATTGAAGATCGAGTTCTTCAGCCTAGAGCGATCTGCGTACGGTGGCACCAGAGCGAGTCGGTGGGGATTCGTGCTTCCGTCTGAACAGTGGACCTGGTAGTCTTTCAAAGGCTCTTAACCTGGTCATCAAGATCCTGTTCTGCAGGCCTCAGGCGGAGTTCGACCGAGTGCTTGGCACCGGCACGAAGACCGCAAGGCTCGGGCTAGCAGGGTTAAAAGTCTCTGCAGCCTGCAGTATTAAACGGCTTTGAAATATGGCGAATCCGGGGTTGGATGATACAGGAGTAAGTTCTTTTGGCCGAGTTGCTTTCAAGACAAGCCTGACTCAACCTTGAATACTTCCATTTCCACCGTTCAGACTGACAAAATAGTCTGGCATGGCGTCCTTCGTACCGAGCCCTGAACTCGTGGAGCAGTTCCACCGCGACGGCTTCCTTGTGCTCCGTGCCAAGGAGCACAGTCTCGTCAGGCCCGAACAGTTGCAGGCCTGGACAAGAGAGGTTCGTGAGTGGCCGGCTGAAAAGGGCAAGTGGATGCCGTATCATGAAGTCAACACCGATGGCACTCGACAGCTGATGAGGACTGAAAACTTTGTGGACTATCATCCTGAGTTCCATGCCTTGCTGTGCGGCGATGCGCTGGCGAAGATTTTGAAGAGCGTTTCAGGAGATGTAAGTTATGTTAGTCCTGTTAAGATTGAGTGTGATCGCCCCTTGGGGAAGAGTTGGTTTAGTTAACATCGAACTTAGGACATGCTTCTCTTCAAAGACAAGATCAACTATAAACTCCGCTCAGGTAACGGATTCGCAGCGCACCTGGACGCGCCCGCATACGACCACATTGGCAAGATTGAACACCTCACAGCCAACTTCGCCGTCGACGAGGCGACCCCCGAAAACGGTTGTATCGAAGTCGTGCCTGGGTCGCACAGGATGGACGTTGAACTCTCCCACGGCGGCGCCATCTCCAAGGCCTGGGAAAATAGCCAGGAGTGGACCAAAGTGCCCCTTCGGCCCGGCGACGTGCTGTTGTTTGGAAGTCACCTCGCGCACAGGAGCGGGCCGAACCACACCACCAGCAACAGAAGCAGCATCTATGCGACGTACCACGGCAAAAGCGACGGAGTGGATCTGCGACAAAGGTATTATAAGCATAGGAGGGAGAACTTCCCGCCTGACCACGGTGAGTTCCAAGAACCCCATTACTGGCGCTGGTAACGGCACTGGCACTGGGTTTTGCATCGACAGAGCTTCGTTTCCTTCGATTGATCAATTGCTTGATTACTTGAGCCGAAAAGCGAGGCTGACACTATTCTCTTTCACTTTTGGTTCGTAACAGAACGCGAGGCCGGAAAGGATTATAGCCAGGGATACAAGACGTACGGGTTCGCGGCGCCGTTCATGTCGGAGAAACAGGTCGAGCAGGATAAAGCGAGGGTACAGCCTGTTCATTAAGCGCAGGACAGAGTGGGAAGGGAAGAGAGGAAGGGAACGGAGGCGTGCCCTTGTCAGATTCTCTCGGGTGCGCCATGGCACTTTGGCTAGCTAGCATAGTTGAGTTCCTGCCTGCTTGCTTGAACATTTGCTGATTGCATTTCTATGTCAACTGGGGGCCGAGGGGGGGGCAGGGCAATGCATCATCATTACCATCATGGCAAATCAAAAAAGGGGGGCGATGGAATGATTTGGTATGTAACCACAATGAATAAATATCGAACGAGTTCAGGGCATGCAGTATAGCATTAATCAAACACTTCTCACACACCAGTCCGTGCTCGAGACGATGGGGAAACCCCTGGCTTGGGGAAAGGGCTCTCAGAAACCGTGCTCGGGGAAGCATCACAAGGGATGCGTTTCATTCGCCCTCAAATTGATCTTGCAATGCGATGAGCTTCTTCAAAGCGGCGGAGCTTCTCCTTCAAGTCGGCCCGCGCATGGGTGGTGCTATGGTTCTCGGCAGCAATGGATGCGAGATCCTCATCCGAGAGATTGCCGACAAATTCGCCGTCAAACATGCCCACGAAGCCGCCAAGGGCCAGCCACCACCTCTCTACCACCGCCATGACGACATTGTCCATGAACCTTTTGATGGCTACTTTGTAGTATGCCTTGAGGATGTCGTGGATGTCATAGACCGCTTGGTCTTCGTTGCCCAGGTGTGCGGCGTTGGCCAGAGCCGTAAGATCTGCCTGGACGAAAGCGCCATCTGCGATCCCGAGCCTCTCCAATCGCAAGATGACGCGCTCCTTCCGTGCTGCAGCCAGGTTGTCCGCGTAGTAGTGGTTGACGGTTTGCAAGATCCCTCCTCTCTCGTCACCCAGAACATTTTCAAGGGTGCGGTAGGCTTGGGTGACAGATTCATCAAACACGGGCGTCAGCCGAGCCTGTAAACGGTCTTGAATTGTCGGATCAACGATCAACAGGCGAAGAACAGCGGTGAGGAAAGAATCGATAGTCGACCTCACACTCTCCAGATGCTTCTTTGCCAGTTCCTGCCACTTGGATGTTTGTTGGCGAAAGAGGTTCTCAATCAGAGCCGGGTTGACGCAGCCCGGCAGCTCACAGCCGCGCGACTCGAGATAAGATGTCCGGATCCACTCGTAGATGGTGGAAGCCTCTGAGTTCTCAGATTGGTACATTGGGTCTTCCTTGTCGTTAGTATTTCTGAATGCTCTGGTATGGCCTTGCTTCGACATCTCTTTCTCAAAACCATCGCTCAAATTTCGCACATGCATCCTCAATTTCAATGGGTGATCGGGCAACAGGACGGCATCATAGATGCCTTTGAGAGAATCCGAGACCTTCTTTTGATACCTGCTAGCGATTCCATTCAAATATTGGCGCCGTTCCATGGTTGACTGCCGAGGTGGGCCTAAGTCTTCGATGTCGGCCCGTAGCCGCCTACATCGGTTGTCGATTTCGACCACCACGGCAGGGAATTCGCGGCGGATGTGTTCGTACAGAAGTTGCGCAAGGAATGTCCCCAGGGCCGGGATACCCACCCTATCTTTGTGAAGCTCGCTCCATGGGCTGGCCGTGAAGAATTCCCGCTCTTTTGCGTGATGTTCTTTCAAAGATACGCCTGACTTGATTTCTGCAGGAGATCTGTTTCGGACGGCAAACCATCCGTGCTGCAGCTTCTCGACGGTATTTTGCGCGAGGCGGATAACCTGAATGATTTAGTCAAGAAGAGAAAGACACCACGCAGAAGGAAAAGGCGCCTACCCCGACTTCATCACCACGTTGCACAAGGTCACACTTGGTGATGATACCTACGGTTCTGTAGCCGCGTGGATCAACCCCACGGGCCCTTTCAAAAACCTCTTGCATTGCCAGATTGTTACTCCCATCCATGACCGCCCTTGGAACGTTAGCAGGTCTCCATGCCAGTTAATGTTGGACCTTACAATATGACAGTTCGTGGATCTGAAATATAGCCCGTTATAAGTTTGTGAATGATTTTACGGTCCTCGTCTTTTTGATAACGGGTGGTATCTGTATCTGATCAGCCTCTCCTTTGTAGCTCCTGTCGAAGGCCACCAACTGTGAAAGAGGCCGGGAACATCCACGACACTTAGGTGATGATGCTCTGGTCCTGCCAGCTCTACCTTTAAAACGTTGTCGGAAAAGCGCCTCTCCAGATTTTCCAGGTCAGCGGCTCCTGCTCGCGGAAGACCCATGACCTCAGATGCCTTTGCAGCTCAACTTTTGCCACAGTGTGACAGGCAGGGACGCTATACTCACCTCATCGAGAATGCGAGCAAACTCTGCTTCGCCAAACGCGCCATCTTTGATGGAACGTGCGAACTTGCCCAACCTTGCACTTTCATCGGCATTGTTGATGTTGCTAGGCCCGGGGATTATGGAAACGTGCAGGGCAGCCTCGGAAGCCGCTGTCCTGCGGAGCACGATTTGCGTCGCATGCCTGGTGCACAGATCACTGGCGACGGGAAAAGGCAGTCCGGTCAGGCCTTCGAGCAGTGATGACTTCCCGCTAGACTAGTCTCCGACGACAATAAGCTGTCCTGACTTAGTCTCAGAACTAGAAGAGAGATCTAGCAGGAACAGATACCTGAGGTAGCGACAAATCCTCACCGACGCCTAGTTCTCGGAGCTGATCAACAACGCTGAGATAGGCCTGGCGCCTGTCCTGGTGAGGACTGCCAAGAGCTTCGAGATTGAGGGATGCTGGCTTTGGGGTCATGATGCTCTGTCGTGTGGTTGAGCGGGAGAAGATCCACGACGTCTGGCATTCCGACCATATTTATAGCTTTCGTTTCCTCTGGGCCTGTCAACACCGTCCTCGGATGGACGAAGCCCACATGAGATTCGCGTATTCGGCATCGTTAACGTTAGCCTCCTCCGAAGGCGAGTAGGAATGGTCGTTGAAGGAGGACTATCAGCAGTCCCTGTCAAACCAGAGTTCTGCACAAACATGGTTGGCTGTTGTCTCCCTGCAGCATGAGGCCAAGGAAAAATGAGGCCTATCATGTCAGCAAGCAGCCAATCAAGACGCAGATGATGGCGTCGACTGGGAAATATATGAAGGCGTCCATCTTCGCCTTTCTTCTTCTTTTCCTTCTCTTCGCTGCGGTGCTGTCAGGCTTCTTGCGCCCGCCAGTCACCACGCTCTTTTTTCACTCACCGTCATAATCTCGTTGTTTTCTCTTGTGCAGACGCGCGGGCTTTCACAGGGCTGATTCCCAGGGCCGTGGAAGGCCCAAACAAACCCGCGGCGGTAGTAGATTTCGAGGAATAGTCAATCAGGGCCCGGCCAACAGCATCTCCATCACTATCACTCGGAACAGTTCATCGACCCCTGGTTCCTTGACCGTCGGAATTATATCCCGCTCCCTGAAGAGCCCTATCCAGCACAAGAATCAACTCGAGATGACCTTGGTTGCGCTCGCTCACCATCTTCCCAAGGCGATAGCAACGTCCAGCAAACGACTCAGCAAGAACTCATTCACACTCTTTCCCAGGATTTACCACAGGCGGATGCTCAAGGACCATCACAAGACCAAACTCTCACTAGGATATCGCCTGGAGAGTCTGATGGGCCACCGTACGAATGTCATCAATGTCCTTCAACTTTTTCCCATCGCTATCTTGTGAAGTAGGTGTTTGTCCTTCGGCTCCATTTCCTGTTGCATCTTCTAATCTCATGTTTGTGGTGTTAGCCGCCACACCAGAACGCATACCCGGCCATTCAAGTGCAATCATCCATCCTGTGCTGACAGTGGCGGGTTCGTGTACAAGAAAGACCTCGACCGTCATCGCAGACAAAGCCATCCGGAGACGGTCGAGGCCGGCGTAATGTTCTGGTGTCATGTCAAACACTGCAAACGGAGAGCAAAGGGATTTCCAAGACGGGACAACTTCGAGCGACATATGAGAACACAGCATCCGGGAATCCCATACCAGCCTGTATGTATAAATCAATCCGGATAATCAAATCACAATCATTAGATCAGCCTCAGTTTGTCTGCTATTCCGGCGATGAGGATCGTCTTGTCTGTCTGTCTGTCTGCATTCTGCCTGGCCGCCGTCCTCGCGATCTAGAAATCAACGCCCATGTAATTCACCAGGATCATCACTCCCTTTGAGAAAATCGGCATCCTTAGAGGTTTGTTAATTTATGGCAGGATAGATACGCCGCTTGACTGTGAATGAGTTCTTCTTACCCACCCCGGGTCCCGATCCCGATCACGATCTGCCTCCACTGCAAGGCTGAATGCCCCTATATATCCCATACAATAACCGTGCCGCCCGCGCCGGTCGATCAATGTAAATTGGGCAAGGAAGGTTCGCTTGCTTGGTACGATGACCAGAGTTGCAATTAATGCACATAGGAATAATTCAGGCAGCAGAGAGCGTAGAAAGCAGGGGTTTTGCTCATGTCACCGAGATGCGCAGGCAAGAATTCGGGATCACGCTTGAGAAGATCTTCGATTATATTCATAGACCGAGAGAGTGCGACTCGAGGTCATTTGTGCTTGGGGCGCCATGTGATCTTCGCTGTTGTATGAATTTCCGTGCGGGCTTGCAGTCCACCGTCCGCCGGCGGCTTCTTCTCACCGTCGTCGCCGCCACCAAGGCGGTGTTCCATCTCCCGCTGGAATGCTTGATCTGCTCTCTTGTACCACGTGAACCATCCGGCCATGACTACGGCCGTCATTGGGACTGTAATGCACCAGTAGGCGTAGCACTTTGCCGCATTCGAGGGTAACCAGTCGAACATGCCCATGCTGAAGAGCGAGGAAGTATACGTGCCCGGGAGAAACAGCGCAGCGATGAAGGTGAAGGCGGTCATTGCGATGCTGTCCTGTTTGGTGGATGTGGCGATGCGCGTGTTCAGATGGACTTCTTTGCGGGAGTTCTCGTTCTGTTCTTGGGCCATTCGGCTGTACTTGATGGATATGGCATTTTCTTTCTGGCTCGCTGCAGAGTAAAGAACGCTGAGCTGTGCTTGGGTCCTTTCTTTGCCTGTGGCGAGGGTGCGGCCTACCCACTGCGTTCTGACAATCTCATGTTCAATGGCCTGCTGTACTTCGAGACATGTTGCGGGACTTGTGTTGGGGTAGTCGGAGCAGTCCGCTGAGAGCTGACAAAGGAACTTGAGACACTCATGAGTCCAGCAGGAGGTTTGGTTCAAATAGAAGAGCTCAGCGCCTGCTGAATGCAGTCCGAGTGTAGTGTCCTTGATATCGACATCATGAGGCCAATGCTCGAGGGACCGCTTTACCTCGCATCGCCCAGCATTAGTCACGCCAATCTCGTCTTCCAGATCGTTCAGCCGGCTGAGCTGCTTGTACATGAAAGACACAATGCGCATGCTGTAGATTTTCAGTAGCATGGCCGGCAGCAGCAGAACATGGGATCTCAGATGGAGGCATGGGCGGAGGAGGTTCAACATCACAGACGCGAGAGCTACTTCACCAAAACGTTTGTTTGACTCGACCACGCCCTCGCCGCAGAGGAAGCCATAAGTCCAGCCCGTCTCACAGCAGTGACAAACAGACAGGACGCAGTCGCCCACTTCCAGTTTTCGCCGCGCTTGTATAGCCACCTTGAGGTACTTGATCTTGGCGGTGCTACTGTCGCGCTCGGTGAAGCGAGAATACCCTCCGTTCGAGAAAAACAAATCCTGGGCCGTTGTGTCGCTCAAGCGGAAAGCCTGCTCAATAAGGGCAAAAGAGTCTCGGCTCATGTACAAATCACGGGACGATGCCGGGCGACAATCGACGGCATCAAGCGGTAATTTCGATCTCTCGCACAGAAGGAGCCGAAAGCCCCCAGATTTTGTCTTTGGTGGTGGAACTCCTGGTAGACAGGACTTTACTGCCTGTTAGCCCACTATCCCTAGCTACCCAATACTTTCAGTGGAGTCTGGGTATGGCCAAGTGGACTCACATTCTGCAGAACCCAAGTTTGAACCTCTGCGTCTTTAAGACCACTATGCCGAAGCTTTGGTGTTTCTTCATCGGTTGTTTCGATGACGCTGAGGCCACCAGAATGCTCGGGTTTCCATCGGACCTGTTCCAGAGCCGACTGGCGCTGGGCTTTAAACATGGTTTGCTAGAGAACAATCAATGCACTTCATTTATAGACTTCTCTAAAGGATCAGGACCTCAGCACTGGGGTACAACAGACTGGAAGGAGTATGTATCTCAGAAAAAGAAACTTCTGTGTGGCACAAGGCGCATTCCTTTCCCAATACCTGCCGCGTGATTCTAGTGAGTCGTGAACTCGCCTGTTTACCGCTTTTCTGCACTGCCCCTTTCTGTCAAGTCCCTTTTGCAATCGCCTCTGCAACGGGAGTAGGATCTCCTCGTCGACCTTGTCAGGCGATGCTAGATTTCCGCTGCATCAGAAGAGAAAGCTTCAGAGAGTCTTTAGATCTGATCACTCTGCTGCTGGCGACCCAAGGACCCATCCTCTCGGCAGAATTTGGGAGCTCCAGAACAGGATAACCACGGGGAAAGCGGGAATGTCCAGGCCGATGGCATGGCGATTTCGCAAGGCTAAGTAGGCGTCGAGGGGCCTGATGGTGCGAGGCGTTGTGCAGTAGTCGAGGTTCTCGCAGCCCGTCGGAGGCAGTGGCTGGCAGTGAGGCAGGTGCGCCAGGCCTTGGCCAGGCCAAGCCTGTCTCGGCCGGTTTAGGCGTCTATCCCGCCCCAAGCCCGCCCACATCGAGACTGCGGGAAAACTGCGCGGGTTCACTTCACCGTGGGGGTGGTCTTGGGGTGGTGCAATCCCTGTTCCTGAGTCCTGCCTGCTGAGAGGCTGGCCATGACATCCTGCTTGCTTGCAGCACAAACCCTCGAGCCATCTCGTCATCATGAGGCATTGCCCTCCATGGATTGTGCCAGTGATGCCAGAAGCTGTCCAGTCTTACGTCACTGGATGCTGCAGCAACAGCAGCAAAACATGACAAGCTCGTCTATGACACGCTCCATCTGGAGAGGTATGCAGTACTAATATATCCCGCAACTAACAATGGTCAAAGTCGCAGAGAACCGAGTCATCGATCTCGACGTCTTCCCGGGCGATCCAAAGGGCGACAGGCTCTCGCAGCAAACAAAGTGAGCGGAGAGCGAAGCCCGATTCTGATCCTGCAGATGGCTAATGGCCCGTGATATTCCAGAGCTGCAATCGCTGGCAAAATCCCACAAGACCAAGCCCAAGGAGTCTCCTCTAATACCCAAAGCGCCGTTGCTGCTCTTGGAGGTACCGTGGGAGGCGGTGTAAAAGGACTGGTCGACACTGTTGGAAACACCGTTGGATCTCTCGGTGAAGGCGTGGTCGGGACCGTCCAGGGCGTTGGAGACGGCCTGGGCAGTACTGTACAGTTTGCTGGAGGTGCAGTAGGTGCAGGTGCTGGCAAAATAGGCAACATGTTCGCAGGCGAGAACAAGCAGGGCAGTCAAGGTGAGCACGCACCCTCCACCTCGTACCAAGGTCCATGTGAAGAAAAAAGGCAAAGGAACTGAATGTGTGACTGGCACCAGAGGCGAAGGAGGCCCACAAGGAGAGATTGGAGCAAGCTACAGACAAGACCAAGGAGATCGGCGGAGAGGTAGCAAAATCAGTCGAGGAACACAGCAAGCAGGCCACCAACGCCGCCAAAGAGAGTGGTGAAGGCACCAAGGATGCTGTTGCTGGAATGGCAGAAAATAGTAAAGAGAAGGTGGCGGGAGTGTCTTCATCCTCGTCATGAAGACTAGCTGCTTGGTCGTTTCCCCCATGGAATCCAGATCCCGAAGTCTTTCCCTTATTGAGCAATATATACCTGTTTCCCATTGAACCAAGTTTGAAGAATCTTTGCCTGCAGCAGAGCCTCTGGCGACCATTCCACGTCCAAGACCACGAAATCAGCCTTCATCCCTGCCTCTAGCCTCCCGGTGATCCTGTCCATAAAGCAACTGTATGCGGCACCTTGCGTGGCGGCCGAGAATGCGCTCAACAGAGGCAAAGCAAAGTGCTTGTTAACCACCTCTTCTGATTCCGGTTCCCTGGCTGATCGCCGGGTTGTGGCGACGTAGAGGTTTGGCAGAGGCAAGTTGGGGGCCGTGGGAGCGTCAGTGCCCAACGCGATCCTCACGCCCTCGTCGAGGAATTCTCGGTACGCGAACGCACGACCTCGCCGTTGCTCCCCCAGCAGTTTGCTCCACTGCCGCAGAATGGCGGGATCAGCATGCACCGCTTGAATGGATGCGGTTATGCCAGCCTGGCTCAGTCTTTTGGCGTCGCCCGGCGAGGTCAGCTCCAAGTGCTCAATGCGATGTCGTCGGCCACTCGAAGCAACGGTTTCGAGGGTGTCGATGGCCATTTTGATCGTCGCGTCTCCAATGGCGTGCAAAGCGCACTGCATCCCAGCGGCGTCGGCTCGTCCAACGACTCTCTTGAGCATGTCCGGGTCCCATAGCGGATCACACGAGACCCCATTTGACGAATACGGCTGCAGCAGGGCCGCTGTGCATGCGTCAATCACCCCGTCGCCAATGATTTTGATGCCAGCGATTCGGAAATTCGGCGATGTCTCCAGGCTATATTGCTTCCACAGGTCAATGGCCCGGTCAACCTGGCGAAAATTCTCCGCGTCTGTCTTGGACGGATATATCAGCCAGTGCGCGGCCACGCGAATACTTAGTTCCTCCTTGGACATCAACTCGAGCAAGGCTTCCCAGGCATTCTCGTCCGTGGCCATCTCCACTATCCCCGTATATCCTGAAGCATTGTACGTCTTGATCGCTTGGCGGATTGCAGAGAGCTTCTCCTCCATCGAGGCTACCTTTGCAAGATGCGGCCACACAATGGTGATGGCCGCGGCCTCGCTGAGCAAGCCGGTGGCACTCCCACGCTCGTCCCGTTTGATCTCTCCGCCGGGAGGATCTGGCATGTCTTGGACACCCATCTCCTTCAACGCCGCAGAATTGCACCACGTCGAATGCAAGTCCTTCGAGTCGACGAAGATGGGCCGGTCCTGCTGCTCGTCAAGCCCATCCAAATCTCGTGCTAAAGCCTGTCCCCCAGTCATGAAATGCATCCAGCCACGGCAGAGAATGCGACGCTTCGAAGGTTCCGCTCTAGCGGCTTCTTTGATGGTTGATTGTATGTCCGCCAGCGTCCGACAGTGCTCGAGGCTTATTTTCCGCAGCGATGTCCCAAACATTAGGAGGTGCATATGGCCGTCGATAAAGCCTGGTGCGAGAGTTTGTTTGTTATCCAGGTCGACCACGTTGGCACCTTCTCTCGTGGCCGCTTCCACGACGGCGTCTGAACCATTGCCCACATGTTCGATCAGGTCGCCATTGATGACCATGCATGAATGCTTTCCGTACGATGAAGCGTCCTGTGAGCCGGTGAAGACTCTGGCGTTCCTGAAGACCGTCCGCATCGTCGCTGTGTCGCCACCTCGCCGTCTAATCAAGGAACCAGTATGGCCTTGGCGAGGCTATGCTCTGTCAGGGGCCAGGCAGGCTTGAAGTTCCCTAATGCCCGCTATTGTATCAGCTCAAGGAGTGGCGTTCCCCTTGGCGCTGTAAAATAATATCATCTTGAATCTCGCTAGGTATGAAGGGCGTTTTTCCTTCCATGCCAAGTGGAGGTAAATCGATCCCCAGCTCACCCTGGATGGGGACAAGAGTGATGCCGCCCTATGCTCAACCCAGCTTGCCTATAACTCCACCGGCGAAAAGCCTTGGGGTGCGCCTTGGTCTCTGTTCTGCCGGGCTGTCTCACACTATTGGGTACCTCAAGCTATCCCAGCGCGTCTCGTGTGATCACACACTCGTTGGAGACAATGACTCAAACCTACACAGGCCCGGGCTCCTTCCCCTGAATCTTGCCGCCGCCTCCGCCGTCCGAAACGTGCACAGCCCTGTCAGCATTTACGAAGAAGCTTAGATACCACAGTTGTACTCGACAGTGTCGTCTTGGAGTGTTGCAATGCTCCCAGATATTTGAGGCAGCTGAACCACGATGACTCTTAGTTGCTCTAACAGCACTTGACAACGCTGTCTGCATTTCATGTTAAATAGAAGACACATAGATAACCGCGCCGCAGCTACATCTTAGTTTCAGGAGAATAACCTGTGCCTTTGGGTCAAGCGGCACATTATGCCAGTTTCCACGACGATTTCGCACCTGGAGGATGGAAAAGTCGACATCAAGACACAGAGGCTTCTCCTCCGCGCCGCCAAGGAAGACGACGCGATAGGCGTCCACGAAGCATTTTCTGATCCGGAAGTGATGCAATACTGGTAAGTCTTACCACTTATTCCTCCGATACTTGATCTCTTCCCCCAAACCCTCACCATGATTGATGCCTTCCCATTCACATCCCGTATCAATCTACAGTACCGTCCCCCACGACCATCCCTCCACAACCCAATCCTGGTTCCGAAAGAACATGCTCCTTGCCCCAACCAACGGCACCACTGATTTTATTGTCGCCCTCCACACAGATCCCGATCGCGCAATCGGTGTAATCGGGATTCACTCGTTAGAATCCGAGGAAATCGGCTTCATACTCTCACGCCAGCACTGGGGAACGGGTATCGCCCAGGAAGCACTGTATCCTTGGATATCTATTTAGAGATAGGCAAATGGAAATGGTGACCGCAGAGGTGAATCCGGGGAATGGGCGGTGCGTGAAATTCCTAGAGAGACGAGGTTTTGTTATAGTCGGGTTGAAGGAGAAGGTATGGGAGTTTGGTGGGTGTTGGTGGGATGCTTTCCAGTTGAGGTTGATGAGGGAGTCATGGGAGGAGAGACAACGTGGACCGGAAGAGCATTAATCGTGGCTTTCAGGTGAACGAAGACCGTCCTGTAGTGGTTGTGGGATTGAAAAAGAGGCATCCAAAAGTACTTGTTCCTGGGATTGTGCCGTGCCAAAAGGGTGAGTGGGAGGCGAGTGATGTTGAAAAGCGGCATAGGTCGGGTGAGTGTCCGGGGGTCGCTCGGTGTCGATTTACCTCGTCGTTCGGTGCCAGGATCACTCCACCCAGGTCCAGGTCCATCCCTCATCAGCCCCCCAATTTTCTCGGTAAATCAGAGAGAGGTAGACCGTCGACACTACATAACGAGACCGAGCCTCGGGGGGATCGTGTAACGCCCACATACGCCGAATCCAGAAATCGAGCAAGGGAAGCAGAGTCTGATCGCTATGTCAAACAACAGCTCTCGTGCGGTCCAAGATCTCCTAGGAAAGCACAAGGCAGCCCCCGTTCTCAACTTCAATAAGATTTGGGGTGCTGGGTGATGGCCCCAACGCTTCGCTGCCATTCTGTTTCTCCTTATCCAGTGCCCATTGCAGCGTTCGAGGTGTGTCGTTGACTCGGAGGAGTCGCATAAAGATGCCCGAGTAATGCAACGGCGCAGAATGAGTCGCAACCCAATACTTCGTCCCTCCGACCCTACGATATAGGGCTAAACCACTGGCAGCTCCATACGTGTTCAACCAGCCCGCAGCGCGGCTCTCTTTGAGGCCATGCAGAAGCGCCAATTTTTCGGTCTCCGGTTCAGAGTCCAGAAAAGCCTCGAGGGGGCCTGAATCGAGCTTCGTACCGTGTGGACTTTGAAGGATGGCTTCGTGAATCTCGTTGCCATTTCCGGTGGAGTGTGTCCAGATGATAGCCATGACATAATTCAGCTCGTGATGGCCTAACAGTCGAATGGGGGTCAACCATGAGGGAAACGGTTCTCCCGGGTGAAGCTCATGACCGTGCCACGACTTCGCTTTCGCGTCGAGACTCGAAATAGTCAAGATGGTGGTGAAGTGGTTCCACGGCCTGATGACGCCTTGAGCCTCTGGAGTGGCAATGACGGGAATGCTTGGATCGAAGAGGCGAAGTGTGGGCTCGTGGACATGGTCCAAGTAGTGGAAGCCGAGAAAGATGGCGTCGATGTCTTGCCCGTGCCGTAGATCATCGCCTTTCGGCACTTTGTCAGCCGTGATCGTCGAAGCCTCTGCGGCTGCAGCTTCTATTTCACGGGCTACGGCGGCGATGGCTTCAGGAGTGGTGAATGCGGGAGTGTTCGGGAGCCCGAGATGAATGATCCACGAAGAGAATTGAGAAGTGGGACCGTTGAGCCACGGCTCAAATACAATGTGATAATAGGCTCTGCCTGTCGTAACGTGCTCAGCGCTCGGGCGGGGAAAGGAAAGAAGCCAGGAATTGTCCCCGTTGAGGGATGTAATGATGGGTCGATCTGGAGCCGACGAGGCGAAATGCGCCTGGAGTGTCTTTTCTCGCGCTGCCTCCATTGCTGAGATTGTAACTTTCTACCCTTTGGCGGATTAGTTTCACGGGAAAGGTAGTGGGAAGGATGACTCTGTAGGAGGTTCTGTTGAATTGATTTATCATTGTCCCATGAATAGGAAAGGAAACAGGAAGAGCATCTTTTTACGACCTAGACTATCCAACTTGTTAGGCCCCCCAGGGAACCAAAGAACGAAGTTGAAGCAAAGCGTGGGTGTCGAGGCGAACGGAGGTGTGCAGGATAGACAGGTGGGAAGAGAACAATCTGAGATGCGATAGTGTTGGCGGCCTAATGGTCGCCAGTCGGCTATGACTGATGGGAGACTACTGGGGTAGGAGACTAGCAGAGGTGATGCTTACGGGTAGGCGATGTGAGGCAAAGGACTGTAATGATGGTATTGGGGCGGTGTGGTACCTCGCTCGCTCGGTATTCTAGGTCAACTACGAGCTTGCTACGAGGTACGAGGTAATATGAAGGAGAGTGTCTGACAGCTCAAACAGGGGCAATGAGCGCCAAGCCACTAAAGGCTCAGTGCTGGGTAGCGAAACCCGCTTTAAGATGAGCTCTAAGTTCTCAGCTTCGGCCAACTCAAATCAATCATATCGATTTCTCATGCACCTTCATACAAAATCTATCTCAATGATCGATCAACGCTATATACAATAGCGAACACACAAAACAAATGGAGCATTGTCGGTGGTATTCTCGATTCTCCAATCATCGTGTGACGTGTCACAAAGGGCATGCACTGTCATCCCCGCACTTCGTGCTGTACACGGACAGCAACATCGTGGGACATGTTATCAATTACGGGATGCCTGATTCACCGCGCCCTGATGCTTGGTCTCCATCACTCTGGAGAGTTTCTTCCCTGAAAGTCGGGAAAACAAAATCGCAATGGCCCGCGTGAGCGTCGTTCACGCTCTTCCAGTGTCACCAAACGATAACGACGCCGTGGAATGGAGCTTCCCTCCTGACCTGGAGTCTGAGATAACCACCCTGGCCGCCTGGTGTCAGGTCCATCAGCAGCAGAGGCTGCCCCTTTCTTCTTCCATCGAGGACAGTGATGATGATCTGGACGAGTCTACTAACAACGAAGAAGAATGCACCAATCTGCCCGTTCCACCATCACCAGATGGCGACGGGGCAATGAAAAAGGGCTTTCTCGACCGACTTGCGGAGCTACTTTGCTACAGGAAAGACCCTGCATTGATCACGAGCACGGCTTTGATCTACACTGAGATGGGGGCGACTATTGTGGCTGCTCGAAACTCGACCTCGCGCAGGAAAACTTGGTCGACCGAGGATGTCAAGATGCTCGAATACTTGGCCGAAGTCCTCGAGAGAGTTTCGGCTGACGGTTGGCGACGCTGTCTAAACCGGCTTCCCGTATCGATAAACTGACGTCTTGCATAGATCTTTTCGAGTCCAACCCGCTTCCTGCGCTGCAACGCATCTTGGTCGAATATTACAGTCAAAGAATTCGGCACCACGCCAAAAATGTCATGTCTATAGAAAATGGAAACACGGGACTGAATTTCTTCAATGACGGCGTGTGTAATGCCGTTGTCTCTGGCCATCTAGAGGCATACGACTTTGCTAGGCATGTTGAGGCCATATCCTATAGTACCGACTTTTACACCGGACTGAAGGCCACCCTGACAGTTGATAAGCTTCGTCGCGTCGTGGAGGAATTGGCATTCATTCGAAGGCCGATGCAAGGTGCAGGAGCCTTTTTGCATGTCGGTCAGCAATACCCTGGCTTTCGCAAGGTTAGAATCGTCTTACTCGATAGTCTCCCCGCAAGGAAAGTCAAGACATGGCCGTTGCCCAGGGAAGCATTTTCAGTCACACCACAGCTAGAACCGAAATACCACGCCGAACTTAAGAAGCACAAGAATCTTCATGCCGAGATGGTGCTGATGGCCTACTTTCTTGCGTGCAAGGGTCCTTGCCCGGAAGTTTTCCCGTATCTTGGAGTCAGCAAGAAGACTTGCCTTCTTTGCGGGCACTTGCTTCGAGAATTAGGCTTCTTCGAAACTCGAGCGAACCACGGGAAGTGCTATTCGCAATGGACATTTCCCCACACAATACGGACGACCCCTGAGATAGCCGAGAGACTACGGGGGGCGGTTCAGCGTCTTAGAGACATTCTTTGGGATGAAGGGACAAAGCGCGACCTATCTCACCGAGATGCAGAGAAGGAATCGATGATGGCGGTCCCAGTTGCGCCCAGGTATGGAAGGAAGACGACACCTTTTCATAGATTGGTGGACGACCCTAGATTTATTGCGAGAGAGACCGAGTGGTTGGCCATGTCTCGGAAGCGCGACGGAGAAGCCAAGTAAGTGGTTAGGATTTGTTTGTTAGTTCACCCTCAGTTATCCTCATCGCTGATATGGACTACCGCGACTCCTAGTAGCAACGACAAGAGCCTTGTTAAGCTCTCTGATGCACGGGATGGCGCCAGTACGCCAGAAGTTGACACCGAAGGCCTCGAAGGAAAGAAAACGGACGCCACTAGTCCAATGGTTTGCGCTTTCTGCAAGGCCACCTGCGAACTCGCCCACATTTGCAAAAAGTGTGGGGTTGCCGCCTACTGTGCTCTTGATTGCTACCGTTCCGATTGGCATCGACACAAATTTTCCTGCCGCTTGGGAAGGCCAACGGACGCCACGGACTATTTGGTGCTCGCTTGTCACGCAAACAAGTTTTCCCTCGAAGACGATGTAGCAAACAAGTATGGCTTTAGGTATTTTGCTTCGGGGCATGACCGGTGGAGGCTCTTCAAGCTTTACCGCCGGCTTATCGTCGACTGGAAGATTGACGAGGACGAACTGCGCAGTGCGGTAGAGCAGAACAAGCTTAAGGAGATGCTCACATTTCGATGCTCCCAAACCCAGGCCCCTTGTATGCTCAGAGACATGCAGTGGCTCCAAAGCGCGGAGGGATTTGGCACCGAAGCCAAAGGACCTGGACTTGCCGTTATCTTCGAGGCGGCGCAGAGGAAGCTGTTGAGTCCTAACGAACAAAGGGTGCCGATTGTCGAACTTCAGCCGCCAGAAAAGCGACAGGCGCTTGTCTTCTACGTCCAGATCCGCAATGGATTCATGCCCAATGCGGATGAGGACAACTGGGTCTCATTGGGCTTTTGTACAGCTGCGGACCCCGAATCGGAACAGCGGCTCGCTTCCGCATATGGATCGCTTGTGGAGCGATGCTCATTTGATGAGTTCTGGAAGGCCATGGCGGAGTCTCGAATGGTGGAATTGTTTGGGAAATATGGGCTTGCAGACCGAATCTTGCACATGCGCAATTTCAAGGACTTGATGACGATTATAAAGAAATGGCATCAGAGCGTGTGGGAGCTCAAGCGATTCACATGCATGAACGTGGCTGATCCGTTCCGAGCCGTTGTGGAGGACTACGGATTCAAGAACTGCGAGGACGCACGCGAACGGATGCAGCTTCGCGGGATATACCAGGAATACTTTGAGCGGGGAGGAGATGAGATGAGACTCCACGAGGCATGTATTGCCGGAAACCTGGGGAGCTTCCTCGAGTCGGTCTTGGGAAGAAGCCTTGCGGTGTCCCCAAACCTTCTTCGAAATTCTTATCCCTTGGAAAACTGCCCTTATATGGGTATGGTGACGGATTCTGTTATAGTATGCCCAGAGTCTGCTTTGGATCAGGTCAAAGCTTTTGCGAGTGGTGATGGTGGGAAAGAGGCATTGGTAATTCCAATTCCAGATGCCTGGGACGAGGCGATGACAAAATCGCTTTACGATCGTGCTGCGTTTCTAGGGACGGGGCTCAGAAAGCGGTACTACTCTGGATCAGGCGGCAAAGTTCTCATGTCGTTGGCGTTGCAGCAAGGTAGTCTGTAGTATTGGCCGGCATGTATTCCCCTGCTGCAGGAGTTGTGTCGCATTTCTTTAGTCCTTCAGCGAAAAGGGGAGGAAGCCGATCTCGCTGCATGCCCCTCCATAATGCGAGAATAGGCATCTGAATGTCGTTTCTAGGAAGAAGCCCAGACAGCTGCTTCTCGTGTGGTTAGAATGCTGTGGTGGCGAGAGAGTGTATTCCGACTTTCGTTCAGCTGGAAGGTCCTGAGCTCCCATATTAATAGATACCTGGTATTTACTCAAACGAGGGGTCATCCCCCCCCCTTTTCGGCACCTCTTCGGAGCATATAATTATATATCCTTCTTACCCACCCTGGATCATTGCCCCTCGAGTTCCTTGCGGATAAATCTGGCTAAATACCGTCGGCACTAAACCGGATCGGTGTGAGAGACCCAAGCAATGGACCGTGTAAAAGGGCCAGATATAAACTGGCGCGTTGTATGAGAGGGAAGCAGCTTCTCTTTCTTTTCGTTCTTCGTTAAACACCAGTGAGCGAGAAAGAGGATATCCATATCAACAAGACAAGATAAGAGAGAGAGAGAGAAGATAAAAAAGGAGACTCTTGAGAAATGGCGCCGCAACCACTGGTCACCCATATATACACGGCGGATCCGTCAGCGCATGTCTTTGAGGGCAAGATCTACGTTTACCCGTCTCATGTAAGTAAGGCGTCACGGGAGTGCGAGGAGGTGGCTGCTGCATCAAGCCAGAACAGAAGGGGACGGTGAGGGTGTTGTCAGCCGTCATCCTCTACAACGGTCGTTCCCCCTTCGCCGATGTGTCACTGGCTAACACACTTCTTGCCCAGGACCGCGAAACAGACATCCAATTCAACGACAATGGCGACCAGTACGACATGGCCGACTACCACGTCCTCTCGCTCTCGGAGCCCGGCGGGCCCGTCACGGACCACGGCGTCGTGCTCAGGGCCGAAGACATCCCCTGGGTGTCGAAGCAGCTGTGGGCGCCCGACGCCGCGACAAAGGACGGCAAATATTACCTGTACTTTCCCGCAAGGGACAAGGAGGGTATCTTCCGCATCGGCGTCGCTGTGGGCGACTCCCCAGCCGGGCCGTTCGTGCCGGACCCGGAGCCCATCCGGGGCAGTTACAGTATTGACCCGGCGTGCTTCGTCGACGACGACGGCCAGGCATATCTCTATTTCGGCGGCATCTGGGGCGGCCAGCTGCAATGTTGGTCCTCGTCAGGCGAGGGCGAGGGCGATAAGTTCGACGCCTCCATGTCCGGACCCCAGGAGCCGAAGGGCTACGACGTGCCCGCGCTGCTGCCCCGCGCAGCCAAGCTGTCGTCCGACATGCGCAGCTTCGCGTCCGCCGTGACGCCGCTGGAGATCCGCGACGAAAAGACCGGCGCCCTGCTCGCGGCCGACGACCACGACCGCCGCTTCTTCGAGGCTGCATGGATGCACAGGTACCGCGGCAAGTACTACTTCAGCTACTCGACCGGCGACACGCACTACCTGGTCTACGCGGTCGGCGACAGCCCACTGGGCCCTTTCACCTACGCCGGCCGCATCCTGGAGCCCGTGCTGGGCTGGACCACGCATCACAGCATCGTCGAGTTCCGCGGCAAATGGTATCTGTTCTACCACGACTGCGAGCTCAGCAAGGGCATCAACCACCTCCGCAGCGTCAAGATGCGGGAGATCGTCTATGATGACCAAGGCAGGATCTCGTTGGCTGAGAAGCAGTAGCGGACACGGATACGTGTGGAGCTTGGGATGAGATGATGAGATGAGGGTTTGGATTCCACAGAACCAAAAAGAGTTTGTTGGTCGGGTGGTAGGTTCGTTTGTAACTGAACCAAGAATCTGGCCGCCCAAAAAAAGCCCTCGCAATCCTATGTAGTCAAAGAGGGTATCATATCTCTCGCTTTTCTGTTGTACTTATGTTTCCGGACAACGCCCATCTCCCTCACATAGGCAACACGTATGTCATGCCTCCTGTTCTTGGTGCGGGAAAAAAAAAATATACGAGGAAACAGCAATCATCTCTCTCTATATGTGTGTGTGTGTCTAACGCTCGCTAAGACCAGGGCGATATGAGTTCAACTCACTCACCGCTCACTTACTCAATGACAAAGTTCAATCCACTTCTCAACCACAGCCTCCATATCCACCGCAACCCCCCACTGCGCGATGAGGCAGCGGAACAGCTTCTCCATCGAGTTCAGCTCGTACAGCAGATTCCTGGAGGTTGAGGCCGCATCGAATCTCTGAAAGCTATCGCTCTCGCCGCGGATGTAACGCGCCGTGTCGGACTCGCTCCTGCTGGCAACGTTGGGGATGTTAGGAGTGGTAGTAGTATACAACGACGAGGAGGATGGGGATGTAAATGATAGTGAGGACGACGACGGGGACGAAGAAGAAGGCAAGTATGATGAAGATAATGATGATGGCTGGTCGGTTCGGCTGCTCCTGGTGGCGACCAAGAGAACGTCCTGCCAGACCACGGTGGAAGGGATTTTCAGCGCAGGTTGGCCGCCCAGCGCGAAGACCGAGTAGACAGTCGCTGCGGCGAACAAGGAGCTGGGCATGTTGATGGCGTGCGCGCGGCCGCGGGGCAGCTGTTCGATGATTTCCTGGATGGCCATTGCGTGGAGCAAAGCGCTGCGCGCTGCTGAGGTCGTTACCCACATGGCGAGATCGATGTTTAATTTCGGCCCGTGGGTGTTGCGCCAGATGTGCTGTGTGATGCCGTATTTAGCGCACAGGTTGCGGCAAAGCAGGGATGAATCGACGTTCGTGTCAAGACATATTGCATGCCAGCGCAAGAGAGTCTCGTAGCGGTCAGCCGACGACAGAGACGGGTTGAGTCTGATGCTCTCGTAGACCTTGTTCAGCGCGGCACGAACCTCGCCGTGGGTGGGAACTCCAACGGCCGTGCCTTCGTCCGAGTCGTCGTCGGAAATCAGGGACTGTAGGCCTTCCAGGATGACTTTGTAAGAGAATGCCGACAGCGTTGTGTCCAACCAACTCGACTCATCTGCTGGATGGAAGAGGCGCCGGAGAATGCTCCGAAAGGACGAGGTTTGAAACGACGCTGAAGCCTGCATGTGCGATATCCATTCGTTGGCCGTTGACGCCTCGAATGCTGCCTCGTCGCTGGGCAGTGTGAGCTGGTTCGTTGCGTGACGCACCGCAGTTGGCTCTCCGGACATTTGAGAGATGAGCCCGTCGAGCATATAGTGCGCCAGAAGTGCTCGCTGTTGGATCTCTCGAGCCACCCACAGTCGCCATTGATATTCCTTTTCGGAGTCGGCGGCATCCAGGGACGGCACTGACTCTAGAGGATACGGCGCACTATCCAACATTCCGCATCGTCGAGCCCAAACGAACCCCAGAGAATGGAACGCTTGGCTCGTGGATCGAATAGCGCGATTCCTCGAGAGGGCTCCATATACCTGACTTAAGACCCCCGTAATCACCAGCTGGACGCCATCGCAGGCATCGTAGGGTCCTCGATGGGTAATCAAACTCTGCCATGACGTTGCGATTGCGGTGTGGGCAAGATGCCATAGCGCTTCACCCTTCCCCACAGCATCCTTGGGTCCTAGATATAGAGAACCGATGGCGATGGCGTTAAGAAGCAGTGGATGGGCGCAGTCCCGAAAGACAAAAGTGGGTCTGTGAAGGACGGGGAACGTGGGGATGAATTTGACGAAGAACATATGCAGGCATTCATCGAGGAAGACTGATGTGATAGAGTTAGATCTTGCCGCGGCGGTGACGCTGGACGACTGCACTGCATTAGAGTGTGATACCTGTTGGGGGAACTTGAGGGGGCTTACGACGTTCGAGACCATCTTACTGACATCTTGGACTGCTTGATGGTTTCCTCCGGAAGGTATAGCTCCTATTGATCCAGGCCGGCGATCGAAGGAGCTGGGAGTCTCAAAGGGCGCATAGTATGTGGAAGGCGTGGCAGAGAACGGCAGGGTCCCTAGGGGGATTTGCCATTGATTGGCAGCGTCTGTGGATATCAGTGTCTGTAACAAGTCTTCAGAGTCCGGCCAGATGAGCTCGAAATCCAAGTCGCCCGCCGACTGTGGGAGTTCCGCTGCGAGTGGTTCGGGAGGAAAGCCCAGGACATCGGGTGCCACAGCAGGGAAGCCGTCGGCCACTTTGCTGTTTCTGAGGCTCTCTGGGGTCGCCGGCTTGTCGACGGACCCTGTGGGCGAAGAAGCATCATCTGCACTCCTGCGACGCAGATGTAATTTTTCATGCCGCGCGAGTGAATCTTGTCGGCTGAAGGATCGCTTGCATTCTTTACATTGATACGGTTTGACCCCGGTGTCTGTCAGTCACCACCCAGCAAGTGAGTTGCCACTCCTTCTCACTGAGCTGTTAACATGATTCACTTACGACTTCGTTCATGTCTCTGTCGAGAGTCAGCAACCTAACTGTTTCGAATGACTTTGAGTCCTGAATCTTACTCTCAGATGTTCTCCTTTGGAAAAGCCCTTTTGACAGAATCTGCACTGCATGGCCCCTCGGCCTGAACTTGTCGACAGCATCATTTCCCTGCTGACTGACTGTGGAACGCGGACAGTGGATAGAGAGGGGAAATGCAAGAGGATTCTGTGGGGATATGAGGAGAGGCGGCGTGGAATTGATCTTCAAGTAGAGCTGAACCGGTGGCAATTTTTGTACACAAGTCCCTGCTTTTCCTTCCTCGCGACTTCTGGGTTCTGGACCAGAGGGCGGCAATGTCTCCGCCGAATTCTCCCTGGTTTGTGGGGACCATTAAGGGTCAGAACAGGAGAGTGGGATCGGGAGATGGATGAGGCTTAGCTAGGTACGGTAGGATTGTCGGGATCAGCCGTACGAGTGAGCTGGCAGATTGGGGCCTAGTTGGAAGGGATACAAAATGGATGCCCGAGATCAGTCGCAACATTGTGGATAATGAAAGTACTCTCTCACATTAATGGTGCAGTCTCTGGCAGCTCGCCGCCGGCTGAAGAGAATGAATGCCAAGGAGAGGGATGAGGACGAGGGAGCACGGCAATGTCTGGCAGAGCTGCGGGGAGGGAACGGGGATGCGTTTCCCTAACCCGCTCTGCCCACTCTGCCCACTCTGCCCACTTAGGCCGGTCGTCATTCTTACTATTAACCAGCACGCATTCTGCCTCATTATGTACCAAAGGATTATGATGTTTGGCAACCTCCTCTTGATGGCAAGGACACTAACCGTGTTCCCCAAACTGTTCGGGCTCAACGAGTTGCAAGGGAGATTGTGTTTCCTGTGAGTTCTGGGCTTGCTGCTCATCCAATCCATTGGTGGTGATCGCATCAAACTCGGACAGCACACTGCTTTCCCACATTTATCCTGGCAGTGTGTCGACGGCTTCCACAGCATCAAATCTTCTTCGCCGCATGTTGGGGGCCGTTGGTGCTGCGGTGGTGAATGACGTGCTAATCTCGATGGGGCTGGGCTGGTTTTTTCTCTTTGCCGGCTTGCCCATGGCAGCATCTAATGGTTTCTTGGACGCTGCAGTGAGCTGGGGTATAGGCTAGCGACAGAAGCGCCGGTAAAAATTAGAGGAAGAAGCGACAGGCTGAGAAAGAGAAGAAAGCTCTGGAAGAGGCCGAAAAGGATCGTTCTGTATGACTTCGTGAAGGAGATTGCACTGCGGTTAGGAGCGGTCTTGGTCTGTGTTGTCCTTGGAGGGTTTCCGACAGCAGGAAACCCTGTGTGGACTTCCACGCGTATCCTGGGGG